GCCCTGAGGGTTGAAGAATGTCACTGGGGTTGGCGCAAAGTGGAGCCTTGCCTCTGTTGATTGTTGTTTCCAAGAGCCTATATCTAAACCTCAGCTGGATGTATCCCTTGAGGAATCACTGATGGCCTCTGGGGCGGCAAGCCAGAGATACCCGAACCTACAAAACCTGACCCTCAACCAGAAGGGACTTACATCTGGCACTGACATAGTCTTGACACAGGCTGAGATGACCAGGAACAATTGGGTTTGACAAAAAGAACCCTAAGAGGCAGAGCTGGCAAGTAAGCTGAGAACTACTGGTCACCAGTGGCTTTACAGAGAGGCAGCCTGGGAGGACTGAAGGATGGTGTGGCTCCAGAGAAGAAGGGGAAAATAACTCCCTCTGGTCCCCAGTCCTGTATTTGACTGTCCGTGGTCCCTATGCCTTCATTTCTTCAAACCTGGTTCTTACGATCCATCTAAAACAACTGTTCTAGAAGGAAGGGAAGGTGTTGATGCTGTCCTCAGCAGAGAGTACCCCAGGTGCCACTAACTCCTACTCATCTGCCCAGCCTATCAGTTCCCCATTGCAGGTACCCCAACTGTCAGCTTTACCATGTGTTCCCAGTCCTGAAAGTCTGGTGGCATTCTGCATCTCTTAGCCATACAGGCATCTTCTCTTATAGTGCTTACATCTAACTGAATGGTCCCCAGGTCCCACTGGCTCTACCTGTCACATGTCACCTCCAACCCTTCTTCTTTGTATCTCTTCTAACCCCTTCCTGGTAGGGTCTGGTGGATCAAGAAGCAGAGGTCATGACTTAGACCTCTCCAACTCCCTAGGAATAACTACAGCCAGTGCGTCACAGATAGCAAATTCTTTGAACCCCAGCATCACTTCTCACTGGAGATGTGACCAAATTAGGTTGTAATTCAGCCTCAGTAGCCCATTTTCGCAGCTTTACTCGCTGGGTGATTGTGAGAACTGGAGAAAGTTGGGTACAGCTGATGGCATGGCGCCCAGCTGCCTTAATTAAGTCACCTCCTCCTCATTCTTGTCTGCACTAGTGCCGTCTATCAGTTGGCCATCTAACCGTTCTCCCCTCCCATCCATCATCCCCACTGTCTTCAGAGTTGTTGTCCCTAGCCTACTTGAAGGACAGTCTTGTGTGGTCCTGCCCACTGCATCGCCCCAGGCACTGCAGCATTCACACCAGCTCCTAAGCAAACCAAATGAAGCTCTGTGATCTGCCCCACCCCCAATCCACAGTTCTGGCCTCAGAACCCCATCTTCTCCCTTTTGAGGCTCAATCCCAGCCCCATGCTCCATGTGCCTCTGACACACAGAGCCACTCAGGAAATGCTCTGGCTCTTCCTAGTGAGTTCCTGTGCACTCCTCAATGTCCAGCTTATAAATTCCTCTCATAACCCAAGTTTGCCTGTCTTTCCCTGGCATATTGCTGGTTCTTGGAGCTGTTCCCAAGCTAATCTTGTTCTCACCCTGTGTGTTCACTGTGTATCCCCAGGAAGGGTTGCAGACCCACCTCCCTGTCACCTTTGTCTCCCCAGAACCAGGCATGTACATTCTACCCTTTGGTGTAAAAATTTGCTCACGTGGGCTATAAACAAAGGCTGTGTTCCAGGAATCGGGTAGCTTTTGGGAAAAGCTAAGGATATGGAAAGGAAGAGGCATTTCCAGTGTTCATGCTTTTCCTCTTCAGTTAGTTCAGAAGTTGTGGCAGAGGCACAGCCTTGAGAGGACCAGAAGATCAAGGAAAATGAGGCAGAGACCCCAGCTTCCTTGCAACGTCCTTTCGCTTTCCCTTGTTCTCTGTAGCCGAGTGTAAGGCTCAGAGTCTCTTTCCTCATATTAGTCCTTGGTTCCCTGGTTTCACTTCTTTGAATTCACTGCTAAAGCCTGTTGAGTTCCAGCAGTTGACAGGAAGCTCATGAATAGCTGTTGAAAACAAAGCAGAACCCAACCTGCAGCCCAAACCTCATTTTATTCTTTCTTTTCAGTCTTTCTCTGGGACCAGCATAGGTAGACCCTGAATAAGCACTTGTTGACTTAATCTCATAAAGACTCGTTTGCAGACCATCAGAGCTAAGTGTTATGAAGCTGGGTTGTAGACCTTCTTGACTTGATTTCAGGCAAGAGTTGTCATTTTGCCATTCTTTTCTCTTTCTCTCTCTCCCCACTTTGTTTAATTCAGTCTGACATCTCCAAAGCTGTTCCAAACCCAGCAGTATCATCAACTTGGATGAGGCCAGGATAACATTGGGAGTGTGGCTCCAGGCCCTTAGTGAGCCCATATGGTCACAGTAGGGCATGGGGCTAAGTGAGGCGCCAACAGAGAAGCACTGCTATCTCAGATGAGAGCCCTAGCCAGTGAGGCTGCTACAGTGCTGACTATACCCTCACATGCTGCCATGGGAGCTGGGGATGCTTCATGCCTCTCTGCTGAGTCCCATCCTTTTTGGGCAAACATTGGATCACCTAGAAGAGCTTAATCTGTGCCCTGTCCTCAGGTGTGCCCAGTGCCCCCTGCTTCCCTGCCTCTGGTTATTTGTAAACCTGCTTGATGTGGTTGTAGGTCTGACAGCAATGCCAGAGACAAGGGTGTGGGAAAGATGTTGGTCAGCAAAGAAGTGGAGACTTTTCAGCACCGTGCCTGTTTCTCCTAGTCACTGGCTGGCCCAAGAGTGACACTGCTAAAGAGTGGCCCACATGGACAAGGAGCTTAAGAAGGTCTGAAGCAGATTCATCATAAACAAAGCAGGAGCTGCCAGGTTCTGAGTTTTCTAACAGTAGTTTATGTATTTGGTTTCATTTAGACCAATTGGGAGAAGAATGGTTTGGATTCCCAGTGTTGCTGCTATGTTATGTAAACTAGAAAAGGGGTTGGGGGGTGTAGCTCAGTGGTACAGCACTTGCCTAGCATGGGTGAGGCCCTGGGTTTGATCCCCAGCACCATGGAATAAATAAATTAGAAAGATCCTTTTCTAAAGCCCAAACATTCTAATGTTTTAGGGAGGTAGAACCTGGTAGATACCTGGATTTTCAGTGAATTTCTGTCCAGTCTTGATCCAGGACAGGAATTTATTTTTCTTGCATGCTAGCCATGGAGTGTGTTCAAGTACACCATAAGTGGATGGATTTGCTTTGCTTTCATTCATTCATTTAATCAACAAATATTTATTGTTGTTTATTTATAATAAATAAATTTATTATTTACTTACATCCTAGAAATGTAAGTTAAACACAGAGCCTGTCCTTGCAGCTTATAGATAAATAGTGACATAGGCAGGTACAGAGATGTGAGAGGCTTTTTTGACGTATCAATAATATTTTATTGATTACATGTTCAAATGATATTTGAGGTTAAAACATTCAGTGGGTTTCATTTATTTCTCTTTTTATCTTACAAAATAATGGGTTTCATTATGACATTTTCACACATGTATACAATGTACTCTAACTTCTGTCACCCTCTCTTCTCTGCCTCCCCCTCTAGGTACCCTCTCCCAATTTGTCTCCCTTGTATGTTCATATCGTTTTGTTTGTTGGCTTGTTTGTTTCCAGGTCTAGATTTTGCCTATCAGAGAAAGCATATAATGTTTGTCTTTCTAAGTCTTCACTTAACATGATCTCTAAATTTATCAATTTCATTATTCTTTCTTTAAATTTTATTGGCATATTATTGTAACGGGAGAGTTTCTTATTGCTGTTATAACAAATTACCAAGGTTAGGGATTCACAGCAACATATATATTCATTTACTTACCATTAGGGATTAAGATATAAGTATCCACAGGCCTCTGTTCCTTCTGGAGGGCCCAGGAGACGATCCATTCCCTTGCCTTTATAGCTTCTAGAGGTTGCCTACATTCCTTGGCTCATACCTTCCTCTACTCTCAGAACCAACATTGTAGCATTTTTGCTCCTCTGTGACTCCTACTACTTCTGTGCTCCCATCTCTGACCCTCACCCTCTTGCCTTTTATCAGGGCTTTTAGGATTATGTCGGGTCCGCCTGATAATCCAGGATCATCTCCTCATTTCCGTCATATCTTTGGTCTTTTTTCCATGTACAGTAGCGTGTTCACAGGTTCAGGAGTTTTAGGACATGGGCATCCCTGGGAGCCACCATTCAGTCTTTTGTAGGGTCCAGTGCTGGTAACATGGGATTCCATGAAAACCTTCACTATTACAGAAAACAAGGGAGGATGCCCCAGGGCGAATGTTATGTAGACCAAGACCTGAGGAATGAGTGGCATTTGACCAGGGCAGAAGAGACTGATGCTAGTGTACAAATGCCCGAGAAAAAGGGACACAAAAGAGGTACAAGTGCTCGGCAGTAGACGACAGGGATGAAGGTGGGTGGGTGATGCTGTAGCGTCTGCAGAAAGGCCAGTCGGGCATCCGGGGAACCAGGAGTGACTTTTAATCGTGGACATCCATGAACAGATCTGTGTTTAGAGAGCCATGTAGCCAAACTGAGCTCAAGCTTAGAGTCATAGGATTTCAGATCTGGAAGGAACTTGACAAAGTATTTATCCAAACAATCTGAGAAGGTTTAGTTGTGGGCTCAAAGTCACCTGGAGAGAATCAAGATGAGAATTATAATCACTGCTCCAAGGTCAGGGGTCAGCAACCAGCAAAACCTTTTGGCGGCTGAGTTTTGTTTTCCCACGAGAACGTTGAAGGAGCAGATATTGGTGATGGAGGAGGTAGCCTCAGAATGTGGGGCAATTTGGTCACTGTCTCTCCTCCAGCAAAGGGTAGACTTGCAGCCTCTGTTGATGCCATCTACCACAAAGTTGGGGACCTATTTTTCTCCTACTGTGACCCTAGAACTCAAAGTCCCACCTTCTCTTCCCCACCAACTGTGTGCCACCAGACCACATGCCAAATCTTTGCTCCTGAGCCCTGAGGGACCATTGGTGGTTCTGGGGGGAGGGGCACTGCAGGATCTGGAAAAAAGCAGCCACTGATAGCTTTCACCTGATTTCCATCTCTAGCCCTAGAGCAGCTGCTGACCGAGCTGGATGACTTCCTCAGGATTCTGGACCAGGAAAACCTGAGTAGCACAGCCATGGTGAAGAAGAGTGGCCTGGCAGAACTCCTCCGACTTTACACCAAGAGCAGCAGTAAGTGTGGGCCAGGGGCTTCGGACATGTCCCATGGAAATGGAAAGATGGCAGCACTAGTCCACTTGGGCTTCCACAACAAAGTGCCACAGACCAAGTGGCTTTAACAACAGGCATTTATTTTCTCACACTTTCTTGAGGCTTGAAGTCGAGGATCAAGGCGTCAGCAGAGCTGGATTCTTTTGAGATCTCCTTGGCTTGCAATAACTATCTTCTCCTTATGTCCTCACATGGTCTTCCCTTTGTGTGTCTATGTCCTGATCTCTTCTTATAGTGACATCAGTTGTACTGGAATAGGGCCCACCATAATGAACTGATTATTTCTTTAGAGACCCCATGTCCAAATACTGAAACCTTGGAGGCTAGATTTAAGATATAAATTGGGGACACAGTTTAGCCCATAACAGTGGTATCAGGGTAACTTGAACTTGAGTGAGAACCCCAAAAATCTCTGAACACTCAACACAGCAGACTGGAGGTTTTAAATGAAGTATTTTCAAAGCATTTTCCTTACTGGTTGAAAGCAGAGTTAGTAAACTATTGTTAAGAATACCTAAGGCTTAATTGATCACATCTCACATGGACACGTATGAACTTGTATGATCTTTAAGACAATGCTACAAGGTTGATACTATTACACAGGAGAAAACTGAGGCCCTGGAGAGTTTAAATAACTTGCCAAGTATTATGCAGCTCAAGGAAGAAACAGAAAGTAAAGTTTTCAGACTGTAAATTATAAAACCCTGAGTTTATAATTTCTCCATCTTTTTATTGTGATAGAGTTTACATATAAGAAAGCACACAGATCTTAAGTATAAAATTCAGTGAGTTTCAATAATTATATACACTTGTGTACTCACCAACCAAAGCAAGGGTTAGAATATTCCTGTCATCCAGAAAGTTCTAACTTGCTCCATCACTATAAACTCCCTTCTAATTGCCTTCCCACCCCTGGGCAACCATTGCTCTGATTTTACCCTGGTAAAATCCAGGATTTTACCTGTCCTGGAGCTTTGTGCAAATGGAACCATATGGTATATCCTTTGTGTCTGGTTTCCTTTGCCACATTCTTCCGTGCTGTTGGGTGGGCCTGTAGTTTGCTCCTTTCATTGCTGAGGAGTATTACATCCTGTGAATATTCTGTCTGTCCATTCACTATTGATGGACATTTGGGTTGTTCAGACTTTAGACTATTGTGAACATTCTCAGATAAGTCTCCTTATCATTTCATTTCTAGCAGATTTAGATTTTTTAAAAGAAAATCTTGTGAAATCATAGCAGTTGAATTTGATTTTCATGTCAGGTGTTTAGGAACTGGAAGTGCCGTTTGGCGACAGTAAGGGACCATCAGAGAGCACTGATTCCATCTGCCTCTTGGCCGGTGCAGCCTACATTTGTGCCAGGGAAGAGAAGTAAGTCTCCACCTGCTTCAGTCACCACAGCCTGGAAATGCTTCCTGCATCCAACCTGAATCTGCCAGGCTACTTCAGGGTCTTTACCCACTTCTTTGTTCCCAGTGGGATGTATTTCTTTTCTCTGAACAACAGAGATGTGATAAAACTGAAGTCTGTTACTGTATTCCTACAGCCTCCCTTCTGGAGGAACAATCCTGGCACCCCACTCTGTCTCATCAGGGGTGTTTTCCTGGAGTCCCTTCTCACCTTTGCCACTCTCCAGGCCATCTTGCAGTTCCCAGGCTCCTCCTGGCTTTGTAGCATTGTCAACCAGGACTGCTCATCAAAGAAACGCTGGTGGGAACGGCAGAGGGGAAATCCATACTACAAAGCCAGAAAGTTAGAGAGGGATGACTCACCTCTCCAAGGGATTCATCAGTGGGATCCTTTAAAAAGTACACTCCCTAGACCTTTGAAGATGTGCTCCAACTTGAGAATGTTCTTTATAAAGACCGCCTCTGTTAGGAGCTGGAAAACACCTCTTTGTGATCTATCTGACCCATGGCTCTTATTGCAAATACACTGGCAGCGCCTCCTACATCTATCAGGTCCCTTTCTGGCTTTGCGTGCTGTGTAGCTCCCTGTAGAGTGACCTTTGTTCTGCCTTCCATCCACACTTATAAAGTCAGGTATTCGCTACTTTTGGTCTCTGCAGCTTAGTGGGGCTGTGGGGGTGCTGCTGAGAACTAGTTGGGGGCTCCCCAATGTAAACTACCTCCAGAGAGCCCCCCCAGACCACTGACAAATGTGTACAGCTGTACTAGGGCCTGTAACTACTGCTTGTATTCTGAGATATGGTGCCCTACTTATTATAGCTACTGTTGACAGAGAACTTTCCTCTGATCCTCTTTGCACCCTTTATTTGCAGAGAGGGTAGGACAGCGGCTAACATTGACTATGTCCTACTGGAACCACACTTAATGTATTCGGTGACATGGATTAAGTCATTTAATCCTCATCCCAAATCTGTGAGAGAATGGTTATCCCCAGTTTATCTACAGAGTAATCAGGGTTTGGCTAATCACTTGACTAGAGTCACACGGCCATCATGATTGGCAGAGCCAGGGAAAGGGGACCTAACTGTTGGCAGTCCTGTCTCTCCCTAGCTCTTTTGTGCCTGGTTAGTTGTTGTACTCCAGGAGACAGAATGCTGAGCACCCTCCTCCACACCCAACATAAAGTACCCATCTTCCTCCTGGCTTCAGAGGCCAGCCTCACTGTGTAGCTACCAAAACTTAGCTCATCTGGGGTGCCTCGCAGGTGAAGCAGGCTGATCATTTCAGGATAGCCTGTGGTCCTCTCTGGATGCCCTGTTATTTATATGATTGGGCCAGTGTGTGTGTACATGCAGGCATTTATACTTTTCAAATGGAATCATCCATTTGGGTTTTCTGATTTTGTATTGTCCTAACCTAACACAGATTTTTCTGCCCTCTCTTTTTGTCTGGGTGATGACAAGGCACAGATTGAGGACTGTTTGTCAGAGTCTTGGCTGCCTGTGGTATGTTCATGCCTTTGCCAGCAAGAACCATGTCCCCTCCTCCCCTGCTCAGAGGCTCTGGGACATTCCAGTGACTGCCCTTCTAATAGGAAGCACTTCAAATTCCCAATCTAGCCAACTGTAGCAAAGGTTCAGGTCCCTCCTCACCAACTCCATTTCTGTGAGAAGAACCATCCACTGCAGGTAAGGGCACATGCATCAGGAATAGCGCATATTATTCTAGCACTGTGTCCTGGCTTTTCCATAACACCTGGAGTGATCATAATTTCTTCCCTACAGTGTAATTATCCAATCAATTAAGGATTGTCTTCCCCACCAGACTGTTGGGCTCCTGAAGGCAATGACACCATCTCTGTGGTTCTCAGCTGTGTCCTCAGCACTCAGCAACTATTGATACTCAGTGCATTTCTGAAAATGAATGAGTGAATGATAGAGGGTTCTCAGCGCAAAGCTGCTGTCTCCCAAACAGCGGACTGCACAGCAGCCTTCTAAGGGCCAAGTTCACCATGCTTATCCTATAATTGCACAAGGTCTCAGGAGCCTCTTATCTAGGTAGTGTTATACTGACTTTTTTTTTTGGCCATGCTGGAAATCAAACCCAGGGCCTCTTGCATGCTGGCACAAGTGCTCTACCACTGAGCTCTATACCTCTAGCCCCTGGATAGTTCTGGATTAGCAACCCTCTATGAACCAAAACCATGTCGACCAGAGGCCTGCAGTTGCCCAGGGCAGGTGTATGCCTCCTGTGAACATAGCCAACATGAGTTTTCTCTGTAATTTACAAATTGCCATCTTGGGGAGAAAGCACCTGCTTAGAATCTAACAATTAAGAGGATAACAACAATCTCTTTATTTTGTGTACAGGAATGTGAACTTAGTCAATGATATGAAAAAGGAAATGAGCATAAAATGCATACTGAACACTATTTATGGATACACACACACACACACACCCCGAACCTAGTTCCTTTTCTGGTCCTTATCAATGTCATCTGAATATTTTTGTATACTTGTGGTTTGCCTCAATGTTTCTGTTTTACATTATTTTTACATTTACAATTGCTGCTTGCACACATTTCCGTGTGTTGACAGTTCACATACTTTACTTTCTTTTCTCTCTTTTTTTTTTCTATTCTGAAACTTGATCTTTTAATTTAACCCCAAGTCGTGAATATCTTTGCAAACAGCAGACATAGTGCTGCCTTGTTATTTTTCACAGTTGGGTATTGTCCACTGGTGGATGAGCACTGATGTTCCACTGCTCCTATTGGTAAGCATTGAAGGTGTATTCTTTTTTTTCTCCTTAATCTCAACAATATTGCGATGAGCATTTTCAAAGAAATTTTTGTTTATATGCTCAAGTTTATCTGTAGGATACATTTCTGGTGGTAGAAATGCTAGGACAAAGGATATGAACATATAAAATTAAATTATTCTCCAAAATAACCTTCAAAGTGCTTGTGCCAATTTATACCCTCTCCAATAATCCACTTTTGTTTTTGAAGGTGACATGCCATTCTTTATGTTATGTGCCATGGTTTATTTTACCGTTTTCTTCTCTTGAGCCTTTGAATTATTTACTGTGTTTTAGGCTGTCATTTTTCATCTTTTTTGGCAGCCATTGAACTTGCACTTACTAGGCAGATGCTCTATCTCTTGAGCCATGACTCAGCCTTTTTTTGTGTTGGTTATTTTTGGGAGAGGGTCTCACTATATGCTCAGGCCAGCCTGGAATGCTGTCTTCTTATTTGTGCTTCTCTGTGTTGCTGGAATGACAGGCACCTACTACCACACCCAGCCATTAATAGAGATAGGTTCTCATAACCTTTTTGCCTGGGTTGGCCTTGAACTGTGATCTTCCTGGTCTCCGCCTCCCCAGTAGCTAGGATTACAGGTTTGAGCCACCTTACCTGACCTCATTTTTAATCTTTATTAGCTGTAAGCTTACCCTACTTTTTCAAATTCCCTAGTACTTGAGTTTTGTACTCTTGAAATTAGGTAGAGACGAGGAGTATTTCATCCTCATTCTTTTCCATGTAAGGCAGACAAGACAACTGAGGCATGGGGGTAAGGTGTTTGAATTATGCCATCGATAGTAGAGCTCAGCTACCATCTCCGACCTTCCCCTGTAGAGGACTTGTTCCCTGAGCTGTACTCTGGAGAAGGTGCTGAATTCAGGGTTCAGTGCTGAGTGTCTCAGCTGGTGGAAGGTGGCAGTGTCTCACTGTACCTCAGAGTTGCCTTCCATTAACTTTGATGTTGCAAGCCTTGGAACAGGGCGATTCTGCCCACTGGTCCTGGCAGGGCTAGGTACTGATCTGGCAAACCCCATGGCTGAAAAACTGAAGACCCGTCCAGCCTCTTCCTGACCCTGTTGGTTCTCAGGCCTTTTTGGCTGGAGTCAGGCTGCCACTGAACTGCTTCCTTCATCAGAAGTTTGAATTGGGTTCTTTGGCTCATGAACCTTCTCCAACCACTGGAATTTATGTTTCTAGGAAATGCAAATTAAGGGCTGCAAATGATCTTCAGAGGGATCAGAAGAGAAGAAAGTAGACGAGCTACTTCAGCAACCTCTGAGAAACCAAGCATGGGGCAGGTGGCTAGCTTTTCTTTGCCTATAGGCACTAGAAAGGTGACCCATCCTCCACGCAGTGATTTGAGGAGGAGATGGGCTCTGCCACTACAGGATACAACCTATAGAATATACAGCAAGAGGCTGATGGTTCCCCAGTTCCATTCCCAGCCTTCTTACCCCTTTAGGCTCAGAGCCCATATGATCTCCCTGTCTCGCCAATGACCCCTCACCTAGGAGCCTGGGAGCTAAACTTTCAGGTCCTTAATGTGACCTATCTTATCTAGACATCTCTGATTAGTATATTCAAGTAATTCAGCCTAGGATGAGAATGTCAGATGGAAAATATTTTACAATGTAAATGAAGTACTAGGAAACCCAAAGACAACTCTACTTGGTGGAACATGGGGCAGAACTTAATGAAATTTTCCTGAAACTGTCCTTCTGTACCCTGCCCTTCCCCTTCCCAGCCCCACCCTAAGCTAGAACACTAGCAGTCAGCAACTCTGACATTTCTTGTTTGGAAATCTGTCAGCTCTCTTTAGGACGGACTCTTAATCAACGCGATATGCCGAGTGCTTTCACTGAAACCCAAGCAGATGAAATGTCCTGGGGGATGGAGGGGGACAGTTTTACTCTGTCCCTTCACTAAGTCACAGGAAGTACTTGTCTTCCATTTTCCTTCTGCAGGTTCTGATGAAGAGTACATTTACATGAACAAAGTGACAGTCACCAGGCAGCAGAATGAAGACAAAGGTATGGGACTGGAAAGACACTGGACCGACCTCTTCCTGGAGGGAGAGGCCTAGGCTCAGCTCTGTCTTCCCTTCCTCCCTCCCAGCCAGCACATAGACAGGCCTGGAGAGTTATTCTTGGAATCCACATTTTAGTTGATGGTATTTTGAGTTGATATATTTTCAGATGTTTCAGCGGTCTGCTACCTCCTTACCCAGTGAACAAGGAATCTGTTCCTAAAATCTCTTGGCTTTTCCCAGCACCATCCCAGGAACAGGAAGTCGTAATTCAGATGTTCTAGGAGAGCAGCTGTGTGTGATGCTGATCCCATGGTTCCAGCTTTGTGTCTTTTGAAAGACGACTGCTTGGGAGGAGGGAGAGAAATAGTCATGTTCGTATTCAATGGTGAAGCTCAAAGGCGTGCTCTTGGCCAGCACGGTTTCTCTTCTACTGGAAGGACCTATGGTGTCTTCCTTGATGTCTCACCGTTTTGCTGACAGTTTTTCTCTTAGACCCGCTAGGGTGGGTCTGGTAAGATCCCTGAAGGCCCAGAGGTTTGCAGAGCTGCCCAGTGGCAGCAGAGGGGGTATAAGAAGCCCCATCTCCCAACTTCAAAGGTGTAGAGAAAGGCGGGAACACAGCCCCCAGAGCACTCAGTCCTGTCCTATTAAAGACTTGCCTGGAGACATTGGCTACCAGCCTGAGGTCAGACTTGCCTGGCTGTCTGCTTGGGACCTGACTTGGATGAGATGGCCAAAATAAAGTGCTCAAAAAAACCTTCAGTGCCTTTCCCTCAATGTACAGCAGGCTGCACATTCCTCAGTGTGGTATCCCCACCTCAACCCCTAGCCACCACACCTGGAACTGCAGAACTCATCCAGATGACAGTGACCACACTGCCCAGGGTCGTTTGCCTTGTGGATAAACTGTGGGAGGAAGGAGCCATAATAACAGGGTCAGTGCTGAGCACAGCTCAAGATAGTGACTGCCAGGCAACTGCACTGCTTGCTGAAGCAGGGTGGCTTGGGGAGGGGTGTAGAACCTGCCAAAATCTCCAAGCTGGTTCTTTCCAAGGAATCTGGCCCATGGCTGGGGCATTACTGTGCTCTATTCTTGGAAGAAAAACAACTTCAGCTCCAGAGGCCACCTGCGTGGGTAATTAACACCTGCTCAAATAGAACTCCTGAAACAGGGACAGGACAGTGACCAGACATTCCTAGGTAATGAGACCCTGGCATGAGTGGACACCCCTCACCAAAGCCTTTTCTTCTTGCTGCCCATAGTTCCTGAGGAGCAGGGCCTGCTGACCAATGGGGAGCCCAGTCAGCACACCTCAGCCCCTCAGAAGAGCCTCCCCGACCTCCCGCCACCCAAGACAGTAAGTGTTGGTCCAGGACTCCTGCTTTTCTTCTCTGACTACACCCCTGAAGATCCCCTTGACCTTACAAGTGTCAGTCCTCCAAACCTCTGGTGTTTCTCAGCACCCTCTGTGTGCAGGGCATAGGTCAAGAAGACAGCACAGAAAACCAGTATGGGTCACTTGTCATTTGCACAGGGCCACAAGATTCCCCATGCTAAGGTGATAGGCATGGGGAGATTTTATCAAGTGCCTTTATCAAGTGTCATTGTGTGTCTAACACTCTGTCCCCAGCAACACATGAAAGGGGTCTCAGGCCACTGTGACCAAATGTAATTCTTATCACATTGCACTTCCTGCTTGAAACTCACCAATAGTTCTCACTCAGCTTAGAAACAAACTGCCTTGTTCCTGACACAGTCCCAGGGCCTGCATGTGCAGTCCAGCTGCAGGTACAGCCTCTTCATGTCAGCTCTTGCCCGCTCTCCTCTGTGCTCCCGGGTTGTGCCGCTGTGCTTGGTCCTGCCACAGGATTTTACACTTCCTGGGTCACTGGCACATCAGTGACTGCTGCCTCCTCATCTCTCAGAAGCTCTTAGACTTGCTCTGGCCTGGCTAAGTGAGCTATCCACCCCTGTTCTCCCCATACCCGGTCACCTTTCTTTGGCACTTGCCACTGTTAAGATGGAGTTTTTATTTGTCCTTCACTAGGTATAAGCGTCCTGTGATAGAGACTGTGTCTTTTGTTAATTCATGTCCAGAGTCTATACAGGGTAGCCATATACAAATAGTTGTTCATTTGGATGGATGGATGGAGGCTAGATAGAGGCTGGCTGAGTGGCTGGCTGGGTGGGTAGATGGGTGGATGGATGGATGTTTGGGTGGGTGGATGGATGGGTACTTGAATGGATGGGTGGGTGGATGGGTGAATGGATGTTTGGGTGAATGGATGTTTGGGTGGGTGGGTGGGTGGATGGGTGGGTGGATGGGTGAATGGGTGGGCGGATGGGTGGGTGGTTGGGTGGGTGAGTGAGTAGATATTTGGGTGGATGGATGGGTGGATAGATTGATGGATAGGTGTGTAGATAGGTGGGTGGGTGGGCAGATGGATGGGTGGGTAGATAATTGTGTAGATGGATGGGTGGTTGGATAGGTGGTTAGATGGATGGGTAGATGAGTGAGTGAGTGGGTGGATAAATTATAGAATTATATAAACCTGGATTCAGATCTCCACTCTGTCAGGTACTAGCTCTTTGGGTTCTGGGAAAATTTAAGGCTCCAGCCCTTAGTCCCTGGATTTGAGTTGAAGTGATTCTAGATGGTCATGCTCACTAGGCTAAGATGTCAGCCACACACATTGTGTGTGCTACATTATGCTAGCATGCAGAGGAGGAAGCCCAGCATCTCACAGCATCCAAGTGGCAGTGGCAGAATCTGAACCCAGATTCTTTCCCACGTGGGAGTAAGGAGGCTTCCTAGAGAATGTACACAAGGTACTGGGCCACAGCTGGGAAGCAGAGGGCCATGGTGTCAGCACCAGCTGGAAGCTGACTCCATGGTCACTGAGCTCCTGCTAGTGGCCCATCACCTGATCAGTGGGCTCATGTGACCGCTGAGTGGTCTAAGCCCAGAACAGCTGGACCAGTCCCTTCTTCTAGCCTTCTTGAGAGCAGCAGAGTTCTTCAAGGTCTGATGTGACTCTACCTTATGGGAGTAGAGCAGTTCTGGCATGCCTGAGACAGTGTCCTTATCGCACGAGGCCCCTCATGCTAGGTGACAGCTAGTGGGACTCTTCATCTCAGGCTAAGTGATTATTGGTAAACTGACTCTAGTTCCTGGGTGTCTCCGTGATGCTGGTGTCACCGATGACTGCCTCCGGAGCCCCTACCTCACTCCATGCACATCCTATCGAGGGATAGGTATTTTTGTTACAGTTTTTCACAGGAAGAAACAAGCTCAGAGGGTTGAAAGGCCTGGCCAAGAGCCAGGAGGCTGTGAGGCAGGATCTGAGTGCAGGTACCTTATGACTTTGTGACAGAGCAAAGCGGGGTATGGTCCCTCTCGCTGCCTCTCCCCTCACTTTGGCTCCAACTTTGAGGGGTTGGGAAAGGCACCTACCTCCTTTTCGCCCTCCCATCCTGCTGCTGATAGCCTTAACCAGAGGCAGTGGCTTTCTGACAAAAGGCTTTCTGTAGTGTCCTGGGCATCACTCAACTTCATCTTTGCCCAGTGGAAATGCCCCACTGCCACCCCAGAGGCAGCTTGGGGGCCAACAGCAGATGGGAGGTAGGTTCACCAGGCAGAGTTTCACCTGCCCTGAGTGCTGAGTATTCTAGAAAACTGTGTTTTACAGACATGGTGGGACTGCAGGCTCAGGGTCTAGGACCAGCTTATAGTTCTGAACAAATTGGGTCATGGTAAGCCTGTGGCCCCTGGGATCCTGCACAGTTTTTACTGCCCCTTTGCCAATCTCCTGAACCAAGGACTTGGAGGGCCTCTGAGCCCGGTAGGGAGCAGAGAGGACAGGGAGGCACATGATACCTCAAGGGAGACTTCCAGTGGCATCTGTGAGGGGGATGTGTGGTCTGGCAAGGCTTGTGGCCATGTCTGAGGGAATGCTAGTGCTGGAGTTGGGAAAATACCACCACCCAGGAAAGGACAGTACCAGGGGGCCATGCCGAGGCATGGTAACTGTCCTGTGGACAGAGTCCAGGCCCGAGGAGGGTTCTGGCAGGGCCAGCTGACTTTACAGTTGCAAGTCGGCTTCCTCCCCTGTATGGCAGGAAGGACTCAGGGTGTGAACTGCAGCTCCCTTGTCCTGGTCCCTCCTCATTCTGTCCTAGGCACCCACTCCTACCCCAAGGGGTTCCAATGTGGCATGAGGAAGGTGTAGCTCCACTCGAGGGCCTGAGCCTGGAGTGACCCTATGGCCTTCTTTCCACCCAGACCTCAAGCGCATCAAGGTGCCCTCAGGCTCCTCCACCCTAATGCTGGGCTCCAACTGCTGCCACCTTCTGGTGGCTACAGCAGAAGCTGTGTCTGCCTGGGGTCCTCGAGGCCACTGGCTGGACCAGGATGGTGGCCTCTGTCCCAGGTTCAGGATGCTTGTAAGCCACGAGCCTTGATTCTCAACACGTAGCATGGGCCTCACTCTAGCCCCCGTGGACTCAGTGGAGAGAGGCTTGTCCAACAAGGGAAGGGCAGCCAGAGGTCTGCAGCAATCACGTGGGTGTGGACAGTGACTCAGGCAACTGTGGCCTTTCCAGGACGCTGTCTGCACAGCCAGGTGCTGTGGTCACCATAGGAGAAACAGATGTTTTCTGGCCACTGTTTACACTCCTGGCGAGCACAGCCATCTCCACCCTGTCTCCTCTTTGAGGCCTAAGCGCACGTTGGTGCTGGTCTCAAGTGAGCTGCCCTGTGGGGGAGGCAGCTGACTCCCCAAAAGGGCATTGCCATGGTCAGTGTGGGAGGAGGTCTCCCCACTCACCCCCACCCAGGAACTTTCCAGAGTGCACCCACTGTGGAGCAGGGTGCTTAGAACCGTAAAACACTTGAGGTCATCTGGGCAGACCTCCTCTTCCTCTCTCCTCTCATCTTAGTCAGGGATCCACAAACTTTGGCCCTCTGGTCAAATCCCACACACCACCTGCTTTAGTAAGTGAGATTCAATTGTAATGCGGTCGTACTTCTTTTTTCTTTCTTGTTTGTTTTGTTTGTTTTTGAACTCAGGGATTTGCCTTGCTAAGCAGGTTCTCTATCACTTGAGCCATGCCTCAGCCCTTTGTGCTCTGGTTGTTTTGGAAATAGGGTCTTAGTTTTTGCCAAGGCTGGACTGGACCACAGTCCTCCTATTTTATGCTTTCCTCAGTCACTGGGATGACAAATGTGCGCCATCATGCCCAACTCTTTTTTTGTTGAGATGAGGTCGTTTGGCCCAGGCTGGCCTCTAACCCCGATCCTCCTGACCTCAGCCTCCTAAATAGCTAGGATTATAGACATGAGTCACCAGTGCCTGGCTCAGCCATCCTTCTTTAGCATGCATTGTCTGTGCATACTTTTGCAACAAGCCTAAGGTGAATGACTGAGATAAACCCCAAGTGGTCCACAAATTCATTAAAATACTTGCTACTTGGCCCTTTACTGAAAAACTGTTGTGAATCTCTGGTAAATCTTGCTGAGCCTGGTGACTTTTTCCTTGTCTCTCCTGTAGTAATCAGAACGTTATCTCAGGCATTGAAGTCAAATCTTTTGTGCATCTTCATGTAGCATTCATTGTCACCATCTTAATGATGGTACTTTAGGTTCTCTCTCCTTTGGCCTCTGATAATTGTGTCTGCAATTTTGTGACTCTCTTCTGAATTGTTATGCCAATTGTTTTCTCCCTGAACTTGACCTCAGTGCATATGCCCCCAGCACTCTGGAGAGCACAGACTCAGGCCTGTTTCTCTTCAACAAGGTGAAGCCAAACTCTCCTCCATGGTCCATCCTCCAGCAAACACTTATGCACAGAACTTTTCTCCCTTTCATATTTTTGCATTTTATTTTCTCAGGCAGGTAAGAATGCATATGTGTGGAATACTTAATATTGCTGAGCACAGTTTAATTCTTTCACTCACCCTATGCAACACATATTTCTACTTCATTTTGTACTGTAGCCCAGAGAAGTCAGATTAATTGCTCAGAGTCACACAGCTAGAATGTACCTGGGTTGGGATTCCTCACTGCCGGACACTATCTCCCCATACTGATCCATTTGCAGTAGATTTACAGAGAGAGGCTGTAGGTCTCAGGACCTAGTGCTCTCCCCTAGATTGAATGGCCAGCGCCTCCTGTGGCAGACCCTGTGGTGACCATGACCAACAGAGAGCTCCCGCAGAGGCGTTCCTTCACCTCTTTGTCCTGTTCTAAGTGCAGGACACTGGCCTAGGGCCAGATCTCTGGTGTCCAGAGGGTCCCTCCAGATGAGACCCACCTTCTCATCTGGGAGTGGAATTTGTTAGAGGGAGGCTGAAGCTGGAGGTGCAACCAGCTCAGGACACAGGACCATCTGCGGAGACCTTGCCACTGCCAAGGGGAGAAGATGAGTTCCCCTCCGCCCCTGGGAAGTGGCTGTCATAACCACAGTGTGTCTCACAAGGTGCTGTTTCTCTGACTGATGGCTCGCCAGGTGACAGGGGTGACTGAGAAACCTGGGACTTCTTGCCAGACTAATGGCAGCAGGCAAAAGGTCACTAGCAGCTCTTGACTTTGTACCACTGTAGGCAAGGCCCTAGTCCTCAGGAAGGAGTGGCCTGCAGGGGACTTCACACCTGTCCCCCTCAGGAGTCTTATCTCCCAGCCTGTGCAAGTACCTGGTCTACTTAGGAGGTGACTGTTCCTGCCTGTGTATGTGTGGGGTGGGAGGTAGCCTGCAACTCTGCAGGCTCTTTGAGCTCCCTTGCTGTCTGTCACAACTCTGTTGCCCTTAGGCCAGGTAAGTGGGAGGGCCAGCAGGTGATGGAACCAGGTTTATGTAGGTCTGTGTTGGCAGGCCTACCAACATACATACCAGGTTTATGTAGGTTTATGTAGGTCTGGATTTGGCTCCTGTCACCAGCCCTCCTGCCCAACCTACAGATCCCTGGGTTGTGGAGGGCGCCCAACAATGACAGTTGTCTTCTGCTTCATATGAGCCAGGCTCTGTGAAAACACTGTCACCTTTGTGTCAAAACAGCCCTGATATGAATCTTATTTACAGAGAAGGGAAGCTAGGCCCAGAGGCTGTTGTGTCCCCAAGGCTGGGATTCCTGACACTACAGGGCCCCTTCCCAACTTGCTTAAAGCCCAGCAGGCCTACTTTTCCTCTGAACTTCGTCCTCCTCCTGCTCAAAGGGTTAATTCCAGCCTTCTGTATTTGAAGATGTTTGTTTTATTTGTGCATGCCACAGATTCAAGAGCGGAAACAGCTCACTGTTCCAAAGATCGAGTCTCCAGAGGGTTACTATGAAGAGGCCGAGCCGTACGACACTTCGGTCAATGGTATGTGTCAGTGGCTGGGGCCTGGAGGGGGTCTAACCGCTCTCACCAAGAAGTCAGTGGTGACCATCCAGTGGTGACTAACAAGATTGTGCTGGGTAGAAAGGCAGAGGGTAGTCTGGGCTGCCATTACCAGAGAAAATGGCTCCACTGAAGAATTGGCCAGACAGCATACAGCTTTGGCCTGAATGTGTCTTCAAGGACCCCAGCAGACCCAGCCCATCCACAAGGAGGGGTTGAGCAGATTTCTTGTGTCTGGAGCTTTCTGGGTTCCTGTCTGGAGGCTGCTTCATTCTGCACAGAAAGGTGACAGAGGAGAGATGTTGGCCAAGAGACCCTGGGAGGCAATTGAAGTGGAGGCCAGGCTGAGTCTGAGTTCATCTTATACATTCTTTCATTGAATTCATAGTTGTGCTTCCACTGAATGCCAGGGAAAAGAGCATTCTGACTCAGTGGAGAGAAGACGACAACCAATAAAGCTGGTGGTACGTGTGAGGATGGAACACAGAACAGGACAGGAGTTATTCTCTGACGTGATCTTGGGCAGGTTCCTGAATGCTGTGGGCAATGGATCAGGCAGTTTCCTGCAGGAAGAACTTTCCAGGCAGAAAGCACAGTATGTGCAAAGGCTCTAGGGCAGCGGGGACCTGGGAGTGCTGAGGAACAACACGGAGGTCAGTGTAGCAGGAGCAGAAGAGTGACAGAAGAGGAAGATGCAGAATGGGCTGCAGGACACAGTGAGGACTTTGGTTTTTCTTTGAAAGAAGCTAAGCCTTTGCAGAGTTATGTAGTGATTGACCTAACTTAGGTATTAGACACTGTGAATCAGTTATGCAGGTAGAGCTCAGTGCTGGAACCCCCTGTACTTGGCTAGTATTCTCAGCATACAGAAGATGGGTAAGAAGTTAGCTTTCCATACTATAATGAAGGACCTGAGAAAATTAACTTATAAACAGGAAAGGTTTATTTTGACTCACAGTTTTGGAGGTTCTAGTCCAAGATCAAGTGGATCCATTGCTTTGGGCCTCCAGTGGGCACGTGGCATGGCAGAGCAAACGGCTTGCTTCATGACCAAGAAGCGAAACAGTAGAAGAGCAAGAGGCTGGAGCCTGTAATCCCTTTTGCGGACACACCCCAAGATATAAGGACCTCCCACCAGTCCCTCCTCCTAATAGTCCATATCACCTGCCAATAGCACCACACACAGGACCAAGCCTTTACCATATGAACCTCTGGGGGACAATGAACTTCCAAACCACAGTACCGCACCTTCTCTCCGCCTTCCCTTTCCTCCATTGGTAAACCAGGCCCTGCAGTCAACCAGCAGTGGGTGGTGTGAGATCTGAGGGCCCCTGGTGGTAGGAATGAGCCTGGCTGAGGTAGACCTTGTTTGTAAACAGCAGGAGCAGGGATGAGATGGGACCAGGACACACCCACACCAGATTCTTCTCTTTCTTCAGTCCCAGGGCTGGGGGCAGGGGCCTAGTGGCATTGCAGATATTCTGAGAGGCTAGTGTCTTGTGCAGACATGCTTAGCTTCAACCCACGGAGCACGTGAGGCCCTGCTGCGTGGCCTGGGATGTGATTTCAGACCACAGCTGAGGGTGCAGTGCTGCTGTCTGGAGCATCCTGAAAGTGGGGAGGGTGACTCACCACAGTGAGCACCTCCAGGCACCTTAAGCCTGTCTCTCCTGGGTGTGGCCCCTGCCAGCTGGGGCCTGCCTCCCAGACACGCTAGGCCAGTTTGTGGGGCCAGTGCTACATCACACAAACAACTGGTCAGAAAGACCTGGCCTCTTAGTGTTTCTCTCTTGCCTATGAGTCCCTGTTGGCTGCCACTGGGACTGGGGGTGATTACAGGACAGCTTGAACGTACTGTGTGGAATAGGCAGGAAGTTTGCCTGTTTCTCCTGTCATGGCAAGGTCTGGGAATGACTTGGGGAGATGGCCACACTTATGACAGAAGAGGACTTCACCTGCATGCCTGGCTTTACTTCCTGCCTGCTGTCTCCACACCTGCTTGAGCAGTGAGTCGTGCAGGTTGCTGCAGGAGGAAGGAGCACTGGGCACCAGCCCCTTGCTCTAGGTGGTTGGTCAACAGTGATTTTGCCAACTTCCTACAAAAGGCCAGCTGCTTGGACACTTTCCCTGCTTTGACAGCAGTGATCCCCTGCTACTGCATTGGGTCAGGGGCCTCTCTCTAAGTGGAGGTTCCATGGTCTCTCCTGTTTTCCCGGGACATCAGGCTCTTTACTCCTAATGTGTCATGGAGGGAGTGGGGTGGAGTAATGTGTGTAGCCATAGTGACACCTAAAAAACAATTTCAATATTAACAGCTCTGGTTCCATGTAAGTTGGGTAGCCAGGCTTCCTCCTGGGTTGGCTCAGCCACCATGTAGGGCCACAAAATCCTCTGCAAAGGTAGAGCAGAGAACTCTTGTCTGCTTCTTAAAAGTGCCAGCCACAGGGTCATATATATCACTCTCTCCACATTTCGTGGGTGACAAGTCACATGGCCATCTCTAGAAGTGAAGGGGATGGGGAAATGACATTCTTGACAAGCCTAGACCTCAGAGGGGCAAGCACTATTCTCTGTTGGGCAGGCAGCCAAGCTGACATGGCTTTATACATGTATTTAGCTCTCTCTCTCTCTCTCTTTATCTTGTCTCTCTTTTGCCTCTATCTGTGTTTTGGGACAATGATGCAGGTCGTTCTGATGGCGTTCTCCCTGCTGGAGTGCCCAGATGGGTGCAGGTGCCTGAAGGAGTCATTTATGCCACGATTACCTTGGGTACTGCTTGTCCCTGGAGCTAGAATGCCAGTCATTCCTTGCCTGCTGCCTGTGCTCAGAGACAGGTGCATGCCCTGAGGGTGGCCACCTTCCCATCCTCAATGCATGGCTTCTGCATGTACATGTCCTTATGCTGTCCCACCTGAGGAGCGACATACCCTGCCTTCCACAGCCCCTGCCTGTGTCGCACCAGAAAACGTTGGTGACAGAGCCCGAGCATGCATGGCGCTTCTGTCCTTGGTTCCTGTTCCCAAGGGCTTTCTGGGGGACACAGTGGGGTTCATCCTGATGAACATTCTGCCTTTCATTCCTGCTTACCCTGTGCCCTAATTTTTCTCTAAGCTACTCCAGATGCCATAATTGGCTATCACTTCTCAGTTAGCTTCCTGGAATCCCATGGTGTCACCATTCTCCCGAGGCATACAGGATCCCCAGAAACACACACTGGGGACCCATCCAACTTCTTTATACTAAGCTCAGTAACCTCCCTGCATTGACTCTTGTTCCTGAAGTGAACATCCCAATGACATTGTATCATTCTTCTTTTTTTTGTCCAGAAAATACATTGAGGACAAGAGGACACTTTAAAAACTCCCCCTGACCCCACCTCCCTGTCAAAGTTGCTGCTTTGAGTTCTCTGGGGTACCTTACAGAACTGGTCTATTTACATCTGCAATTCTGGCTGTGCCTTCTCCCCTGTCATTGTCTCTTAGGGGAGTTTATTGAGTTGTTGACTGGTTTTCTTGGTTTTCATTGATTGTGGTTGCACAGATGCCCCTAGGAGAATGGAGTCACGTTTTACTTATCCAGTCCCCCCTCTGCTGACTGATAATGGCTCTTGAATGGATGTACTCATGCATGTAGCATTCCTCCCTCCCCTGTTTTACTTTTGTTGATTTATTTGGTGCCGGGGATTGAACTCAGGGCCTTGTGCATATAGGCCAAGAGTTCTACCTCTGAGGCATGCACCCAGCCCCTCCTCCTTAAAACAAAACAAAACAAAACAAAACAAAACAAAACTACTTTCCTAGAAAAACTCTTAGGACTGGGATTATTGGATCAAAGAGCATGGGTGTTTTTCTGGCTCTTGAAACAATAGGCTGCCTGATTGCTTTCTGAGAGCTTATGTGGATTTGCACAGCCACCAGCAATATGAGAGTTCAGAGTCCCCTGCTGGGTTGTACTATGATTTCCCATCTTTCCTTATTTAGTAGGCATTAAATTATGGGCTGGACAGCTTTTTTCTTATTATTAAGACAGGAAAAGGACTAATTCCACAGTGCTTTTAAAGAAAACTGATATTAAAATATTTAAAGCATTATTTCTAGAAATATTAAGACAAAATAAAATATATTTTCATTGGCACCCTAACTAGAATAACTATCGCAGTAGCCCATTTTCTTTGTATATTCTAATTGAAATGTGGGTCTGTTTTCCTCGTGTGCAGGTATTCAGCTATGCAGATAGGCAGGGGCTGTGGATTCTTCTGGAAGATTTATCTGTCCCCTGGGCTATTCTTTTCCTGAAGGGTATCATGGGACAGGAGTGGGGGGCACATCATTCAGCCTGACTCCACAGAACAAGGGCTGCTGTGTGGAGGTCACAGGGAAGTAGATATTGGGCTCATTTTCTGAATGACCAGGAGGTAGTGAACTCCCCATCCATGGGGAATTCAGACAAAGCCTCAAGGCCATGATAGGCAGGATGTCTGTGCTGAGCCAAGGCCAGGGCTGGGAATCCTGGGGCTCCCTTTTTTTCCAGGCACTGCTTTTCAAGGAGAATGGATGGATGGATGGATGGATATACAGACATAAAGATAGATTTATTTTGTTCTCATGGGTTTTTTTTGGTTGGCCTTGAATACAGCAGCGAAGCTGGAGAAGGAAACAACTCTTGCAGGGCAGGGGGGACAGAAACTAGAAACTGAAGCAGGTGAAATGTGCGTAGAAATTTTGCTGTGGTGAGTCTGGGGATTCTTTCAAACAACAGAAACAGGAGGTGGATTCGCAGCCAGTGGCAGAGGAAGGATGTAAGGTAGAGACCAGGTAAAGGGACTCAGTCAACAAGAGGGAAAGGATGAGTAGATTTGTTGAAAAGGATCTGACAGCCAGGCTGGTGGTACATGCCTGTAATCCCAACTACACAGGAGGTGGAGGCAGAATGATTGTGAGTTTGAGGCCAGCCTACACCAAGGTAATGAGACTATATTTCAAAAACAAAAAAAAATGAAGACAAAAAGGCTGGGGGCATGACTCAAGTGATAGAGCACTTGCTTAGCAAATGTGAGTGTGTGAAGATTGTGTTCAATCCCCAATATTGCAAAGAAATTTGCAAAGCAGGGCTGTGGTCAGGAGAAGGGGACTTAAGGGTAGCAGTTGAAAGGTATTTCCTGCTGTGGTTTATGTGGCCTTTTCTTTCTGAGGACCTCCTGACTTGAGGCAGATTCAGGCAGCATGGTGACTGCTAAATGTACACAAAGCTCACAGCTCAGATCCGAGGGCATCCTCTCCTTCCTGACCCCTGTGGATGGCAGAAATGCCAGGTCTGAGGAACCTGGAAACATCTCTATCACATTGGCTTCATCCTTTATTTGGGGAAAGGCCAATAGGGATACCTGGCTCCTCAGGAGCATATAAACTGTGTCTGTGTCTATGGAGCCCAGGAAGATAGGCTTGGAGAAGGGAAAAGGAGAAACTCCAGTTTTAATTTCTTTCTGTTCTGTGGTCCAAGGCAGTGTCTGAGAAGCTTCTTCAAGGGATTTGGGGGAAAAAGCCAGCCCAGGTCTTGGTTTGTGGCTGTGGGGTTTTTTCAAGGGCATGGAGGACAGGCCTGGGGCCACTAGCTGCTCCTACCCGCTGTCTTCTGCTAAGTCACTTGTTTAGGGACATTTTCTGCCCAGTGGGGCCCTGATTGAGTGAGTCTTCCTTGCAGAGGATGGAGAGGCCGTGAGCAGCTCATATGAGTCCTACGATGAAGAGGAAAGCAGCAAGGGCAAGTCGGCCCCCTACCAGTGGCCCTCATCGGAGGCCAGCATTGAGCTGATGCGTGACGCCCGCATCTGTGCCTTCCTGTGGCGCAAGAAGTGGCTGGGCCAGTGGGCCAAGCAGCTCTGTGTGATCAGGGACACCAGACTCCTGGTCAGTCTCTGTCTTCTCTCCTTGCAGGGGTGGAGTTGGGGATGCTCCCTGATGTGAGATGGGGGTGGGAAGGTTAGAGATATTGATACTAGGAGATTTTTAACCTCTCCCTCACCTGAAATTATATGCAGAATTTTGTGTGTGCACAGATGTGCTTTTTCTGACCTAGAAAGATTTGGTAGTTTTCATTAGGCTCTCAAAGACACACCATTATTTTGAGAGAGACACATCTTTCTGTTTCTTGGTCCTTCCTCATGTTTTGATCAGCGAGCCCACTGTATCCTGCAGCCCAGTGCCCAGTTCCTATTCTGGCTACTGCTTTGGTCTGAGCAACATGAGAATTTTGGGAATCTTCTCAGGAGCTATAAGTCTCCAAACTACTGATTGTTAAGATCCCTAGAGGAATCAGAGATATTACTCTGACAACAGTTCTAATCCCTGGTATTTAAAATTAAAATTTGCAGTTTTGATATGGGCATGGGTGATTGTGTGCCTGAAGTCCTGGCTACTTGAAAGGCTGAGGCAGGAGGATCACTTGAGTCCAGGAATTTTGCCAGCCTAGGCAACAGCAAAACCCTATCTCATAAACAAACAAAATCCACACTTTTATGCCCTGACTTGAAGTTCTACAAAATTACTATAAATACCTTTTCTTCTCTGGTCATGATGTGCCCTGCCCTGTACAAATGTCATTTCCGGTGATTTTGTCACACAACCCTGTAAAAACCCCCATTTTGCAAGAAGATATTGAGGGACAAAGTATTTTCCCTGGTGGGGAAAAAAGTTCCTTTCCATTTTTTGCTAACACAGCATCTTCCTAAGGCAGATAGCAAACTTAGTTTTAGGGCCTGATGATGCTTTGTTGGGAAAGCTGACGACGAAATGCAGAGAGGTGGAGAAACGGTCAGTTTGTTCCATCCTGGAGAAGTGAGTGTCGTCCAGTCATGTGCTCCTTCGTGACCCATTCTTTAGGTGAATGTGTGGGACACACGCTTTAGGTGATTTCATCACCGTGTGAATGAACATCGTCAACCAAGACAGCTACGTCCCTAGGCGTCCAATCTTATGGGACCACTGTCCATTGCTGTGAGACCCTGTTGACCAGGACACCATTAAGTGATGCATGACTATATTTGAGGAGCCCATCCTGCAGACCCAGAGCAAAGTGGAGCTATTGGATAAGCAGAGTCCTGGCTGAGGCCAGGGAGGAGGAGGTGTGAATGAAGGGAGATAATCTGACACAGGAAATAAGAGTCTCTGATATTTGAGGTTCAGCCTCTGGGCCTGCCTGGGGGGTAGTCAGGCTCTCACGGGGATCTTTCATTGTTCAGGGGCCCCTCCTTTGCAGAATCCAACCTCAGCCTGGCCCCCTGGCAAAGTAATGTATTTTCTCTTCCAGTGTTATAAATCCTCTAAGGACCACAGCCCTCAGCTTGATGTGAACTTGCTGGGCAGCAGTGTCATTCACAAGGAGAAGCAAGTGCGGAAGAAGGAACACAAGTTGAAGATCATGCCGATGAACGCCGACGTGATCGTGCTGGGCCTGCAGAGCAAGGACCAAGCCGAGCAGTGGCTCCGGGTAGGACAGGGCCACCAGGCCACTGGGACCAGGGGTTGCTTTCTCCAGGGCTCATTGTGAGAGGCTCCCAGCTCCCAGCTTCTTCTAAAGGGATGGGAGATGTGGACAAGAGTGCAAGGGCTGTGATCCTGCCTGCACTCAGTGGCAGTCAGCACCATGGAAACGCTAGAGTAAGCACTTTGTTGCCTATTCTAGACCCTGCCCAGAAGCAAGGACTTGGTCTGTGCTTGTAACCCCCTTATGGGTTCTGGTGAGGCGTCACCAGCTTCCCTAGTAGAGAGTGGATGTTGTTGCATCTGTAAAGTATTTATCACGGACCGTGGACTTTGAGCGGGTTTAACCCCGGGGATAGCTGGGCAATGTTAGTAATACCTCTGTGTCAGAGAAGTGGAGATGGAGGCTCACAGGGTAGAGGTGACTGAGGTCACCTGGCAAGTGAGTGGTGACACTAGATTACAGATCTAGGACCATCTGACCGTGGTTCTGCGATCCCTGCCATCACAAAGCACCTGGGCAGCTCTGCCATCACTTACCCCAGGTGTGTGAAGATGAGAGCACCTAGTGCCCCATGTTGAAGATGAACTTGATGATTCCAAAGGTTATAAGGTTTGTAACAAAAAAGGACACACTGTTCCAGAGGGTCTCAAACACCAACAGAGCCCCTGGTGAGGCTGGTTTGAGCCAGAGCTGTCCACTTCACCATCACAGCCACACTGACACATTTCTGGCCTTATATCCACCCCCTAACCCCACCACCCTGGCTAAAATAGCCATTGTGGTAAGCCTGTCAGAAAGAGACCTGTGTCACCTTATTAAAGTATGACTGAAAATGGTACCTGCCCAAGGCACTGGCCACCCCAAGTGCTGAGTACCCCAGGTTTTGAGCAGGCAAGCGGTTTTTGTGAAAACCACTAGTGCTTTCAGAAACCACTAACTGTCTTGAGAATTCTGGCCAAATCAAGCTTCTAGGAGGAGCTAGAGGTACCCTGACCCTTACTGTACTTTTTCAGATGGTGAGAGACCTCTGTATAAAACACAAAAGACCACTAGACAGACAGGTTTGAGGTTTAATGCGTTCCTGAGAGATTGTTGACTCTGAAAGGCCAAACCTGGCATTTGAGAGCAAGGACTCTGGCTTCAAATCCTGCCCCACCCTTTTCATCTTGGTTGGTTACTTAATGCCTACAAAGTACTAAGCACTGTACCAGGTGTGTGCTGAGTACATGAAATTCAGCCAGCACAGATGACACTGCTAAGGCCCAAAGAGTGTGAGGGGCTGGGCTGCAGAGTTGACTAGGAGCCTGGGCTCTGAGCTGCTAGTGTGGTGTTTAGCAGACGTCTCATACCCAGACTCATCCCTTTGGCTTATGATACTCTTCCCCATCCTCATCCACTGTGTACACCACACACACACACACACAACACACACACACACACACACACACACACACTGCACATACATTTGTATGTGCTCATATACTCATATATACTGCTCTTGCTCCCAGTTCTCAGCTCTTTTGCTGTACCCACTCAGACCCACCTATTCTTCTCCTGACCCCAGCCACCCTCCCCAGACGCTCATGCCTTCTCCCTGAGACCCTTGGCCCCATAGACCCTGCTGGTGGCTTCAAAGACCAGTGGTTTCAGAAGGCATAGCCTCTTTGTGTCCTCCCTGGTCAGATAAACACAGAGGTGACCTTAGCTGTAAGTGCCTGGCTCTGAAAAGCTGCCCACTCCTGCAGTGTGGCAGGGCTGTTCAGCCTGCCTGAGGGGCTCTTCATCAATCTGCAAAGCTGCACACCTTCCTAGGCCCAAGAAGAGAAAGGTATAAGATGGTAAATGGGAGATGGGGAGTATGGGATGAGAGCCTAGAGAAGCAGAAAGCTCCATGCCCTCCAGCTGAACTCCCGGCTAAGTGGTGCCTCCTCTGGGCAGAATATCCACATATTCAGGCTCAAGGTAATAAGGACAGGATGAATACACCTGCCCTGTGCCAGGTACTTGACATGGAACCCTCAGAGCCACCCCGTGGAGATGTCCCGCCTTCCAGATGCAATGACTGAGGCATAGGACTAAGGTCATACAGCATGTTTTCAGACTCTTCCTCTGTGAAACTATTTTGCATATCCTTCATGGACCAAAATCAGTCTAAGAAATGAAAAATATTCATCTTTTTGTTCTTTGGTAATTCTGATTTTAAATACACTTCTATAAACTGCTCTAGGCAGAGACTGAAAAAGGAGTATCCTGAAGTCACGCTTACTAATTCTGTGTCTTCAAAGGGCTTTTGGAAGGGGTGTGTGTGTGCATGAGTGTGTGCGTGTGTGCGCATGTGTGCGCACGTGTGCGTGCGCGCGCGTGTGCGCGCGTGTGCGTGTGTGTGCGTGCGTGAGTGTGTGTGTGTGCACGTGTGCGCGTGTGCATGTGTGTGGGCGCGTGTGCGCGCGCGCGTGTGCGTGTGTGTGTGCGCGTGTGCGCGTGTGCGTGTGTGTGCACGTGTGCGCGTGTGTGCGCGTGCGTGCGCGTGTGCATGTGTGTGGGCGCGTGTGTGTGCGTGTGTGTGTGTGTGTGTGTGTGTGTGTGTGTGTGGCTGCCCTGAGCTGTTTCCCTCAGGGAGGCTTCTGGCTCAGAAGGGGGCTGGGTGCATTTCTGTTTAGTGAGGTCAGAGCCACCTCTGACCTTCTGCATGTCTCCAGCCTAGGCCTGGGTGCCAGTTAAAAGGTTCCTTCCCAGAAGAGGGTGGGGAAGACAGTGGCAGACAGGTCTGCAAAGTCCACATCTATGGAGTCAGTTTTCAGGCCTCCTCCCAAGCAGCATGGAGACTCCAACAGCAAGCCCACAGCTCCCCAAAACCAGCGGGGCAACCAGCAACTGCAGAACCAGACCTGCCCCAGAACAGCACCAGTGCCTGGAACTGGGGCAGGAAGGGGCTTATGGAGCCAGGGACTGACTGCTCTGGCCATCTTTGCACTTTGCTGCAAAGGCCCTCTTGCCTGTGCTCAGAACATGTGGGGACTGCAGGAAAGGGACTAGGCCAAAAGCCCTGTCCATGGCAGGCTGGACAGCAGGTGTCCCAGCTGTGCTTGCACACCACATGTGGGCTGGGTCCAGCAGAGGTGCTTCTCTGTTCCTTGGAAGCACTGCGTGCGCTCCCTCACTTCTACCCACTCTCCCCGGGCCTCGAGGGATTCTGCTTTGGCCTGACTGTGGGTGCAGGCCAAGAGGGCTGCTCCGCCAGGATCCTGCTGATGACATTCCTCTCGCTTCAGGTCATCCAGGAGGTGAGTGGCCTGCCTTCTGAAGGACCGACAGAGGGAAATCAGTATACCCCAGATTCCCAGCGCCTGAACTGCCAGAAAGTAAGGCTTTGCCCTGCCAGAACAGAGAGTCCAATTCCATGTTTTCTCTAGGAAAATTAAAAAGTGTTTTTTAATTTTAACACAATTGGTAAAATAGTGCTTAGATAAGGGCAGTAACTTTATCTTGGTATGAAAGTTCATTAAATGGATTATAGACAGACTATTCGCTTGCTTAGGCAAGGAGGTGTTATTGGAGCAAAAGTCACTTTGCCCCATATTTTTAAGCTGGAGACTGATTTTACAGGCTCTTTCTTCCCACAGTTTCCTCACAGAGCCTGGTATGTATGGGGAGTGAAGAGGGTCTCAATGCTGGTACTCCATCAAGGGCCCCAGTGCTCACTTGCACTGAGCTTTGGGGGGAGCTTCAGGCTAAAGGTCAAAGCCAAGGAAGTAGATTGAGTGCTGTCACCTGTGGGGGCGGAGTGCTCACTCTTCCCATCCCTGTGTATTAGCAGGGAGGTGCCCTGAAGCCTGTGCATCCACAGAGAAGCCAGGGGGTTGTAGTGTCTCATTGTTGGGTACCCAGCACTGGCAGGGAAGAAAGCAAGCAAGGGGACACTCAGAGGACTGAGCAGGGAGGAAGCCCTTTGTTCTTTGGGAGGCTGAAAGCACCTGGAAAAGTGCCCACAGCCCTGCCAGACAGACTAAAGAGGGGCTGGTGTTTTTGTTGCCTCACTCATTCCTTGGCCACTGACAAAAATCAGAGTGAATTTGGGTCTCCTTCCCATTTGGGGTGAGGAGAGCCCTCCCTGTGGATGCAGCCGCAGGGCTTACCCTGGGTCTTGCCTCTGGCCGGCCCATTGGTTGGGGCCTATAAGCTTGTTTTCTAGCTATCTGGGGTAGGAAATTCTTGAGAAGAGTCACTGGAACATTCTGAGTGCTTCACATCCCACCACCAGCAGCAGCACCAGCAGCAGCAGCTACATTTCCCAGAGAGTGCCTCCTCAAATGCAGTCTAGGATGTTATTCCTGTTTGACCCAAATGCAGAGGGAGGCTCAGACAGGCTCATTCATTCATGCACTGATGGGCTGGTGGAGGACACTCAAGTTGTGCCTGGAGTCATGTCTGACCTTGTGAGGATGAACCAGTGCTTCTCCCAAACCCCATGTGCATGAGGATGGGAGGGGGCAGGGACCTCAGGAAGGATGCCGAAGGCAGGCGCTCCAAGGACTACAGAGAGAAGGTTGGCCAGTATCCCACCAGTAATCTGAGTTCTTACTGGTCGGGGTTTGGTTACGTGACTGTGTCCTACACCCAAGAGTTGTCTATTTTCTCTTAAACTGTAGACTACAAAGTAACCAATCCTAGCCAGTGATCCACACTTGTCTTTTTGTCCACAGCCGGATATAGCTGAGAAGTACGTGTCAGCTGCAGAGTATGGGAGCACCCCTGATGGTCACCCTGAGGTCCCAGAGACCAAAGACGGTAACGATGCTATGCCTCTCAGCCTTGTGGTTGGGAAGGTAACTGAATTCTAGGATGTGAGACTTAGCTGTCTGGCTCAGTCCTAATGGGTTTTAGCAGCTGATTTTAACATGGCCTCTAATTTATAAGCTAATTATATAAGCTTTATTGGAAGTGCTGCAGCAGATAGGTTGTAGAAATGAGATGGCCAAATTGAAGTTAAGTTTTGTGAAAGGCTGGGGTAGATTATTCTTCCATTTCTTCTTATTTGCAAACCCTATTTCAAATCTCTTTGAGTTGGTACAGACTGTAAAGGTTCTAATGTGCTCACCTGTGCTATAAGACATCTATGTACCCTCTTGAATGTGTGACTGTGGAGATGGCTGGTTATATCTGCAGATCCTACTTTGGGGAGCAGGCGCACATGTGTATGCATGTGTGTGTGTGTGTGTGTGTGTGTACGCTCACATGTGTGTTGGGGGGAGGGAGGAATGGGCCAATGTAATGAGAATGAGATTGCCTGCAGGTGCCCTATGTGCAATGCTGATTGCTTTTTCTCTCACCTTGATAGTCAAGAAGAAATGTTCTCCTGGCCTCAGACTGAGCAACCTAATGAACCTGGGCAGGAAGAAATCCACCTCATTGGAGCCTCCAGAGAGGTCCCTTGAGACATCAAGTAAGAATCGTTGCCACCTCAGAACCCAGGGCTTGTTCACTGGGCTATTCCCCAGAAGGCGAGCCTGGACAGCAAAGGCAAAGGATATCAGCTGACTTTAAACATCTCTAGGGAGGGAGAACTCCTAGGCCTCGGCTTTGAGTTTGTCTGCCCTGAGTGGTGTTCTTTATGTCTAACAAGACTCTTGCTGCAGTGTGGGATCCTTTGAGGAAGTGAAGGGTAACTGATTGGTCTCATCCTAATGATCTTTTAAAAGTACTGTTCATGTTTGATAGGCATCTGTGGGGCGTAGTGCACAGTGCTAGGACAAGGGGGACAAACAGGTGGAACATGAAGTCCTGAGAACTTCAGCCCAAAAGAGAGTAAGGTTTTATCCCCTCAGTACACCCTGGACTATCTTATGGCTTACGGCCTGAGCCCTGGGGACATGAAGAACATTTCCTGCTTTGTGGTCTGAGATGACTTTGTGGTCCTGAGCCTTGAAGGGCAGGCTGATGCTGAGTAGGCTAGAATGGTGCCTGTGGGGGAGAGCAAAGTCTCTGAGATGAAACATGAACAATGACAAACCCATGTGACTGGTCCAGAGGGCATATGTAGTGCTGGCAGGTTCTTAGAGGTCATTGTTACTGCCCTCACTCCTACTTGAGGAAACTGAGATCAGGAGGGGAGATAGGCCTGGCCTGGAAAATACCCTGGTGTGACATCTTGGCCCCAGTGCTGGGGCTCGTGGCTGCACCTATCCCTGGGGCTGAGAGGACATTTGCTGTCCCACAGTGGATCTTTTCCTCTGTCCCATCACTGGGCTCTTTCCTGAGTTCTAGTTAAGTTCTCTTGTTGCTTGAGGCTGGTAGGGTTTACCAGGTGAATGGGAAGGGAACAGAGGAAGCCTTCTCTCTGGAACCTCCTGCTTCTCTGGCCAAGGCTGGAGAGTGGCCTGGTTCTGCCTGTCCTACAGCCTTAGGAGGCCTGATGCATGGCTTGGATCCTGATCTCAGTGTCTGGGTAATATGGCTGGGTTGTTGCTAGAAGTTTGCTCCACAGGCAAGCATGTTTCTGTTACCTGTGGCAGAGAGAACACAGTTGCTGTCCTTCCCAGAACTCAGGTACTTAAGAACTGAACTCCCACTTCTCTCAACCCAAATTTCTCCTTGATCCCAGATAGCTGTGCTGGGCATGGGTGGCATCTGCCCGGATGGGCCAGAGTGCCAGATTCTGGTCACTCATTCCTCTACTTTGCTACTGTGCTGCTATGTTAAGGTGGTTTGTAAGATTTTCATACTCCCCACTGTATGTCCAGCACTGGGCACAGTGAGAAGGTGGCTGTGACTTTAACTCTGCTGCCAAGGCATCTGACTAAAGTTCAGCACAGCTGTCAACCTGTTAGGATGGGGAAGGAATCCACATATTTATTTGCCAGTGCACCTGAGAAGGTGAGGAACTGAGAGATGTCAACCTACCACATGCAGTGTGCAGAGGGACTTAAGGCTGGATTTTACTCATCTTTATTGCCCTCACCCAGGGACAAGGCTGCATTTGGCATGTATCAAAAGCTCAGTATAAATGTTCATGTGATGTGGAAAAGGTATGTCCTCTCCTTGGGAAACTGAACACAACATATGCAACCATTTGAGAATAAGAAGGGATGGTATTGTGGGTGCATTGTACACACTGGCAGCCTCTGTGTGCACAGAGGAAAGGGGAGCAGTTTCCCTGAAGGAAAGGCCAAAGACAAAGGCTGTGGGCATTGGAGAGGATACATTGCTGTTCCTGCCCTTGAGAAGTACCTGTGTCCACCTGAGGAGGTCAAAGTGGAAGCAGAAAATTTTGCTATACCTGGACCCAGGTGTTCTGACAGCAGGCAGAGCAAAGAATGGGGCTCAGGGAGGGAGACAGCCACTCTGGGAGGATGAGGAAGACTTGGGTGCTGCAGTTTAAGTATGAATAGCCCAGGGGCGGAAAGGCTGTGAGGAGAGCTCAGGAAACTGAGGCTACAGATGCAACAGGATTGACCCTACAGCCAGAAGATGTGGACTGGGCAAGCTTCCTGCCACAGTGGCTTGAGTAACCAGATGTGGGGGGGCGGGGGAGGGCTGTTGTGGGTTAAGACATGAAGAGTCATGGAGATTAGGTCCCTGATGGGAGAGCCTCTGTCCTGCGCACATACACACTGGATGTGGTCTGATGGAGGATGGAACTTACTGCCCTCTGGATATACCTTTGCCCAAAAGCAATAGAGCTCTGCTGCTCAGCTTCAAAGGCTCTGACAGCTTCTCCAAAGCCTTTGTGAGATAAGAAATACATGATGGATTCTGAAACAGGTGCCGGGGCAACTCTCAGGAGGCCCTAGGGCAGTACCAGCCCTAGACACTCTTGACTTTCTAGGCCGTCCTGTGACCAGGACCTCTTCTATATTGTCATCCCTTTCTGTAGCCTCATCCCCTTCTGCAGGTGCATATCCACCCCCCCACCAAGGCATCTCTTCTCCTGCAGCCATGTCTCTTCCTGCAGGTGCATCCCTCCCTTCAACCTCATCCCCCTTACCTCCTGCAGGTTACTTGAATGTGCTGGTCAACAGTCAGTGGAAGTCACGCTGGTGCTCTGTCAGGGACAATCACCTGCACTTCTATCAGGACCGAAACCGGAACAAGGTGGCCCAGCAGCCCCTCAGCCTGGTGGGCTGTGAGGTGGTCCCAGACCCACACCCTGACCACCTTTACTCCTTCCGCATCCTTCACAATGGCGAGGAGCTGGCCAAACTCGAGGTAAGCTGCCCCATGGGTAGCAGGGACAGCCAAGGTGTGGCAGTTGTGGCTCTGTGGTGCAAGTTCAAGGGACCATTACCTCACTAAAGGAGAGTCGACTTAGCTACACATTATTTTTCATTCCTTTGTCTGCAGTTGTTTGCATTTTTTAAATCTGCATTCCTGTTCTGACCTCAGAGTGGTTGTGTTACAGGAATGGGGCAGTGAGCTACTTCCTGCACTTAGAGCAATAGAGAATATTTATAACTCAGATCGCCAGCAGACAGTCTTTTGGGATTCAAATGGGTGTTTATTTAGTTTGCTGTGTCACAGCTAGGAGAGCTCAAGGCCCCAGTAGATAAAAACGACCACTGTAAGAACTGATCTAGTGGGCAGGATTGGTTCTGTGGTACAATTATTTCTCCCACTCCCTGCTCTTTGTTTGATGTGCTGTTAGTGTCACAAATACAAGAGGTGACATAATGCCTTGCAATGAGCCCTGCAGGCAGAGTCCAATTTCTCTGCATGCACTATAGTCCATTAACTCTCATCACTTAGTCCTTTATCCAGGGATCTTCCTCCAAATTTTACTTCAATACTGCCCTCTGGTGGCTAAATCATCCACATCCTAGGGACCAGCTTGTATTCATCCATTCGTCAGTTGCAAATGCCCTAATAAGGTGGATGAGAGAGAAAAATTCTTCGCGTCCTCATGGAGCCTTTATTCTATTTGAGAGTATGATGATATTTAATTAAGTTCTTAGATACAGTTGCTGGAAAGGAGCAGGGGGGCACTGTGAATGTTTGCAGGGGTGGCATAGGGCAAGGCTGGGAAGGGAGACAGGACTTGATGCTAGGAGCAATGAAGCATCTGAAAAGTTTAAGGAAGGTGGCATGCTCAGATTTGGATTTTAAAATGTTTCTCCAGTTACTAGGTGAAGGATGAATGGAAAGGGGACAAGAAGGGACAAAATGACACCTGTTAGGAAGGTGCTATAATTGTCCAGTGCAAAAGTGTCTATCCATGAAAAATGGCATTGAAACACTGGTTGAGAATGAATGGGCAAAGGAAACCAAATCTGGCTTAGAGCTGCCTCTCTAATTAATAAAATAATGCCAAAGGGGAGCTGGATTTCCTCATGAAAATTAACCAACAGCTTTTAATAGAAGTCCCAGTTTACTTATTATAAAGGCAAGAAACAATGTGTTTCATTAGAATGCATTGTTCCCTGGAAAGAAAAAAAGCCAATTAACTGGGATTTGGTTGGTAATTTAGCAGAGCTACCTGACCTTGGGTAAGGTCTTTAAGACACCTTGACTTTATTGAAGTCATAAACAAAAATGAATGTGAATATTGTTATTTCTTAATACGGGTCCAGGCAGTCTCGTATGTATTGATTAGTATGATAAACTGATCAATCGTTCATGAACTAGAGGTGTCAACCTACAATGTACCCAATGCATTACTGAATAGTTAATAACTTTGCTTTCAATAACTATTTTACATAATACGTAAATGTTAAAATAACTTTAATAGTTATCACCTCATGATAACTAACAAGAATTACCATCTTCTGGACATATACGTATATAAATCACTTGTGACACTTCTAATGTCCAGTGCATCATTGAGGTAGCATCAAGAAATCAGGAAATGTCATTTGGGGTCACTGGGGACATGCTATTGAAAATGATGGAGCCCTGTCCCACTGTCTCAGAGGCCTGCTGGTGGGAACCAGATCAGGCAGTGGGGCAGTTTGGAGCTGGTGGAAGGGCCTGACCCCAGGCAGCCCTCTCTGGTCTTGCTCATGTATCACTCCACCTCTTTCCAGGCCAAGTCTTCTGAGGAGATGGGTCACTGGCTTGGCCTCCTGCTCTCTGAGTCGGGCTCTAAAACAGATCCAGAAGAGTTTACCTATGATTATGTGGATGCTGAGAGGGTTTCCTGTATTGTCAGTGCAGCCAAAAACTCTCTCTTGTGAGTATGACACAGTCTCCCTCATGTACACTTCCATTCCAGTTATGCTTCTAGACCCTGGGCCCAGCCTAGCCTCTGGTGGGCAGCAGGGTAGCTGCTGAGAGCAAGCATAGGGTTCAGCCCTTCTGGGTCCAGCAGCAGAAAGAAGTGAAGTCTACGGTCGACAAACAGCCTCCAGGAAAGCCCAGCAAAGAGCTGGGCACTGAGCCAGGCCCCAGAGTCAACTGTGCCCCTCTCAGGATCCTTAGAACAGAGTGGGCACTTTTCCTGACCTTCCCCTGGACCTCACTGGTCTCCAACACACCCTGGAATAAAGCAAGGCAGGAGGTGGTGTTTCTCCTTTCCAGATGAGCAAACTGGGGTTTCAGGAGAATTGTGTTGGGACAGCGAGCTAAGGCCAGTACTGGTGGAAGCCAGCTGAGCCACTGAAACAGGACCCATCTTTGTACAAAACGGAGATGGTATTTGGTCTTTGTTGCCTCAGATGTATTGTGGGAGGAAATAAGAAAGGATCTTGTGCTAGGAAGAGATCCTGAAAGGGAGAAGATGGCCACAGGATGCTAAGAGTGAGGAGTAAGGTAGGGAACCAAATAGTTCTAGAAAGAAGGCTCTGGGAAAGGAGGCAGTAGAGGCCCCCAAAAGCATGGAGGCTAGCAGCCATCCCTAGATCTCTGTGTAGCCAAGTGCTTTCTTTCTGGATCCTTTGAAGCTGGCTGTCCACCACCCTGTCCTTGAGGCTTCATGCATGTTGAATTCTGCCATATCTTCCAGACTGATGCAGAGAAAGTTCTCAGAGCCCAACACATACATCGATGGTCTTCCTAGCCGGGACCGCCCGGAAGAACTGTACGATGACGTGGAGATGTCAGAGCTGACGGCAGCAGTAAGGACTTGGAGGGCAGTAGCCTGGGGCTGTCCAATCCTCCTCCTACCAAACCTCCACATTAGAGATAGTTGAATTGACCCTAAGATGAGTGGGTTCCAGGCATCTACTAAGGGCATCTGTACAGACCCTAGGAGAAGCAAGCTCATCCTCTTTGTGGGGGAGCTGTGCAGTTGACTTGGTTTGGGGATTAAACAGTGGCTTCACTACCCTGGTCAGTACACAGGGTGAAGAGTGTGATATGGGATTGGGAGCGATGACACATTAACCTTCGAGGTCCACATTGATGGCTGGAGAGGGGGAGCCGACCATACTAGTGGAAAGGTCCTTGGCAAACAGAGTGCTTGCTGTGCTCAGGGCTTCATAAAGCTGGTCTCCTTTATTCCTGACCATCCTACAGGAAAGCACTACTACTTTCCTGTTTACAGAGGAGTGCCATGTCTTAGTCTTACACCTCTGGAGCGGCACATCCAGGACTCAACAGTGAGCTCCCCCAGGAGGGAGGAGGTCCCTGAGAACTCCTGCATGGGCTGGTGTCCTGTCCACAGCCAAGGGAGTAGAGGTAATATTACCACCTGACTATCTTCTGCAGGTGGACCCTGCCAAAGAAGCTACCCCTGCCTTAGACACCCCAAGTGAGAGTGAGCTTGACCGAGTATACCTGGACCTCACACCAGTCAAGTCCTTCCTATACAGCCCCAGTGGTGGGCAGGCCCAGGCCTCCTCCTCCTCCACGTCACTGCATCTGGATCATCCAACTGAGGCCCTCCCTGCAGACCCAGATCTAGAACCCACCCTAGATGAGCCCTGCGTGAAGTCTCCAGGGGACCCAGAGGAGCAGGTATAGGCCATTGTGTCAGTGAGTGTCCTGCCACCTTCTGTGTCCTCCAGCTCAGTCATGTGCTTTCGCCCTGCACAGAAGCAGCTGGAGAGTCAGGAGCCTGAGGAGCCAGCCCTGAAAATCACCACAGTCAAAGTGCAAGCTGAACAGCAAAGAATCTCCTTCCCAGCAAACTGCCCTGACATCATTGCTGCAGCCCCAGCCAGTGCCAGTGCCAGTGCCAGCCCACCTGGGAAGGACAGGCTGCGGGTGACCAGTGCAGGTGCCTGTGCTAGATTAGAACTTAACTTTTTGGACATGGCTTAGAGAAGTTAGCCCAATTTCTTCCTTTCAGAGGAAGAAACAAGTTCAGAGAAGTGAAGGGACTTGCTCCAGGTCACACAACAAAGAAAGTGTGGGCTCAGTTTCCTTTCCCATCCCTGCTGGGCTGGTCTAGAGTCCAGCTGTAATTGTCTGCCCAAGCCCTGGGTTCTGTTTGAGCCTGGGGAGTAAGCTGGGGACATCTCTTATGACCCAGCCTAGCTGACATGGGGTTTCCTCTCTGGGTCTGTAGAGATCAAACTTGGTAAGAATCGGACAGAGGCTGAAGTAAAGCGGTATACGGAGGAGAAAGAAAGGCTGGAGAAGAAGAAGGAAGAGATCCGAGGGCACCTGGCTCAGCTCCGGAAAGAGAAACGGGAACTCAAAGAGACCCTGTTAAAATGTACAGGTGAGGGGCCTCCGGGTGGGGAAGACCAGGGGAAGGATCTGTCACCAAGCTTCCAGACTCTTGGGTCTGAGCCTCTTCACTCTTGGCAAGGCCCTCTTCTCTCTGGTCCTGTTGTAAGGCTGTCATTGTGCACAGATATCTGCCGTTCTGACTGATTTCAACAGGACCAACAGGTAGTTAGACTGGCTTTCAGCGTAGTTCTTGTTTTGAGGTCTGGTCAGCTGACTGGTGTCCCCGTGTCATCCTGGTTTGTTAACCACATCTGCAATGCATCATCCTTAACCGCCCAGCTGCACTTCTTTCAAGTGAGTAAAACTTAAGACACTTGCAGAGAAGCATCTGAGGCCTTCTAAGGTGTTTTCCAAATCATCCAATCATTCAAAACTTGTTTCCTTACTTCTTAGCTCTTGTAGGACCTTTCTGAAGCTTTTGACTTGAATCTCATAAACAACTTTGCTCTCATGTAATATTTAAATTGCAGAATTGCATCTACAAACCAGCACACCTGGCAGAGCAGGTTTTGGGACAAAGGCAGCTAATTCCTGGGCAGCTTATAATACCATTGTTGAAGGAAGGTCTTCGGGAAAGAGTTACCTCTGTTTTCAAAATAACAGCATTATCAAGCTTTATAGTTCACACAATTGGCCCATTCGGTGATTTTTTTCATATAATCACAGTTTTGCAGCCATAACCACAGCCCATTTTTTAATTCTTTTTTTATTGATTGATTTACTTATTTTGGCAGTACTGAGGTTTGAACTCAGGGCCTTATGCTTGCTAGTTTGCTAGGCAGGCACTCTGTCACTTGAGCCATGTCCCCAGCCCATTACAATCCATTTTTGAACCCCTAAGAAAACCAGTACCTATTAGTCCCTCCTCATTTCATCCCAACTCTCCTACCCCTAAGTAACCACCAATTTGCTATCTGCTCTATAAATGGGTATTCTCTGGTTCTGAGGATTCAGCATTCTTGTATATTATGTTAGTTGCTGTGACAAAATACCTGAGATAAACAACTTAAAGGAGAAAAGATGTATTTCAACTCATGGTTTCAGAGGTTTCATTCTGTGGTTGCTTGGCTCTTGTTTCTGGGCCTGTGGTGCAGAGCATCTTGGTGGAGAGGGCATGGTAGAACACAGCTGTTCACCCTTAGTGCCCAGGAAGCAGAAAGGAGTGACAGGAAGGGGCCAGAGCCAAGATGTAGCCTTCAAAGCCACACCCCCAGCAACCCACTCCTCTAACTAGGCTCCACCTTCCACAGTTCCACTATCTCCCAATAGTCTGTTCAAATTTTCAAACCAATTGAAATTTTCAATTTCAGCGAATTAGGTTGATTAGGTGAGAGTCCTCATGATCTGTCTCTAGAAATGCCCTCACAGACATACCCAAGGCATCTCCAAGGCATCTCTCAATTCAGTCAAGTCAACAATCAAGATAAACTGTCACAGATATTGTCAGTGCTCAGAGGTAAGATGACAGTGGCTGGACTTCATCTTTACTCAGCCAAGACTAGAGGGCTAGGATATGAGCTGTTGAATGTGACCATCTGTGAGTCCTTAAAAATTCCTGAGCACACCAAACTGGGACTTCAAGAAAAGAGGTAGCACCACCAAATCAAACCCAACCCCCAAAAAGCTACCAGAGGGACTTAGGCCTCTGTAAAGGCAGAGCTCTTTTCCTCCAGAGCCTTCCCAGCCTTTGCAGAATGCTAACACAGCTCTGGGCTTTGAGGCTGCCCAGTGCACACACACAGGCCCACTCCTCTAACAGCTCTCAGTATTAGAGCCAGAGCTGTGGTCCACATCAGCCTGGGGCCTTTGTCTGACAGAAGGGTATGTAAACCTTGTCTCTACCCAGCACAGCTACCTGGCCTTGGCTGAAATGCTGCTCTCTGCAGCTGGCTTAATTCTCTCTCCAGACAAGGGAGTCCTGGCCAGCCTGGAGCAGAAACTGAAAGACATTGAAGAGGAGTGCCGGATCGAGGAGAGCAAGCGTGTGGACCTCGAGCTCAACATCATGGAGGTGAAAGACAACCTGAAGAAGGCTGAAGCTGGGCCTGTAACACTGGGCACCACAGTGGACACCACCCACCTGGATAACATCACCCCCCGTGTGAGTGTCAGGCACCTCTGAGCTGCTTGCAGGGCAATGTGGATGTGGGTTGAGGGAAGTGGGCCATATCTTCTTCCCCTTGACCCAATCCTTGCTCTCCTCCTTAATCACAGCCCAAAGCTGGCACCCCCACCCCTGCCCCAGACTGCACCCCAGTCAACTCTGCTTCTGTGCTCAAGAACAGGCCTCTTTCAGTCATGGTCACAGGCAAAGGCACTGTCCTCCAAAAAGCCAAGGTAAGCAATCACTCCCAGCCTCTATTATGGCCAGAACAGTTGCAAAGGTTTGAGACCCCTCTTCTGACACAGGTTATTTTGTACCCAGCTCTCAGAAAGCAGCAGTGGCTGTAGCTTCACTGTGCCTTTGGCTTATTCTTTGGCACTCGCCAACTAGTTAACTGGTTCACTAGAAAAGTGCTAGCATGTGATTCAAGTGTTCTTCCTAGTAAGTTTAAGGAAACTTCTATCTATGACCTCCTTATTACTCAGTAGTAGTTTCCAGGAGATAGCTGTGTCTCAGGGACAGAATGTGACTGAGAGTTTTCAAACCAGAAAGTCAGTGTTCCCAAGGAACTTGTACCATTAAAACTGAATAAACATATTTAGACAGGTGATGTGGTTTGCCCAAAGTCATCCAACCAGCTAGTTAGCAAAAGGTTCAGTAAGACGTAAATAAGGGATGGATCCAATGATTGAGTTTCTCCCTGAGGGTTAGACAAAAAAGTGTTATTAATCCTCAACTCATTTATACAATGAAGAACATGCCTAGAACTGCCTTTGTTTTGACAAACAATGTTCTTGGTTATCCTGCTAACTTGCTGGAGATGGTTGAAGGCACCCACATCAGTGGTGAACTATCAAATCCACTTGAGCAAATGAGTGTCCACTCCCTTGCTGCTGTGGCAGACATCACTCATTGCTCACAGTACTCTGCTCTGTCACAGCCTTGAGTCTCTTCCGAGGTGCTCCATGCAGGGCAGGGTGGGAAACACATTTGCCATCTCTATTTGTAATTGCTTAAAGTAGCTTTTCTTAAAGATTGCTACAGAAGAAAAGAAAAAGATTACTACAGAGAATAACCTTCTTTTTTTTGGGGGGGGGGTATGGGTAATTGAATGGCTCTCTAGGAATGGGAGAAGAAAGGAGCAAGTTAGGAAACAACCACCGTCTAAAAACTCTTGTGTCAATGTGGACCTTGGTGACAATCCTGCTTTGGTACAACAGCAACTCTGAGAAAGGGTGAGTCTGTTGAGAAGAAAAAGCAAGGACTGGTGTACTATGAATGGAGAACTTTGGCTAAGAGAGGAGGGAATACAACAGCAACAACAGTAATAACCACAAAGACTTCTTTGAAGACCTGAGACATTGTATTTAGGGATGGGCTATGTTTCTTTTTTGAAGTTTTCATCCATTGCTTTATCGTGATTTCTGAGTAGTGAAAAGCTTCTGATGTTTAGACTTTGGTGGAAGAGAAATCATGGTATCAGAGCCACATGGCTTTGGTGACTAAGAAGGCCGAAATGCCTCACCATCATCTTAATGCAATATGCAGTGCTGGGGGTTAAACTGTCCTTGCCTTCAAATCTGTTCTCGCCAATATTAGTGGGTCCAACTCATTCTTTGGTGATTTTAAACAGCATTGACAGTACCTATGTAAAATCCCCCTCTGGTATGGACTTTGAAAAACAGCATGAGGGGAAATATTTGGGGCCAAGCTGAGACACTGACCCCACTAAGGACTTTTTTCCAGTCTAAGGCAGGCCTGAATTAACTGTCTTTAAATAAAATTGTGATGCTGTATTATATAGAAAAAAATGTTTAAAATCCTGTTGCTTAGCACAATGAGAAGTGTCTTTTGAGATTTAACTGACTTTTTATATCACTATAGGAAAAAGAATTACCATGTTTACAGATTCAGTCCTGTGGTCAAGCCATTTTTAGGGAATGAGTTATTTAATATAATGCTCTCTTAGTCCAAGTGTTTTGAAGCTGTTTGAATTTCTAGTTCCCTTGAAGACAAAAGTAGTGAATTTTGGTTAAAGTAACCATCCTCTTCTCTTAAAATTGGCAGTGCTTTTTTTTTTTTTTTTAACACAGATTGAAACATTTCATCTGTCATCCCTGCCTCATTTGTAGGGGGTTCTAAATCAGTGTTCTCTAGCACTGGTTCCTAAAAAGTCTTTTTTATTCTTATTGTCTTTCTAATCCCAGGGCATTTATTTCCTGTGTTATAAACACTTGGTGACCTTTACCAAGTGTTAGATTTTTAAAAATAAAATGTTTATTGTATTTTGGATTTTCCTTGTACTTCATGGAATGAAATATCTTGATTATTTACACACTGAGCTTAAACTATATGTAGTAAAAACTGGTAGAACAACAAGATGGGATCCTAGCAAGAGATTTTAAGCCTCCTTAAATCAAGTGACCTGAAAGAGGATTTTAATAGTATAATTAACAATGTACCAAAAACATAGGCAATTGAAAATTTAGGCTCCTGGAAGTTAAACAGACTGCTACGTAATTTTTGGGAAAAGCTTGCAAGGTTACCTAAGTAGTAATTAAGGGAGTTTAAATGTGTTTATTTAAAAAATGTCAAATCTAAATTCTGGTTCCTTGAAAAAAAACAATGCACTAAAAAGACAACCTAAGGCACGAGAAAGTAGAATTGAAGAGGAGGCTTTAAGGTACAGATACTGACAAGACTTTATTTACAAGAAAATACTGTGATATAGCAGAGTGAAAAGTTTGAGAAATACAGGCTTCACGGAATAAAATTAGCATTGCTCAGATATCAAATTTATATACCTACTGAAAAAGAAAAACCAAATCTCACTTTTGGATACAGATGAAAAAAATCATAAATAAAATACTGGCAAATGAACTTCAGCAGTGTTATTACTGAATGGACTTTATCCAAGGCATCAAAAAAAGTGGTTCAGTGAGTGAAAATATAACAATATGTAATTTATCACATGAATGGATTAAATGAGGAAAAACTGCATCTGTAAGGAAGTGGGGAAAGCAGGCCATAAATTTCAGCACTTCACACTCTCAGTCACCTAGCCATAGGAATAAGCAATTCTTAACCTTGATATAGTGACCCACAGAAATTACAACAGTTCTAACGGTGAACATGCTCCTTTAAGTCTAGAACCAGACATGGATAGAGGTCATTACCACCACTTTTAAAGACATTATTCTGGAGGGCCTAGACAATGCAAAGTGACAAGAAAAAGAATATTTAACTTCAGAAGAAAGAGACAAGACTATCATTTGTAAATGATATTTCCCCAGAAAAACAAGAGACTGAATTGTTAAAACTGGAGTTGGGGAGGTTCAGCAGGGTGGCTAGCATCAGGATCATTCCAAAAACAATAAAAGATTTCTGACCTATCTGCAATGTTTTAATTTTTGCAAGGAAAATAGATCACTAGACTACTGGTCAGGCAATAGGACAGTAATTCCCTTGCTGTTAGGACAGTGAAAAAGGTTGAGTTCATCACTGGCATCTTCAACTAGAAAAAGATTTTTTAAAAAATGTCAAGGGCAGGGACCCCAGCTCCTAAAGAGAAACAGTAAAGGCTTTTAATACATCAGCTGAGACAGTTTGTTGCTGAAGTCCAGGTAATTCAGTTCAGGCATCCAAATGGCCTTGAACCAGACAGTCAGCATACATGATACAATGAACTGCTAATTTTAAAACAATGAATCCATATAATTTCTCCAATAGCACAGATCAGCATCCCTCCATGGGTATGTGGTCCTGCCCTGATGCTGCCTTCTGTGAAGGACAGTGTAATACAGGAAGTCAATTATTAATGAAAATATCCCTTGAACACAAATGATTGTCATGACCCGATGCTTTGAATACCAGACATTTTATTTAACATTCAGTAACACCATGGTGATGTCTCTTCAAGCACCAGAAATCCCGAACTTCTTAAAGCTAAGTGGTGTTTAAAGTAGCCTTGAACTTTTATGTGTAAAACAATGCATTAAAATATTGAAAACAATGATAAAGTCTCTGGATTTATGCCAGAGCTCTACAAAAGCTTCCACTGAAAACTCAACTCTGAACAAGCCCAAGGGCAAGAATTGATTGGTAAATATTGCAGAGGTAAGCACCTAGTTTGCCAGAAAAAATTTTCAAATCCTCTTCACCATGTAAGTACGGTATTTCTGTTAAATAAATAACCAGCATCTCTTGAAATCTTCCTTTTAAAAGTGGGCATAAAAAGCAAACCAAAACAAAAACTTAGCTTAATACCTATTCTTAAAAAAGCAAAATTCCCTATGTTTCTTTATCCTTTCTTTGCTTGTTGAGTTTAAGAATTCTCCTTTTTGCCCCACTAAAAGCCGGATAAAGGAAATTTTCAATAAACCCATCAGAACTCACACCTCCCCAAAAGGGCTGTTGCCCAAGACTTGAACCAATTGCCTATGGCCCCTCCAGACCTGGGCTCTTTGTACACTCATAGACAACACCTTCAAATTCCAGTCTGAGATCTTTTCAGGTCTCAGCCCCACACACATCCAGTCATCAGAAGTCACAAATGTCACATACGTCCCTTTTCAAGCTAAATGTATACAAGAGGTCTTTCAGGAACTGAAAAGGTCTACACTTTTTCAACAAGAAATGTCATTGATTCTGTGGTCCTAATGAAACTCTAGCAAATGCTTTCTGTTGTTGGGCATTATTGTCTCAACAAAATTCTGTCTAGCACTTGGGGGGAGCAAAGTGACCTGCAAATTGGCCAAGTTTCTCCTTACCCTCAGGAGGAAAGTGGCAGATGTCTTACCTCAACAACGTATAACCAGGTACACAAAGTATTTACTGACACGTCAAGGATTTTTCAGTGTCACCATTAGTGAGTGACATCAGCTGTTATTACTGCTCCTAAACAGCATGTCTGGAGCTGGGATGTTCTCCTTGGTGGAGGCTTGAGGGCCCGGGGACCCTGCCTAGAGCTGGAAGCAGACACTCAAAGGCCCCCCAGGAACCACACTTTGCCGAGGGCAGTGCCCCTTCAGCTTCTGGGATGCCCAGGCAGTTGCTTGGAAGAGGTTGGCTGCTGTCTTCCTGCAGGCTCTTGACGGGAGCCATGTGCCTTGGGGGCATCTCCTCTCAGTATTCCTGGGGAAGGAAGTGAACTCTGAGGACAAGTGTCTAGTCTTCTCAACCAGTCAGTAGCCCTTGTGGGCCTCTTCATATCCATCAAAGCCACCCCTAAGCAGAATATACCCAATCACAGACTCCATGTTCCTGGCCTTCCCACCCACTCTGTTAGAAGCCAATCTGGGCTAGGGACTAGAAACCCACAACTCTGACAAGAGTTGTCTTCTGACTTTTGGTGACCTAACTCTAACCTCAAGAAAAGGAGCCACAGGTGGTCCTATGATGCTACTCAACAGTCATCCTGTGCATCCGTAATCTGTTACCTTTCTGTCCCTGTTAATAGTTACTTGCTTCTCTCCCAAATAGGTACCACCTCCCTGTCCTCACTCTCAGCAGATGGCCACTCTTTGCATGTACTGAGCAAACAGAAACACTCAAAATACCATGCCCATCACCTCCAGCTACCACATCCACCCAACTGCCTGCCTCTGGCTCCTGACGCCTCACTCCTAGGTGCCTTGTTTTTCCTTCAGTGTGCTTAGCTCCATCTACTGTATTCTAGGTTGTACTGCGCTAGCCGATAATCTGTTTCCCCACTAGAATGGAGCAGATATTTATTTGTTCACTGCTGTATTTCCTTTACTTAGAAGAACACCTGGGATGTGTGAGAGCCTCTGAAATGTTTCATGGGTGAACAAATAAATGACTTAATGACAGATCTGCCTTAGCTGAGGTTGTGGCTTTTGGCAGGACTAAGCACACCAGGCCCGGTTCATGCACATAGAGTGGGAGTCATTACTCACGGTTCTCACAGTGGGGGCCCTCCCAGCCATCCCGGCACTCGCAGCGATAACTCCCATTCTGTAGGACACAGGCGCCCTCATTCATGCACGGGCTGGGTTTGCAGAGGTTGACTGGCCGCCTGGCTTCTGCAATGGAGAACATCCAGCCTGGATCAGACTCAAAGACCCCTACTCTAAGTGAGCCCAGTTCAGATGCAAGGACTCTGGAGCAGTGTCTTGCAACAGTTTAGCTAATGGCTGGTGCTCCATTTTACTTGGTGAGGTGAATAAGACAAAATTCCACCCACCTTTCTGATGTGCTATAGAGATTCTTTCTCTCTGATATGCTGGTGATATGGCACTGTTTACTAGTATAATTGCTACCATATATTTTGTAAAGGGTGAGATCATTGGCAAAATGTAGCCTTGGAACCTGGCTTGTCTGGCTCTGTTGACTCTTAGCTGTCATTCACTATCTAGGTCTGTGTGAACACAGGGTCCTTATTTAGGGGAGGGTGGGGTGGCTGTGGGTTTCCTAAAAATGCCATCTATTTAATGGAATGCATAGATCTCAAGTTTGGGAAGGAGTATCTGGTTAAATGCTCTGCCCCTTAGATGTCACATGGAGACAGTTATGCCTTCTCTGGAACTTTATAAAAGTGTGGAGATTTAGCACATACGCTGGCACGTGGAGGGTGAGCACTCGGGAGTTCTTAACTTGTAATGATGTGTGTGAAGATTCAGGGACGTCCTGTCTTAGGGCAGCCCTGAAGGGTGTGGATTCTCCCACTCACCTCCACATATCCACTCGATGACCATATCCCGGTGGTATGGCAGATCAGCGTAAGCTGCTATGTGGATCAGGGAGTCCCGGGGACCCGCAAGCCTCCGCAGGGCATCCCTCAGGACAGGCCCCACACCCACGACCAAGACAGAGATGCCATTGTTTCTCAGCTTCTGGACAGGGACAGCTGCATCCTCTGCTCCCCTCCCACCTGTGAGCATCACTACAGCTTTGGGAACACCAGGCCGGGCACCCCTCTGGACAGTCATCACCTTGTCATAGATATGCAGCAAGGCTGTGCCGGCTGAGCCCATCCCCCCTAGGTAGGGGACCTGGCTGATGGCCCGCAGTGCAGCAGCACGTGTGAGGTGGGTGTCCAGCCCGAAGGCTGTCTGCACCTGGCTGCCATACACCACAAGGCCAACTTGTGTCACATCAGGGTTCACATCAAACTGGAGGACACAGCTTCTCACACAGCTCTGCATCTGAGCGAAGTTCTCAGGTCCCACAGAGGCTGAGGAATCCAACAGGAAGACCAGGTCCAGTGACTGTGCCTGGCAGCCTACAGGAGCAAACAGAGTGGACACCTCGTCTGGATCTGGCATGCACACTGGGGACTACTCTAGGCTGGATGGAGCCCAAATCAGTCAGTCTGCTGTCTGTCCACACAGAAGCCATAAAACACCCTTCCCACTAGAAAGTAAGCAGGAATATAAATACCCAGTTAGACCACCTCTCCCAGCCTCCCTAAAACTGGGTATGGCCACGTGTCTAAGCTCCATTTAATGGAATATGGTCAGAAGTAACTGCAGTTTCCAAGTTTGAAACTGTGCAAATTCAAATCTGTGCAAGGGGAAGCTGCTTGCCTTCCACTTCCTCTCACTCCTTGCTGGCTGAGAAATACTGACCTTGGACCTGAAGGTGGCCAAGCCATCCTGCTGACCCAGGCCCCTCACCTCTGAACTGTGAAAGAAGCTTCTATAGTACAGAAGCCATTGAGCTTTGGGGCCTCTTGTTACAGCATCATCACCTACTTTTCAGGGAGGACGCTGGTTATGCTGTGGGCATTAGGTGATGCCTGCCCTCCGGGGGCTGACAGTGCGTGCAGCACAGACAGGAAATGGATGCAGAATTACAAATGGAGTGAGTAGCATGTAGAGGGAAAAGCAGGGAGTTAGGAGCAAGACAAGCAGGCAACATGGCGTGACTGGTGGAAGGCTCAGGGCTTCTCTGGGGAGTTGACATTTCAGCTAAGAGGTGCAGGAGAAATTGACTGAAGCTGGAAGAGGGCTCCCAAGCAGGGATAAGGGGCTGCAGAGAGGCTGCAGGGACCAGACTTGGGAGTACTCAGAAGCAGCAGAAAGGCCTGGTTCTTTCCACATGCAGAGGCAGCCGCTGGGGAGGTTTAAGAATGGAGCCAGAAGGTCTGGTGACCTGATTTATTGGCTTTTAAAAACCACTCCAGCACAAGGAAAATCGCGAAACTGTTATACCCACAAAGAGCCTAAGGAGACAGGCCCACTAAATGTTCTGACATTCTGGAACACAAGGATTAGGTCAAAACTAAGGAAGTCTTTATGAGCTGTAGTAAATAATGATGTAGCAGTATGGCTTGTTAACTGCAACAATGCACCCTACAATAAAGGGGTTAATATGGGATACCTAGGAACCCTCTACTATTGTAGTGTTGTTTTCTATAAATCTATCCTTAAAAACAAACAGATCACTGTGTCTTCCATGACAGACTAGCCTGAGGGGGAGGACATCAGTGGGTAGTCCAGTCTTTGTCCGTCCCCCCCCATAGGAGGAGGGCCGCTTGCCTCTGGGGAGAATGGCATAGGCTGAGAAGCTCAGTCCCATGTGCAGTTTCCCACTGGCCCACATGGAGCAGTCAGGACACACCATCAAGGATGTGTTCCAGCTATGACATCTTGGGGTGTGCCCAGGCCCCTGTCCACTGAATGGCAATGCCCACTCCCAGGGCTATGGTTCCCCAGTCCCCCCTCCAACAGTAGCTCACGAAATCACCTCTGTGGGCTGTGAAACAGAAGAGAACAGAGAGATGTGAGAACACATCTCAGGTAGACAGTATCATTTCATGAGACATTTGCATTGGGTGTGTTTGTGAGTACACACGTGTGTCCTGGAACACAGTTCTTTCTGTGGGCTGCCATCAAAGAGACAAGAGTATTGCTGTTCTACATTAGGCTTGGGAGATTCAGAGTTCCTTGTTAACACTAATAAAATTATTAATAACAATAAATAGCAATACCTAAGATTTGCAAAGCACTTAGTTTGTACCAAGTGTACACATTGCTTGTCTTACCTAATCCTTACAAAATCCCCTCAGGAAGTGCAACTGTTGGTCCCATTTTCTTGACAAGTAAACTGAGCTCTACTGGTTCCAGCTCCTAGCACAGGTGCTGGGGAAGAATAATGGCCAGTAGTGACCAGAAGAATGCCGGACTTGCCCACTCAACAACCAGCCCTGGGATAGGTGCAGTATACTTACCTGGCCGCGGTCGGCTGCACAGTTTTCTCTGCAGCTCCGGGATTTGGCTGAAGAGGTCCTGGGGTTCTGTATAGACCATCACATGCTTTGGGCTGCCTGTGATTTCCTCCAGCTCTGCCTGCACGGCCTCACTGCCCACGCCCAGCAGAAGTAGCTCTCGGGCCCTTGCATGAAGCGCTGGACCAGCCACCTCATCCTGGGAGTGTGACTCAGTGAGCAGGACCGCCACTCTGCGCGGCCGGTCCTGTCCCGCCCTAGCGGCACTCCCAAAGCCACGCTGTACTGCCTGCAGCAAGGCACTTCCCGTCAGTGTGGGGCCACCATTGAATGGAATGCTGTCGAGGCTCCTGACCAGGTCGGGCACGTCCTGGTATTCACCCACAGGCACTGCCACCACCAGTTCCCTGTTGTACACAGCCACACCCACGCGGGCCCGAGAGTCTTCACTCAGCGTGGCCTGCACAAACCGCTTCACAAAGGCCTTGGCCCGCAGGAAGCCCTCCAGGGTGGTGCCTGCAGAGCTGTCCAGCAGGAAGAGGACATCGATTCTGCATTCCAGGCTCAGCTTTGGGGCTGTAGGAATCACAGTGACACCCATTGTCATGCTGTGACCAGTGTAGGGTACAGATCAGCCCCAACCAAGATGCCCCCACACCACTCAGGTGAAATCTCCCAGAGAAACCTCCTTCCAGAGGGACATGAGCGGAGGAACTGAGGCCCCTGGGGCATAAGTGGTCACTGGTTGCCAGAGTTAGGGACAGACTCAGTGCCTTCCCTCCTGGTTCTGGCTAAGGGTCTCCCCCAGCTACTTTTTAAAAAGCAAAATGCATCTATTGAATCACTTTTTTTCATTGTGGTTAATGTCTTTTGTGTCCTGAGAAACCTTTGCTTAAAAATCATGAAGCTATGCTCCTGTGTTTTCTTCTAGAAGCTTCCCTGCTTTCCTTTGTACATTTAGATCTATAATCCATCTGTTTTAAAGTACAGGGTCAAGATTTACTTTTTCCATATGGATCTGTGATGACACCCAACACCACGCTTTTAAAAGTTACTACTGAACAAGCCCTCACTATGTGAGAAAATTTGTGCTAAGCACTTCATAGATTGTGTTTACAGTTCACGACCACCCTATGAGCTGAAGCTCATATAATCTTCGTTTCACGTCTCTAAAGCCAAAAGGCACTGGGGCTCCGGCTCCTCTTTTTTAAAAGAGAAAATTAAAGGTTTTGTCCAGAACCAGCCCCCAAGGTGCTCAAACATAGTCAGTGGCCATTTTACAGCTGGTAAGCCAGGAACCACTGTCCTGCCAGAGTTCTATCCCCATTATTTATTCATGGAGCACTTAAGAGACTGCACCACAGGACGTCAGATTGAGTACTGGGGAAGTAGGTGATTCTAAAACTCAAGGGCTGGTTTCTCCCTGGTAGTTGGGGGAGGGCGGGGACGAGAAGGTCACCCCAGTGATTGGTCTTGGAAGTTCTGAGCATACATACCGCAATTGGCCTCCCCTCCAAAGGCCAGCGGGCAGAGGCAATGGTACCTGTCCAGTCCTTCTGGAATGCACGTGCCTCCATTCTGGCAGGGCTGGGAGTCACAAGGGCCTATTAGAGAGATGCCCATTAAGAGTCAAGCATGCCAGGACAGGAGTGAAGGGGGCTGGCCAGAGGAATGAGCCCTGCAGGGCCCAACCCTTCCCCTTCCCCATTTTCCACTAGGGAACCAGCAGAAAGGGGGAGAAAAACAACCAGTACCTATTGGGGCGTGGGGTAGAGCTGCTTAAGGACACTCAGGGAAAGGCTTGCTAAGACCCACTGTGAATTACAAGCCCACTCAGGGATGTGTACTTGGGACTTGGCTCTCAGCTCTGACACTGGGACCACAGACCGTAATTACCCACAGCTGCTGGGAAGGCCTGGCAGAGCTGAGGACAGCCATCACAATGAACTGCTGCTGGCCTTGCAGGTACCAAGGGTGATGCTCTCAATCATCAAGCAGCATCAAGGTGACAGGGCAGGTGTCTTAAGACTCAGGGGATTCTGGGAGGCTTACAGGGCCCTTTCTTCTTTAAGAACCACATAGGTAGTAGCCTGGCACAGCAACTTGGTAATAAATGAGGCCACCTCTACCTCCTTGTGCACCTTAACTTGCTTCCCTGTCCTCATATAAATGGCATGTTGATCACCGCACTTCCTCTACGTGTGACTGTAAAAAGTCCTAGCGTGAAGCAAACATTCCCTAACAGATAATACTGTATTTGCTTTTGGATGCAAAGTACAAGTTAGGTATTATGTTTCCTTGAGGCTGGTAAGTGACACAGGAAACCATAGCCTATGTCAAAACCAGGCCCATTCCAAAGCTGATACTCACAGTCACTATCTGAAGTCTTTATTGGTTTCCTTACCAATTATTACAAAATGCACATAAAACCCCATGGCTGCCCTCACAGGGTTGCAGAGAACAAGTAGGATCTTTACGTGTTCACATATTCAAAGGGCTTGCTGAGCAGCTAAGCGTGGTCACCACTGGAATTGGTGATTTTTGTCCTTTTTGCTTCAAAACACTAAGCGATTACTTGGGATCATACTGCTTAAAGTTTAGACTTTTGAGAGAGGCCTTTAACTGAGCATCTGCTATGGGCTAACTACTACCCATGCAAGCTTCATGTCACTGTAACCCAACCCCAGGACAATGAAACTCCCATTCAACCCCCTCTTACAAATGAGGAAGCTGCAACTCAATGAACAGAAGTCACGGGCAGAAGGTCAGAAAGCTGGTAAGGAACAGCATGGGGACTGAAACTCCGGTCTCTCTCTGTCCAAAACCTTCCATTAAACTTCTGAACAGCAGCAGCGCCATTGTCAGTTTTCCCTATGTTTCAGAGACAATGATGTTGCAGCTTTACCACTGTGAAAGGTCATGCCCAGGGGTCATCTGGCCCTGAGGAGGATGCTCCCTGCGGATGGCTCTGCTTTGGAAAATGGGCTCCTTACCTCATCAGGAGCAGCAAGATCACACAAGAATAGACACCAAGACGACTGGGGACAACTTTAGCCCCCAGGTCACTGGGATACACCAGAATCTTAGGTGAGGGCACACTGGGGAGCCATGCTGAGTGAGGCTGTTGATAATGCCTTCTGTTTGGGATTTGAAAGCAGAAGCAGCACTTTAGTGGCTGCTGAATCTTCACTATGAGATCCTCTATCATATAGGGAAGGGGAATGGGGACTCCGGACATCAGGTAAACACTACCGTGGTCCAGAAAGACCTGGTGAAACCCAGGCAGACCATACCTGGGCAAGTGGTCCTGTAGCAGGTGGTGGGGTGGCTTAGGAACACTCTCTTCCAGCTACAATCCAAGGAAATAGAGTGGTGAGAGATCAAAGGCTTTAAAGATTGTAACACTAAAAACCGATAAAGATTCTAATGCAGAAGTAGGTGAAGAAAGACTCCCTCGTTTTCTTTCTTGATTCTGACTTAAATTGTATCTGCATATAGAGTAAGAAATGCTTCAAACTACCCAGAGATGATTTTTAAAAGATAGCTAATATACAAACTGACCATTGCATTGCAAGCTAGAGATAACTGTGTGCAAAATTCCGAACTATGGGAGCAGCTTTTTTTAATAAACTACTTTCTGAGACCCCAACACAGAGAAGGGAGGGAGTCCTGAGAATCAGGCCACTAGATCCTGGCTGTGTACCCAATCATGTTACCTTCCTTCTCTGGTCTTCAGTTCCCTCTTGGGTGGCACTATCTGTAGTTTTCAACTGTGTTCCTGAGCAAGGGAAGGGGACTGAGTGACTGAGGTGCTAAGGCCTCCCCTAGCACTCCAGCCCCATCCCTTCACCCCAAATGCGCTGCTTCTGTCTGGTCTGCACCAGCAACCCCATAAGCCTCCAAAGCTCAAGGGGATTTATAAACCACAGGACTTGACTTCTCAAATCCCTTTGAGCACTAGCATTCTGTGATGACACTGCACCCACCATTCCCAAGGTAGCTTCCAGTGTGCCAGGTGTCGCTGTTGCTCTCTTGATTCCACAGTTACCTGAAGAGGCAGTGACCGCCATCTTCCAGGTGGGGAAGTGGGTTCAGAGTGCTCAACCAGACTGCTCAAAATTGCATGCTTACTGATCCGCAGGAGAGGTGGGATCCCAACCGTGTCATTCTGATTCCAAAGCCGTGCACTCTGCACCCAGGACCTCACCCACCCCCGCCTGCATCTCTGGGGTGATGAGCCTTACTACAGCAGGAGGGCTTCCTTAACTGCTGGGCAGAAAGTCCTCCTTTTTGCTGGTGGCAGCCCCTCATATAGGATCACCTGGAATACTATAGTACTTAATATATCTAAGGCTGTATTATAGAGGATTTAGCCTCAACAACAACTAAAAACCTCTCTAACATTCCCAAAACAGAGCTCCTTCCAACAAGCTCCTGCCCAGACTGTGTAACAGAGGTAGCTGGTTGGGCTGGGACAGGGTCTTTCCTGGCGTAAAATGGGATAAGGTACATGTCAAGTAAGAACTCAAGAAGGTGCTAAAGTTCCAAGTCTTCTCCTAGTGATCTTACAAGCACCAGTCCACAAAGCTCCATGGACCCTGTCCCTCCCCCAGGCTTTGGTAGAGCAGACACTGCCTGTCAACAGGAATCTGGGTGCAGCCTGCCCCCAGCACCCTCAGTTCTGGACATAGATGCCACCTCTTCTGCAAGGCCATTCTGATAGCTCTATTTCCAACTCAACCCCAGCCCCAGCAACCTGAGGCAGTCTGAGCTCTGTGTTGAGGAGATTGACGACTGTCACCAAGGAGCTCTGGGCTCCCTCCCAGGTCTCCTCCAATCCCTGTCACACGCTCCACAGCCATGTCCAGCACCAAGGCCCCAAGTGTTCTCCCTGCAGCTTGGGAACACCTGGCATTGAGGGCCTCTATTGCCATCTAAGCTGTGCTGTGTCCCTGCCCCCAGACCATATGGACAAACCTGTAGAAGGGACAGCGTGAGGCCAGCACTGCATCAGCCTGCCGAAATCCCCTCCAGCACAGGGCATTGCCAGCAAGCTCCCGGATGGTCTCCAGCGTCTTGCGCTCACAGGGATGAGCCTCAACCCTGCAGTCTGTGTGTACGAGGCACACAGATGAAGAAGACATGGGAAGTCAGGGTGCTGCTTCCCTACATGCACCCCTGCTCCCCAGAGCAGCATTCCTGGGTTCAGCCCCCACTTCCAGCTGTGGCTTCTGTGGCTTCTCTCAGGGTACCTGGGCTCTAAGCATCTCCTCTGCCCAAGTCTGTCCCATGCGACTTTCATAGACCGTGCACATGTGTACTTTCTATGTAGATGGCATCACTTTGGCTTGAGTGGACCCTGACCAGGGGGTTTAAAATGCAGGTGCATGCTCCAAGCCCAAAGCTTCCTCAGGCTACACCATGCTGACCAAGGAATGGGGAGCAGACTTGGCTCTTTCTCCTCAGAAGAGGATGGAGTACTGCCAATTCTAGACCTCAAGCCTTAGGCTACTACCTCCTTCCTCTCTCCTACCACCAGATGCTCAGAGTCTTCAGCTAGGAAACCCATAGAACAAGTAACAGGGCAGGCTAGGACAGAGGCTGGTGTTCCTCTCAGCTCTTGCCTTAGGAACCCTGCCCACCCCATGTCCCCATTCCTTCCTTGCAAGGGTACTACCTCCTGAGCAGGGCCATCCTACCTGGTGCAGCGGGGGTGCAGAGGTTGGAGCTGCCAAGGGTGCTAAGGAAGCCATTGGTGGCGTCCTCCACCTGTTCAGCCAACAGCACATGCTGCTCCCTGGGCTCGCTGGCCAGTGTGTGCAGCTCTTCCCACCTGTGCCGAAAATTTCCAATGGCCCATGGCACCATACCCATCCTCCTCCTGCTCACCCATCTCCTGGACCATGGGCTCCTTTTGGACAGCAGTGTCATCCTACTCACCCAGAGGCCACTTTGCAGTAACTTCTTCTAACTAGGATAAAGGTGAGGACCAAGAAGGAGCCCACAGGAATCAAGGAAACCCAGCCACGGGTCTCCATGTGCACATGGTAAAATTCAACAACATCCCTGGAGGATGGCCTTAAACCTTCAGAACCATCAGCCCATACTTGAGACATCATACCAACAGATTCAGCTATCTACTTTTGTGAAACCCATGATGATAAGAAAAGCAATGAGGAAGCAAGTGAAAGAAAGTAATTTGAAGCAGAAGCAAGAGAAGAGCAAACACAGGCAGTTAGAAATAGAAAACATATCAAGTATGGTAAACAGTGAGCAGAAGAACTCCAAGGCCAACAAGGAGAGGCTGTCTGGGCAAGGCAGACAGTGTACTTTGATGGCCAGTGGGCATTGCTGTCAGTGCCCAGGACAAAAATGATGTGGGGCATGATGCCACTAGGGCATGAAGAAAGGGTGAAACGATGTTGACAAAACACTTGGTAAGAAGATGGGGCAGGCTGGGGGTGTAATTCAGTGGTAGAACACTTGCCTAGCATATGCAAGGCCCTGGGTTCTACCCCCAACTCTGCAAAAAAAAAAAAAAAAACAAAAAAACGAGGGTGGGGAGAGAGTAGTTAGTGACGCATAAAAAAGAACCCTGCCATTGAAAATTCAACAGAATACAGATTTGGCAATGGGGCAAAAATTTCATTTATCTCTAAAACTCCCTCATACAAAACTCCCCATCTGACTTGATATGAAGTAGTCATTTTTCCCACTCCCCAGTCAGCGCACAGAAGGGGGCTTTTCTGGAGCAGTGCTGCCTGGCCCACCCTCCATTCCCTGGCCCAGCAACCATTTCTCAAAAGCTTCCCAAGGAATTCAAGTGCTACATAAAGCTGAGAACCATCAGGAAAGGGGCCCGATGAATACTGAGGCGGAGGGAGAGGGTAACCAGAATGTTTTCAGTCTCACACACAGTCAGGTCAATCTAACCTGATTAGTGGCTCTCAAACCTTGGTGGGCATCAGAGCCACCGAGAGCGTGATAAACCACAGGCAGAAGTGCCCTGCCTCAGAGGTTCAGATTCAGTGGAGTGACCAAGCACATATATTTCTAAGTCCCAGGTGGCCTAGGGAGCACCCTTGAAGAACCACTGGCCAACAGCGCCTGGCCTTTTACTAGGAGTGGGGAGGAAGGGGTCAGGGATTGCTAGGTGGGCAGCTCAGGTCTCCCCAGCTCCTGACCAATGTGTCTTGACTTCTCTAGGCCATTGCTGTGTGAAGTGTGGTCTGTGGAGAGCACAGATCCCCAGCCTGTTTAACGCCAGCTCAGAGCTTGGCAAGACTGACACAGAGAGCAAGCAAAGAGCAACTAACTGTAAAGTGGCTGGACAGAGCTACTGTACTTCTGGTGAACAGTAAACATTGGAGCTTATATGTTTAATCTCACTTTTCTACTAATTAACTTTCATTGTATCCTGATTTATTTTCATTGTATGCTAATCCATGGTGGATTAGGAGAAAAAGCAACTGGTACGTCGCTACAGAGAGTTTGAGAAGCACTAGTCCAGCTGTCAGCAGGACAAGAAAGCTCTGGAAGGAGACAGGTGTCCCTGTGTGGCAGATACCATGTTTGTCAACAAACCTTTGGGTGACCACTATCTTCACAGTTCTTGAGGCAGCAGCACTGGGTGGGAGGAGGTGGGCAGAGGATCAGAAAGCATGCCCTACTCTCCTTCCACTTGCAGACACAGAAGCAGCCCATGAAGGGTAAGGCAGCCTGTGCTAAACAAATTTACAGGCAATGACAATGAGATGACAGTGATGACACAATCCTGGCTATCCCTACCCTCGGCCACTCCTCAGTCTCCTTCATGCTGCGTCCTTCCTCCGTCTGATCTGCCCGTGCTGGGCATCGGTCCCCCACCTCTGCACTCGCTCCCTAGGTGACCTTGGGCCTTAGACACTCCCTAAGGTTGCCCTCCATCTGTCCTCTCTCCTGTGCTCCAGGTTTTCACAGCCACTGTCCACTCAGCTTCTTTACTGAGCCTTCCCACCTGCATCTCAAACTGAACCTGTGTGAACCAGAACTCAAGCTACCTTGTTTTTCTCAGGTCTGATTTTCTCCTGGGTTAGTAAATGTCACCACCACTAGCTCTGGTGGGTCTCAGCCCCAAGTCCTTCTCTTACAATCCACATCAAAGTCACCAACTGCTTCACTGCTCTGCCTTCAAAACATTCCCAAGTCCAACCATCCCTCGGCAGGCCCACGGCTACCCCCTGCTTTGAGTCATAATCATCTCTATGTGAGCTGCCCCCAAAGCCTCATACCTGTTCCCCTGCCTACTTTACCAGGCTACTCTGTACGTGGCAGCCAGTGTGATCTAAAAACACCACTTTCCTGCCCAAACCCTCCGAAAGCTTCCCATTCTACTCACAATAAACTCCAAAGCCTTCACCAATATCTATACCAAAGTCTTTATGACCCAATCTTGTCCTCCTCGTCTGTCTTTTCTTACGAATCTTCCCCTTGCTTGTTGTTGGTCTCTAGCTCCTCCCTGGATGTTTTGCTATTCCTGTAACACACCAAGCTAGCTACTACCCCAGGGCCTTTGCACTTACCATCACCTGACTCCCTTGCTTATCTTTGGAAGGCTTATTCACATCACTCAACTTTCTGCTTAAAAAATCAGCTCCCTAAAGAAGCCCTGGAAGAGAGGTAGCTGCCCTCTCTCTTTACCATAAGTCTTTAACCTTTCACTCTACTCTCTTTTTCTCCTTTGTGTTTTATGCCCACCTGAAATTATGTTTCTTATGCATTCACTTATTTATTATCTAGTTCTTTTCCTAGAATGGAAAGTCCACGAGGTGGGGGATTTGTACTGCTGCCTTTGCATCCCAAGAACCTAGAATAGTGCCTGGTGTGAGAAAGAAACCTATATTAATTAAGAGAATGATAATATACCAAAATTAATAAAGACATTTCTAAGTGCAGACACCATGCCCAGCCTTTAATTCCCACAACTGGAAATCTTTGGCTTGGGTATCACACCCATTGTTAGGGTTGAGAGTCTTGCAGGTCTCTGCCCCTCTCCGCTAGGAGGCAAATTTGCCCAGCACCTGAACAAGTGTGGCAAGAGAATGGCAGTGAGTCACAGACCTCCTCCCCACCCTCAGCACCGAGAGGGTAGGTGAACCCAGACCTGTCAGAACTGAATCACTAGAAACTGGGATAATGGGCATCCTTTCTCCAGGGTAGAGTTGTAAACACAGGAGCTGGGGCAACTACCCACAGCCCCAGCTCCCACTTCCTGGGAAAGGCAGGCTGAGAAGACAGGCCAACACACAGTACAGCACAGGTGCTCAGTGGACAGAGAGGAGTTTGTTTGTTTGTTCGTTTTGGTGGTATTGAGAATGAACCCAGGGCCTCTTGCTTGCTAAGCAAGTGCTCTATCACCTGAGCCATGCCTCAGACCTTTTACTTTTTAGTTTTTTTTTTCAGATAAGATTTCATGTTTCTGCTTGAGCCAGTCTTGGACTGTGATCCTCCTACCTCCACCTCCCAAGTAGCTGGGATTACAGACATGTGCCACCATACTCAACAGAGAGAATCTTAATGGCATTGAAGCCCTGGCCCACTCAGAGGGACTGCTAACCCACTGGGATGTGGCGGGGGGCACAGTGAGATGACTCCATGAATTTCTGTTTCTGCCCAAATGAATTTGAGTTGTGTTCTGGTTGGTCAGAGAGAATGCAAACTATTAACTTCCAAATGTTGGGATGCACCATGTACCAAAGCCAAAAGCAGCAAAGTGAGGGGAAAAAAGAACGATGCAAGGACCAGACAGTGTTCTCAGCTCTCCTCTCCTGCTGCCACTGTGAATGAAGGCTCTAGGCTCTCTCAGTCATGTCCCAGACTCCAGTGGACTCCCTGAGGACTGACCAGAATGACTGAGGCACTTACCTGGGGAACCGGACCCCCACAGCAAACACGGTGACTCCCTTTTCCTTCAGCTGCTTGGCAGGTAGTGCCATGTGCCCCTGGGACTTCCCATCAGTGACAATGATGAGGAGCTGAGGCACAGAACCCTTTCTGCCCCCAGGAAACCCTCTACGCAGAAGGTGTTTCAAAGCGAGGCCTGTCTCTGTGCGCCCTCCTCTGGGGAAGGCAGGAGGAGGAACAAAGGGAGAAGAAAGTCAACAAGGTAGGAGTGACCATGGGAAGAGAGCTGGAAATCAATGGGCTCCTGTTATTTGTGACTCCAAGTAGAGATTCAAAGAGACAATTCCACCATCTAAACCACCATAATGGGTAGAAATGAACCTTTTCCACAGATTTGGGCACACTCTACTCATCACTGTCGTGTTACGTAATAATGCCATTCTTCATGCATGTGGGTGCTTTTCTTTTTTCTCCCAACCTCCAGGGATGACTCCAGGCTGACAACTCTCATCATCTAACACCCACCTCCCAATCCATGTGTCACCCCCCTTCTTGTCATGGTTCAGCATCTTAGAGGTTGAAAAAGCAGAAAACTGAGCTTAGGAAGGGTCTGTATTCAGTAAAAATCCATGGGGTGGGGCTTTGCTGCAAGGGTTTGATGGGAATTTTCTCATGATCAAAGCCCTGTGGGTCATGTCCAGCCCCTGAGTTGGGTGCTGGAAGGCTGAGCTGTCCGACCACCTTCAGATCAGGTTACCAATGGCCCAGTGTCAAGGAGACCGTCTAATCCTCACAGTCTCATTGTAGGGGCTGCTGACTAAACTTGGAATCTCAACAGAATTTCAGATAGGAGGCTCACGTTGACGACCCTTCAGAAAGAACACTGCTGGCTTTGAGAGTCAGATGAGCAGAAAACAGTGATTCAATCAACGGATTTGAGATTGCTGCATTGTTACCCCACTGTGACCAAACCTTTCAGTGATGACAGCACCTCTGAAAACAGACCATTGTAGCAGCTGGTGCAATCACTGTTATGGTTAACTGTGTACACAGAGGAAATCCCAAGCTAGAGTGTCCCTTGGAAATGCTGACTGACCACAGACCATAGAGGGAGGGCCCATGTGTACCCTCAGACTGTACTCTGACTCTACATGCAAACAACGCCTGCCTTCGACTCAGACCTCTTGGAGGAGCCCACCATCACTCCATCACTCTTCCACTGTGAAACGCTCAACCAACAAGAAGCATCAGCACTGCATTGGGGTGTGTGTGTGTGTGTGTGTGTGTGTGTGCTTGCTTTAACTTAAACTAAAAATAGCTATTTCTCATGCAAATGTAACACAAGTCTCCCTGCCCAGGCATCTTTCTTGACTGGTCCCCTTCTAGCAGCAGCTCAGGAATCCAGGGTCCTTTCGCTCTGTGGTCCCACCTTCCATCCTTGCAGCCCTCCAAGTCCTCTGCATCCTCAGAAAGATGAGGAACGAGCATGAAGATTGTGTCTGGGAAGAATTTATGGGCCAGACCTGGAACGTTCTTCACTTTTATTGCTTTTATATCTTATGTAAGCTCTCACAGGGCAATTTTCTCTGTGCAGTTCCATTAAGTTAATACACAACCAGAATGGACACCTACTAGAACTGAGATCCTTAGCCTACAAAATGGAGTAGCAACTCCATTGACTTAAAAACCACTTACTTTTTTCAACCCACCAGTATTTATTTCAGTTAGACAGAAGAAAGATAGTAAAACAAAGACCAGGAAATATAACATAATCCCATCCCTCAAAGAACTCTCAGTCCAAGTGAAGAAATAGCAATACAAAAACGCAAATTCAAAAGTTAGGAGGAGTGAGCCCGTTATGGGGTGGAGCTACAGGGAACAGGCCACAGAGCAAGAGTGTCTGAATGGGGTCTTAGTAAACCAGCTAGTTAGGAAAAGAGGAGGCTGTGCCATAGAAGCAAAGACACAGGTGAGCAACACTGGCTGTGTTCCTGGGCTAATGAACAGAGCTTGGCTTTGACAATGGGCTATCATAGACGGGTAGAGTCCACCAGTGTCACTGAATCTCAATGCCATGACCAGCTCACCTTGTGCTGAACAGAACATTAGACACCAAAAACAAGCAAGAGGATTCTGATTTCACCAGCACTCCAGTCTATAATCTTCCCTGGGGGCTCCTGAAAGAGCAGGCTGTCTCCTGTGTCTAGGGGTTAATATTGGCAATGGGCTTCCACTGTGTGCCAGACACTTCACGCACCTATTACTGAATGTAATCCTTACAACTATGGTAAGAGGTGCCAGAATTATCCTCACTGAACACAGGTGGAAACTCCTGTTCAGAGAACGCTGGTAATAAGTGTTAATATTTACTGAACATTTACATGCATGTGCTAAATTCATGTGCTGTGAATTCTCACATGATCGTCACCATAGCTCTCTGATATCCGGGAATTCAGAGAAGGAGAGGGAGTTCAGAGAAGGGTCTTATCTAAGGTCATGCAGGCTGGTAAACTTGAAAATGAGACATTCTCTGAGTCTCAGGTTCCTTCCATGTTAGAGTGTGGAAAGGGACAGTATTTTTAGAGGAGTAAATGCTGTGCCCAGCACCTCCTAGGATCTCATGGGTATTCTCAGTGGTAGATACCCTCATGAACCATCAAGCAGCCCACTGTGAGTTTATCTTTGGAGTTTAGGCTCAAATTCTAGTGTACGTAAAAATCCCCCAGCTACTTAACAACATAGATTCTCAGGTCCTGATCCCAGAGTCCAGATTGACAGGTGTGTAATGTATGACTGTCTTGAGAATCTACATTTAAAGCAGCACCACTCACCCCCAAGTGTTCTGATGCGGGTGAGCCAGCCATGGAACAGACTTTGAAAGATACGTCATGAACACCCCACTGTAAGCACAGGAAGTTGATTATAGCTTTCTTCTTTTACTCAATAGACAAAAACCCTACAATCAACTTTACTGTTTCCTTTTGGGGGATGGGGAATGACTAAACACATTGTGGTAGCTGAATTCTTTGGATTATTCTATAATCATTAAAAAGGATCACCATGAAAAAATAATACAGCTTTATGCAGAAGTACACACCAAATCTTATTAAGTTGGAAAAAGGGACAAAATGTTTCATAATTCTAACTCTTCTAAAAGCTATGATTAAACATTAATGTGGCTGGAAAGCAACTAAAGAAGGCCCTAAAAGGTTTCTGGTTATTATGGTAACAGAGCCATAGAGTCCTGACACAGATACAGAGGGTTGCAAACAATTTAGGTTCGGAAGACTCAGGGCTGCATTACTGTGAGATTAAGGCAGTGAGCGGGCAAGCCTGTGCATGCCAGCTGGCCAGGAATCCTGGCATTCATGTTTTATCTGATTTTATGTCATCACATGTGCTATCCTAGGAGACCTAACTAGAATTGTTTTTGAACTTTTTGCAAAGTAGCAATAAGGTAGTTGTCATGGTGGTTTCTTACTGTCTCAAAGCACTCTTTCAGGGAACCACCTTGGTCTGGAAAGGTAGGTGGCCCTGGGTTTGGGTAGAGCTGTCTTGATCAAGCCAGCATTGAAAACTTCACCACAGAGAAAGGGTGAAGCACCATGGGGAGATCTCCACTTTCATCAGGCCAACACTCCTCTACTCTGATGCACGTGAGTCGGTCTTCATTTTTATTGTCTTCAGTGACCCCATGACGATGGCCAAAAATGAGATACCTCTTTGCCTCCTTTGTTGCCTTCTACAGTCACGCTACAGTACATAAGTCCTAACCACACACATCCCCAAAAGTAGAGCTGAACTTGGTCAGATACTTAGAGACTTTGTCTTCTACCCCTAGCATCATTTTCTGGCACATTCTTAGTATCTCCTGAGTTGTCATGAGTAACACTCTCAACACAGCTGAGAAGTGGCTCAAATGACTGTTTGGGGATGGTGAAGAGGTGTGTGGGAAGAGGTGGAAAGAACAGCTGGGTGAGGCCCAGTACCCTCCTCGGTAAAATGAGGGGTTAGGGTAGATGCTAGATGATCTCGAGTGTACCCTTTGTGCCAGTTCCTTGTAATTTGCTTCGTTTTTCAGATGAATCATTAAAATCAAAGTCATCCAAATGGTCTTTTGACTTTCAGTCCTAAAATTGAGCCAAATGTACATTTTTTCTTTTTTGCAAATACACATTATATGCAATGTGCATTTAATGGGTACAGCAATTTTCTATCATTGCCTTAATGATATGATTTATATACCATAAAATTCACCCTTTTACAGTATACAACTCAGAAATTTTAAGTATGGTCACAGAGTTGTACAACCATCATCACTAAGTCCAAAACATTTTACCACCCGAAAAAGATCTATTAATAGTCATTCCTAATTCCCCTAATTCCCTTTCTCCATCCATATACTTGTCTGCTCTATTCATTTCATAAAAATGAAATCAAGGACTTGAAGCTCAGTGGTAGAGCTCTTGCCTAGCATGTGTGAGGCCCTGAGTTCTATCCCCAGCACTGCAAAAAATTAAAAAAAAAAAAAAAAAAGAATATATGACCTTTTGTGTCTGGATTTTTTTTCACTTAACAATGTTTTCAAGGTCCATCTTGATGTAGCATGAATCAGCAATTCATTTTTATGCCTGAATGCTATTCAGTTGTATAGACACACACATTTTGTTAGTCCCGTCATCAGCTGTACTTTGGTGTTATTTCCATTTTGGAGCTGTTACAAATAGTGCTACGAACATTAGCGTACAAGTTTTTGTGGGGGCACGTTTTCAATTCTCTTGAAGTAGAATTGCTGAGTTATATGGTATATAACATTTTAGGGAAATGTCAAATTGTTTTCAAAGGGGCAGGCATGACTTTATAATCCTCCAGAGGGTTCCAATCTTTCTACATCCTTGTCAACATCTGTACTGTCTTCTATGTCAGCCTTGCTGATAGGAGTGACATGGCATCTCACTGTGGCTCTAATTTGCATTTCCATACTAAGTTATGATGTTGAGCATGTTTTCATTGTCATTTGTGTATCTTCTTTGGAGAACTGGTCTACTTGAAAGTTTTCTGTTGGTAAGGAAAAATGAAATTATGGCATTTGTTGGAAAATGGGTAGAACTAGAGATCATCATGCTGAGTGAGGTAAGCCAAGCTCAAAAGGCCAAATATCTTATGCTCTTGCTCACTTGTGAAACCTAGACCTAAAATGACAATGAAGATAATAATAGGGAACGTGAATGTATATGGGTGACTGTCTGGGGGGATGAGCAGGAGGGGGGGAGGGGAGAGGAATGGATACTGAGAGGTGAAGAGGATGGAGGCACGTTGCATATATGCATGTGAGGACAGCATGGTGAAACCTACCAATTGGTGTTTGAAAAAGGGGCAAAGAGAGAGGCAAAATGGGAATATAACAGAGGGGGTGAACCTGCTCAAGGTACACTGTACACATGAATGGAATTATCCCAATGAAATCCCCTTGTATTATTAATGTATGATAATTCAAAAAATGTTTTAAATAATAAAGTTTTCTTTTGGGGGATGATGAAAATGTGTAAGAAGTTACTAGGGTAGTAATTGCATAACTCTACAAATATTTAAAACCACTAAAGTGTAGGTATTAAATATATGAAATTTATGGCATATAAATTGTATGTCAAAAAAGACTTTAAGACTGAGTATGTATAAATCATAGATGTGTGTGGGGAGATTTTTTTTTATAGTGTAGATCCCTAAGGATCACTGGTCAAAACAGACAGTGACTCAGTAGATCTGGATGGGAACCCAGCATCTATACTTGTATATTCCCTAGACAATTCTAGGTGATGCTAAGACCTCATATTGACAAGTGCTGCTCTGTGCTGCTCTGTGATATAGAAGGAAGGCCAAGACTATTCTCTATAGGAAATCAATTCCTGGAGGTCCCAAGAGCAGAATGCCCCAAGGAAAAAAGGAAAGGCCAGTGTGCACTAATATATTTTTTAAAAACATATTATTGAGCTTTTCCAATTGAAATCTTCCCTGCATATGACTTGCCTCTCTTCCTCCTACTCAGGGCACTGATGAGCGGAGGAAAAGGCTGGGATAAACAGTCTAAAATAAAGTCACCTTATCTTAGGGCTCCTGGGGCCTGCAGGGTCCCCACAGTTCCTGCTGTGCCCAGTGTGGGACCTCTGGTTTTCTTAAACACTGGAACATGACAGAGACCTCATACTGAAAAAAGAACCTCAGGGGTCAAAGCCTTTGCAGCTGAAGGTGACAGCTACAAGTGGCTGGGACGATGGACCTCAGTTGTACTTCAGTGGACACAGGCACCGGCTGATCAGAGACCAGAGCAGATCCAGAGAGCAGAGTGGTAAGGGGCAAGTCAAAGTCATTCTTCTGAAGGACTTGTGAAGACATTGTGTGGGGTGTGTGTGCCTGGGAATAAATGTACATATGCCTATTTTCATGTATATAACACATTCATATATATAAAGATTATTGTGTGAACATGTATAATACACATATAAAATACTTATGCATAAAATTATGTATATAGATGAGCAAACACACATCATCTGACTTGTAATGTGCATAAAGTCATGCCCCTGCTATATACATATATTTATACAGTGTGTACACACATGACATAACAGCTATTCACCATTGTAAAACACTCCTAGTGATAAGAAGGGCACTTACTCCTTTTAGACTGCAAAAATGAGACAGAGAGCAGTGTGCTGAACTACCCAAGCTGCAGTGGTCTGCACCGACACCGGGACTAGGACTCAGCAGTCTTCCCATCAACCCATGCTGCTCACCCCAGCCTAGACCTTCAAAGCATCTCTCTCCTAGGTAACTGACAACAACTACATCTAATAACTGCAAACATTTTGTTTTACTTGCATTTAAATTCCCACCTAGACATTATCATGCAAAAATAAGGGGCAGCCCTGAGAAGAGAAGTTTTGGTACCCACTATACATAGCTGGGGACCACAAGCAGCCCACAGCTCTCTCAGTGAGGCCAAGAGCAAGGCCAATTCCCTCAAAGGAGCAATCTTAAGGGCAGCTGGCTTCATCCCAAGCACACGGTATCTGATCATACATACTTGAAAATCATTTTCTTGATCTCAGCCTTGACTTCCTGTTGGGTTGAGAATGCATCCAAGGGGAATTCCAGATGAGGAGTGGAGCCGAACTGGAATGCTCCCACTCTGACCTGCAGCAGGAGACAGGAGGGCCAGTGGCCCCAGACTGGGGTCAAATTATAAACATTCCAAAGAGGGAAGAAAGGAAGAGAAAGGCTACCAACCCTGCCTCCTGGCCAAAACAAGTATCACTGCTGGAGCTTTTGCCAGTTTCCTTGAAAGAAGGCTCCAAAGGGCAGCTGGAGAATCTGGAAGGAAATGGTCAAACCCACTGAATTCTTCAGTGACAGCCCCAATTTAGTATTCTCGACAATGCTGCCCCCCCAAAAAAGCAGTTACACACTCTGGCAGCTTTCTCAGGGGAACTATGAGCCGCTTTAGAGCAGGGCTCTGCTCACACCTGCTGACTGCCTTCCAGGCTCATGTGCTGTTGTGTGCATTCTCATGCATTAGCTCAGCTGATCCATGAGGCAAAGTTAATGCCCATATCACTGCTGGAGAGACAAAAATGTGCAGAGGACATGATGCAAGGATAGTGTGCAAGGGCTTACGTGCACAGGGCTAGCAAGAAAAGAGGCCTGGTTATTGGTCTTGGAGCCCTGGTCTTCCCTAAAGCCCTTTATACAATTTGCCTTCTCAGAAGCCAACAGAGGCCTTTAGAAAAATACTTGCTGACCCACTGAGGGTTGCACTAATCCCAGCCACCATCACTGGTGACTCATCGCTAACCACAACCACCAGCCCCCGCTCCCCCCCACATACTTTGGTGGGTGATCAGCTTCTCCCACCATGTTCCTGCCAACAGGAAAGTCCAGGTCTCTAGATCAGAGAGTCAGACTGGGAGACTATCAACCCCCAAAATGGAGACAAACAATACTGGAGCTGAAGTTTGTGACAGTGCTTGGAAATCCAAATAGATTCTGTGTCTTAACTGAAGAGGCCATAAGAGACTACCCTGTGCCTTGCAATACTGCAGATTGGGAAGCTGAGTAAAGTCATGATGTGTCTTGAACAACAAAGGCCATAAACATTCAGGTTTCCTCTTAAGGGTCCAAGCTCTGCTCTTAATCCTTTGTTCTCCAAAGCTCCCGGAGACACTATGTTCTCTGTTAACTATTTTCATGACTAAGGTCATTTCTGGCAAAGATTTTCAATTGGCCGATCTACATTTAATAATTACATGGTCTTTTGCCCCCTACTTGATCCCTTAGCAGGTCTGGAGCTTGGGAAATGAAGAGCTGATGCCCTCAGCTTGCAGAACTGGCTTCCCATAGGCAAGAAGCTGTGGGGTGTCTTAAGCTGGAAGAAATTTAAGTCTTGCATGGACATGTAAGGAGATGGATGGTGGATGACAGAAGAATGGACAAACTCAGGAAGAAGTTTCTAAGAAGGAACCCTTCCATCTTTTCCCTTGGATTTAGAGTCTGATAAAAGGGGGAGGATGTCAACTCAGTGGGGAAAAGATGATCTCATCAGCAAATGATTTGGGGACAACTGGTTAACCTCCTACAAAACATTAAAGGTAAATTGCAAATGGATTCAAGATTTAAGTGTGAAAAATTTAACCATGAAAGTTCTAGAAGCACTCTTGGGAGAAACCCTTTGTAACTTGAAGTACAAAAGGCTTCACTATCGATTAAATACAGCCTTTAATCCTTTAAAAGTTATAAAGGAGCTGGGTGCCTGTGGCTCACACCTGTAATCCTAGCTGCTTGGAAGGTTGAGGTTAGCAGGATCACGGTTGTAGGCCAGCTGGACAAGAAAGTTTGTGATACCCCATCTCAACCAAAATACCTAAAATAGTAAGCTGAGCATAATGGCATGCACCTGTTGGCCCAGCTACAGTTGGAAGTGTAAAATAGGAGCATCGTGCTCTAGGCCAACCTAGGGCTGGAGGAGGTATGGCTGAAGCTGTAGAGTGCCTGCCTAGCAAGTGCAAAGCCCTAAGTTCAAACTCTGTACCATCAAAAAAAATAAAATAAAACTGTAAAGGAAAGGCTAAATCTGACTATACGGAAAAAAAAAAAAAAACTTTCTGCAGGTAAGACACACCTTAATGCAACCAAAAATTACAGACAAAATGAAAAAAAGAAATTATTCACAACTCATGCTGGGGACCAATGGTTTGTTTCCTCAATATATACAAGAGTGTTCAGAATTGATGTATAAAAGGTCAACAATCCAAGAGAAAAGGGGCAGAGAATCAGAGCAGAGATCACAGAAAGGAAATACAAATAGCTTTTTAATGGAAAGATGTTTGCCCTCACCATGAAGATATACCATGTTTCCTGTCAGTTTAGTGCAGGAAAAAAAAAGCACACAGATACAATGCCTGCAAAGGGAACAAGCATTCTTTAAACATAGCTGGTACAGCATCCATGGAGGGCAATACTTACTGAACGCTGAAACCTGTTGAAGTCATTGCAAGAAGGGAGAAGAGGGAGATCAATGCAGGAGAAGAACCAAAATGGGATACAATATATACACATATATGCAAATGTCACAATGAAACCTCCTGTATAACTTTCATATACTAATAAAAACATTTTTTAAAAAGTGCACATTGCTTTGGGAATTTATCCTACAGACACACTTCCACACGTATGAAATCAAGATTGTGGTGTATTTGTACTAACAAACGTCCATTAATAGAGGACTGGCTAATTAGACCTCAGTATATCCTTATGCTGGGACATCAATTAGCTGTAAGATGTGGAAATTTTTCCAAGATCATGTGATAATAATAATAAAAAGATAAGGGAGAGACAATACATAGACCAGGCCTCCCTTTGTGAAAAAGGGGAACATAAGGATATGCATTCATACTGATTGTATTTGCAAGAGGAGACTCTGGAAAATGACTCAAGAAAACAGGCAGGAGGGTCTGATAACTGGAAAAATGTGTGGGCAGAAGATTTTTCACTGTGCATCTTCTTACTGAACCATGTAAATGAATTACTTGGTGAAGAGAAAACAAAGAATCTCTCTTGAGACCAACAGCGAGGTCTATTTACTTGGGTTAAACAGGAAGGATACAACTTCAAAACAAAACATGCAGGAAACAGCAAAGTCAGTAGTGAAGGCATTTGATTTAATTGGTGGTTTGGGAGCCAAATAGCTGCCTTTCATCTTCCGTTTACAGTGCTCTCAGAAGCAAGCCCGCCCAGATTTCTCACCACACTGCAAGCACTTTGCTCCAATCAGTCTCTTAGAGCAGGAAGTGACTGTCTCAGCTTTGGGTGTTGAGAGGAAGACTTCTAACACCTGAATCCACCTCAACAACAAGCATCCACACAAAGTCCCAATTTAAAGCTACTTGAAAATTTCTTCCTAAAAACTCATTATAGAAAGCAAAACAAAACAAAGTGCAGAGAAAATCCCTTGTACATAGAGACAACAAAAAGGAACACAAAAAATGCAGGCAAAACCAAACCAAAACAAAACCCTGAAGTCACAAAATTACAAGACACTCACTCACTCACCCAGACACCATTTCCACTGCTCCCAACGTCTTGCTATGAGTGTCTTTCCCATTTGCCATGGATAGCAGGTGTGAATTCTGAGTGTCATCACCTCATCCTACCCCAGAGGCTGTCCACTGGGAAAGACAGATGGTCTAATGCAGTAAGTCTTGGGTCCTGGGCTGAGAGTCAATAGCTCCAGCTCCTCTACACTTAGCACTCTTTTGAGATTGCCATCACTTTGCCTCTCTGAGTCTGTTTCCTTATCTGTAAGACATGCTTGTAATCCATACAGCTCTTCTCTCCCAATTTGCCATCCTCAGGGGTCTCCATGTCACTGATTTTTGGAACATACCACATTAATGCCAAGGTCAACAGTGTTTGAATTTTAGCTACTTCCTTCAGAAATAATTAGTAAAACTTCTTAGGGAATTGTTTTAAATGTAAGGCTCCTTTAAGGTCTATGCTAGGTTGACTTTATGGTTAGAAACTCCTGGCCACTTGTGTCTAGACCAAATGACACCTGCTAGTATATGCATACACACACTGTGCCTGAGGTTCAGCCCTCCAAAATGACATACCATTCTACATAAATCCCGGTCCTCATTAAAAGCCATGTTTGCTCCTAAATCCTAGAGATTCTACTATGATTTACTCAGGAATGTCATCTTGGAAAACCACTTCCTTCCTCAATATGTATGTGACTAGTCTGTAATTCAAATAATTATGGCTTTCCAGACCAAAACACCCTTCTTAAGTTTTTGATTTTTGGGTAGATTCACATGGGTCAAAATCCAGAAACTATCTCTAAAGAAGTCTGAGTTGCTGGGTCTCCCGCTGGACTTGTTCCCTATCTGCTCAATTCCCACCCTCGTCCCCAGTAGGAACCACTACCCTTGGCTTCTTACAAACCATCCCATTTCTCTATGCACACACAAAGCAATTACAATTCAGATTCTCATTCATCCTTCATTTTTATATAAAAAAAAGCAACTTGTTCTACACACCTTTTGCACCTTACTTTTTAACATTTATTTGTCCTGGTGTTTTCCTTACTCGCTGTGCTCAACGTTTCATTTCATGAAAACACCGTAATGGCTTACCTACCCCTACCAATGAATGTTCAGACTGCCTGAAACCTTTCATAATTACAAATACCACTGCCATGAGTAACTGTATGGGGGTTAGTTTTGCATGGGTGGCAGTACCTAGAGACAAATTCCTGAAGAGGGGTCAAGCTTCATCATTGTGATGGATACTGTTGGGTTGTCCATGGATGTTGCACCATTTGGCACTCTCGCCAGTTGAACATGGAAACACCAGTTCTTTAAAGGCTTGTCAACAGAGCATGTCACCAAACATTGGATTTCTGCTAACCCACTAAGTGAAAAATGTATGTTGGTCAGAGATTTACTGTTGCAACAGGTAAGATTTGACATTTTTTCATATGCCTAAAGGCCATCTGAGTTTTGCTTTCAGGAACTACCTGTCTGTGCTCACTGCCTGTTTTTCTACTGGGTTATTCAAAAATGCTCTTTACAGAAACAAGAGCTGCAACTACCACACTCTGCTGGCATTATCACTTTCTGTTTGAAGCCAGGAAGAAGCAGCAAAGATGCTGCCTGGGTTCACTCAAACAGAAACAGATCTTTTCCAGTGAACAAAGTGGCAGGAGCTGTGCTTCATATCAACACTCTAGTCTGCTCAGCATGTGTTACCTTCTCATTGTTCTGCAAACACAACTTCTCTTTCTAGAGGGAAGCCAGATCCACAGGTTCCCTCTCCATCCCAAAACCTGGGTGAGTGCTTGACTCAGGTCTGGCTAGAGACTCTTCTTACTGTGACTGGTCAGCAGATGGTCATGTCACCTAAGCCTGCTCAGTTAGAGCCCTCCTGGGAATTCTGCCAGATCCACAAGGAAAGAAGCCTACCACTTTCATTTTTCCTGGGGTCACTAGCTTGAAGGACAACACACAGCAACTTTGCTGTGTGTGGAGAACCTGCCTGGGGAAGAAGCCAATCAAAGAAAGCAAAAGTGAGAGGAGAAAGAGGGAAACCATCTGATAGCCTCAACTGAGCTCTTGGACCCCACTGTGCCAGGATTTGCCCCATGGTCTTTCTAGTCCCACAAGATAGTAGGTTCCCTTTTCTGCTAAGATTGGATTTCTTTCACCTACAACTAAAGACATCCTGATACAGAGATCAACGAGGCTGTACTCACCCTCTCAGGGCTGATGTCCAGGGCCTCACAGATGGTGATGGCAAAGTGTTTACATCTCTCAAAGCTCCCTTTCCCGATGCTGTGAGAGCCATCTAACAGAAACAGGACGTCCAGTGTCGCCGAGCACCACATCACTAGAGAGAGCAGAGCAGGCAAGTGTGGGGGAACTAGATTCTCCCATATTCCTAAAACTTCCATGTGTGGGCCTGCTGTGAGCTCTCGTCCAGCCACACTTTGAGATCGGTGAGGAGAGCGTCCTGGGCCAGCCATGGACCTAGCCCTGAAGGGGTAATGATCTGGTCTAGTACAGAGCCAGGCACCCTGACGTGTGAGGTAGTATGACTCAAAAGTACAAGTAGAGAAATGACCCAAGCCTTGTATGCACATATGAATAAAATTAATTAATTAATTAAAAAAAAAAAAAAAAAAGAAAGTACAAGTAGCAAGATCCAGCAATGGCTCTGCCTTTCTAGACCAGCTCTGCCTGAGATGCTTTAGCTGTACTCATTATTTTAATACTCACCCTGAGAGAGAGAACTATTTTCTTAGTTCTTTGAAAACTGTATTCAGACTTCATTCCCATATCATACAATTCAACATTTTTAGGGGATTTACACATCACCCCAGTCAATGTTAGAACATTTTTTTTATCACCTCAGGAAGAAATCCTGTACCTTTTAGCTATCACAACCCCAACTCCCCATCACAACTCTAAGGAGATTTGTCACTTTTACTCCTGACGGACAGATGAGGAAAGCAGAGTGCAGGGTAATTCGATAACTTTCTAGGATCAAAATCCCTGGAAGAGGTGGAGACTGGAATCAAACTTGTCTGTCTGCCCACCCCAACCTCACAGGAGGGTGTGAGGGGAGTAGGGTAGTCAGAGAATCACCACGGAGATTGCGCCCCAAGAGGCACTATGGGAACTGCAAGCAAATGAGAGGTTGCACCAGCAAGGGAAGGGCCAAGGAGGGATCAGTGTGTTGGTGTGGCTTGAGTACACAGGAGGAGGGTGACTGACATGGAAGAGGAAGGACTACGACGGGAAATGAAGGTGGCTGGACAGATGATGGTCAGGTGACAGCAGGCCTTGATATGCAGGCCAAGAAATTCATCAATAAAGGTTTACTGAGGCTATTTTTTGTTGGGAGTTTTTAAACTTATTTTTTCCAAGGAGGGTCATCGGAGGGCCCCATCTGAGGAGAATGAAAGGAAGCTGGGAGTGGAGTGGAAACTGTTAGGAGAAATATGGTTTCCCTTGGGTCACTCTCATGGAAGTCTGAATGGGTGTTTGGAAGGGTAGGTAAACTCAGGCTTACTTTTGCTGGCAACTGCAATCTTCCCAACGGTCTCCCTGCTCACGTGGACTTCCTGAAGAGAGACTGATGCGGATGCTAGGAGAGAAAATATCAGAAGCAGTCATGAAAAGGTAGCATGGGGAGGAGACTTCACGTCCATATTATGCAACCAGAATGAACAAGTGACAGGGCAGAAAACAGGAATGTGGGAGTCCAGTGATATACGAATCTCAAAAATCACCACATGGAGGGCTGGGGGTGTAGCTCAATGGTTCAGTGTGTGCTTAGCATGCTTAAGGCCCTTTGTTCAAACTCCAGTACCCCTGGCCAAAAGAAAAAATGGGTAGCATTAAAAGAGTACTCCACCTCTATGAGGTACTTTTGTATTTAGATTTGAGTATTTTGAAGAGAAATACTAAAAATACCCCATATGGAAAGCCTGTGATTCTGAAGACTTCTGCCCTTGGTTAGGTTGGGTGTGTCTCTTCTGAGTGGGACTCCTTACATTATATCCAGTACATCCTTAGAAGGCCCCCAAGCTGCAGCTGGGTTTCTCAGGCAAAACATCTCATTGTCATAAAAACTTAACCTTGGATGTGAACCAACAATTCGTAGGAAAAACTGACTCATGGAAAAGCATGAGGGAAAGTGTTCAAACAGGTGACAAAACACTTGAATTCAAATAATTTGAAATGTGAAAACGTGTCATCAAATTCCAGATTAAAATATAATTAGGACAAGATTAAATCAGGAAATTTTTTTTCCCCAACGGTGGTACTGTAAGTTGATACAAGCCTTCTGGAAAACAATTAGACTGAAATAAGAGTCATGAAAATACTTATTCTCTTTGACTATATAGCATTGCACCTGAAGACTGATCTGAAGGAAAAACAATTTTAGAGAAGAGGAAATGTGCACAGAGACCCTCTCTTGTAACGTTTTTCATGCTTGAGAAATGTCGGCCACAACAAATAGACAGAGAGGCTTATGGGTAAATGTTGATGTATTTGTGTCATGCAATTAATATGAGCAAGGTCTAAAAAGATCTGGAGTAGGAATTTCATGGATTTTGTTTTTGTTCTTTTCGATAGCCAGTAAAATGATAATGGTATATGAGCAATAGGTAACAATTTTAAAAATAAAAACATCTAGGCCAATGATGTAGCTCAGTGAGAGGGCTTGTCTAGTATGTAACAGGCTGTGGTTTTAGTCTCTAGCATCAAAAAGTAAACAATACTAATAAAACTAAACTCTAAAGGCAGGGGCAACATGCCAAGGAAGCCCCAGGACTGCTGAATGATGAATCACCTGAGGGTAATGAGGGGTCACCTGGGGGAATATTTTGAAAAGTCAGCAGCACTGTACATGGTGAATGTCTAGCAGAAGTGTACACATAGCTTCCAATCAATGTTGCTGTCCATGAGCAAGCACAGAGGGAACAAACCGTGGTGGCAGGGCCTGGGAGCAAGCCCAGGTAGGGGGCAAATGAAGCAATGCGAGAATGAGCCCCACTGAAGACAGGGGTAAAAGGAGAGGGAGCCAGGAAAGGAGGAATCACACAACATAGTCAGCTGGGCTCATGGGATTTGCAACTGCCAGGAAAGTGATTAAAAGGGAGACACCAAAAGATCACATTGGGTTTTGGGGGGTGTAATACCAATGCCCAATGTTACTGGTCAATCAGTTCACTCAGCAACTGCTGGGCTAGTCCCCAGCTCTACCTTCCATGGCTCCTTTCTACTCACTAGGCCCCGTGCAAACAAAGCTGGTCTCTATTTCTCCCCTCATCTTGTCTTTGAGGAGAGAGCTCCTGCTTACCTGATATGCTCTCCCCTGTCTCTATTCATGCAGACTAGGTCAGTACACTCAGCCAGCATTTAGCTCAGTGGTCCAAAGCTTTGGACATCAGGTCCAGGACAGTCTGCCACTGCCATCTGCCACCAGAGGCAGAAACAGGATAAACTTCAGAAGAAGACAGTAGACTGAATTAAAGAATAATAGCTTCCACCTCCATAAATAATGAGAGCTGTTGGGACAGAGACAGGGGCAGTGCCACAAAGAAACAGGCTTTTTGCTTCACTGTATCAGAGACCATCAAGAGCCTACCAACTGGTGGAGGCCACTGCAGCTGATCTCATAATGGGGGCTATTCTCATGGATTCATGGTCTCTTTACCCCAGCTCCCTGGAAGCTCCCCAAGTGCAAAAACACTTCCCCTCTTCCATCCTCAGAGCTGAGCCTAGCTCTGCTGCAGCACATAGGTGCTAAGGTTTCCTTAAATGAGCACATGAGATATTGACAAAGGGTCCAATAGCCTAGGAATACCCAAGACCCTGAGGAACAGAAAATACTGTTCCTTGGAGGATGGGGCAACTCCACACTAGAGACCACTCACTAAAGATATCACTCAGATAATGGGACTCTTCTGTACCACATACTCAGCTGTTATAGCTGGTGCCAGGTTTCAGGTATGTCCACCTTGAGCCTGGGTGACATCCATCATAGTCCCCATGATTTACCTCGGAACTCTGCAAAGGTCCCCAGAACAGGGTGCTGCTTAATGTCTGGTTGCTATCGCTACTTCTAACCAAGCTGGCAGCCTCTCCTAAAGATCATCTGCAAGGTTCCAGAACTCTTCTCTCCAGGGATGGGTGATGCTAATGAGCAGGCAGGACTGGGAACCACTAATCTAGTCAGGCACTTTCACTTTCCAGATAAGAGAGCACAGGCTTAGCAAGAGAATTCCTGTATGTTCTTGTCTCCCCAGTGGAGCCCATAGTGGGGAAGCTAGTCCAGGAGTCAGGAGACCTGAGTGTTCGTTCCAATAGCTACGTCACCTTGGACAAGTCACACAGCCTTTCTGGGTGCCCCTACCACATCTGTACAGACAGAGATGGTCAGATTAAGTGTGCATGAACACAATCTATAGGCTGGACAGGGTCACAGAAGCAGAAGTTCAACAACAAGGCAGAGCAGAACTTGAAATGGAAATGGGGCTCCAGAGATTTATTCAAGGCTTGTCCACAATCCAGTTCACCAGGACAACTCCTTGGCCATGAAGCCACTGTTACTCTCTGCACCCCCATGGCTTAGAGATAGGGCATGGATGGGCTGAGCATCCAGGCTGGAGCAAGCAACCCCCTACTCCCAGACTTTCTGGTCTCCCCAGGCTCCCAGGGACAGGCAGGTGATGGCAGCCACCTCAGCAGAGAGCAAATACCTGGTCTTACAGACCAGAGACAACTGCAGGAAACAGTCTCAAAGGCCACATTCCAATTTCCTGGTTTCACAGAAGAGCATCCTGCGCTGGTCTCAGACAGCTGAGCCACCAGTGTCCTTGTTCTTACTTATGTGACAACCCTCTGCAGACATACTGACCGCTTCCTACCACTTCATATTTCAAAGAGGCTAGAACTTGGGAGGGACAAACTGGGAATTGAAAAAAAAAAAGTGGATTTGCTTCACTGTTCATTCATTAATCTATTTCCCAGGCACTAAGTGTCAAGTTCAGTGCTAGGCACAGGGGTTACACAGTGATGAATAGGCAATATACAAAGTCTCCTTCTTCCTAGAGCTTACAGAGGAAAAGATTCATTGTTAAAAATTCACACAAAAATAAACACATGCCTCTGCTGGGTACTAAGAGTAGAGGCTGCAGGAGGTTTGAATAGGGGAACTGATGTGATTTTGGGTGCCAGAGGAGCTGTGGTAGGCACTGAAGTGCTGGACACTGAAGGATGGACAGAAATTTGTCAGGGTGGCAGTGTTGGGGTAAGGAGGTGATCCAGGCAGAGGGACCACTAAGATTCAGATCTCTATGAAGAAAGAGAGCAAGGATGCCATGCAGGACTGAAAGGAGTGTAGGGCTGCCTGAGAGAGGCTGAAAGGGAGGGAGCACCACTGGGGCCTCCAGATGGCCACAGGACAGGACCAAACAGGACTTCTTAAGAGCAATGGAAAGTCACTTAGAAGTTTTAGGTGGGAGTAGATAAGCGTCCAAGCATGATCAGATTTGCATTTTGAAATGGTTGCTGTATGGAGAATGGTCTAGAAGAGGATCAAGTGAACCCAAGCAGACTGGTCAGGAGGCTACTTGCAGAGTCCAAGCTTAAATCAGGGAGGTCACCATGGAGTGGAGAAAGATGGAGTCAAGAGACCTTAAAAAGTTAAAACTGCATTTATTGAAGAAATCAAGTGGTTTTTGTTCTTGATTCTATTTATGTGTTCTATTACATTTATTTATTTGCATATGTTGAACCAACATGGGATTAATATCCAAATTATATGAAGAACTCAAAAATTTAAACACCAAAAAAGCAAATAATCCAATTAATATTGTGGGCAAATGAACTGAACAGAAAGTTCTCGAGTGAAGAATTACAAATGACCAGTAAATACATGGAAAAATAGTCAATATCCTTAGCTATCATGGAAATACAAATCAAACCTGCATTGAGATTCCATCTTACCCCAGTCAGAATGCCTGTCATCAAGAAAACAACAAGTGCTGGCAAGGAAGTAGAGGGGAGGAACCAATACAGGCTGTTAACTGGAATGGATATATTAGTGCAGCCACTATGGAAATTAGTATGGAAGTTCTCCCAAAAATGAAAAATAGAACTCCCATATGATCCAGCTACACCATTCCTGGGCATATACTGGAAGGAATGCAAGTCAGCACACAATAGAGACACCTCCACATCCATGTTTATTGTAGCACTGTTCATAATAGCCAAGCTATGGAGTCAGCCTAGGTGCCCATCAATAGAGGATTAGATAAAGAAAATGTGGTACATACACAATGCAGTGTTCAGTCATAAAGAAGAATGAAATGATGTCATTTGCAGGAAAATGGATGGAACTGGAGGTCACCAAAACCATCACAGCAAGGGAAATCAGTCAGGCTCAAAAAGACAAGGATCATACATTTTCTCTCACATACAGAAATTACAAGAGGAAAAGGAGACAGGAAAGTTAGGAATATGGAAGGGAAAAAGGGGAGGAGGATAAGGGGAGTAGGTGAAAATAATCAAAGTACATTATGTGTATAAAAATATCATAATGAAACCCATCACTTTGTATAATTAATTATATGCTAACACAAAAGGATCCACAGGATTTGAAGCAAACCAAAGCCCCAATACTTTACTCCCCACCAAAAAAAAAAATCTTACCTCTATAAAATAGGAAAATGCAGACTGCTTCCAGCAACAGGAAAGAAGGCATGATGATTTGGCTTCAGGGCCCAGAAAAGAAAACAAGCATCAGCAATGAGTTGTGTTATGTTGTGTGACCCACCCAGCACACTGCTGAAGGTGACAATTACTCAGCTTTTCCTGGGCCACCAACAGGACCCGGGAGGCCCCTCCTCACCATAACTATGTAAGCCTGAGAAGATGTCCCAAAAAGTCATGAGGATTTTGCCCCAATGACTTTGACTTTAAACAGCCATCTAGTCTGTTCCCCAGATCATCGCTCCCACCCCCAGTCCCCTCCAGCTCCTCCCCAGCCTCTGGAGCAGTGCTCTGCCCAGAGCGAAGGGTCCTTGGCTCAGTCCTGCCTGGCCGTGTGAACTTAGGTAGAGCAACTCCTCCCTCCAGTCTCCATTTGTTCATGAGGAGTTAGATGCAGATAGGTTGAAGACTGGGGTCCAAGGTCCTCATTTTCTGAAACCTCTAGCAAGTCACCAAGCCTTTCTCTAACTAAGAAATCAACATGAAAAGAAAGTCTGCATTTTCAGTACGCTGGCTGGGAAAGGAATGCAAGTTTTAAGTTGTTTTTTAAAAATCACCTAAGAATGTTCTAGCATGGGTAAAATTTAGTTCTACAAGGCATGATCATTAGTTTTGAGAGAGAGACTAAGGAGAGAAAGTAAAATTCTCCGCTGTCTCAGAAAATGGAAAACAAGGCAGGAACAGGAGTAGCATTTATGTGACACAGCTGGCAGGCTGTCCACGTCCGCTGAGGACCTAAATTTTTCAGACCCATGGCAGAAACTGCCTGGTCATCTACAGCAACTCAGAGTACTTTCAACCTCAACTGCTCCCACACGACTTTTCCCACACGTCCTGTTGGACGTGCTCCACCACCTCTGCTGGGGCATCTTACACATCTCCAGTTGCAGGCACAAAACGGACCTGGATTTCACATTCAGAGGATTGTAGGGCAGGAGAAGAGCCACAGCTGCTCTGAAAATTAAAGTTACCTGGGAAATGCCACTGCTGTGAGTATGACCCAACTCACGTTCACAGAGGCGCTGTGCCAGGCCTTGCTTGGAGTGGTGGGAAATGTTAACATGAGGTGGGGGGAGGTGCCCTCAGGGGGCACTGCTCACTTTGGGCTTCGTCCCCACACAGAGAAGAGGGATAAGAGGGTCACAATATGATGGGAATGGAAAGAAGAGAGATCCAGAATGAATGAACACCCAAAGATGGACAGAAAGGTCACTGAGGCCCTGAAGTAGAGGGGACTGGGCTGTCACACTAATTCACACACTTTCTCTAACTAGGGAGCCAGGTCAGCTCAGGAGAACTTGAGCCACCTCTTAGAACGCCATCTACACAAGATGGCACGCTATAAATCACTATCTGACAGGTAGCATGGCTTCATTACCCCCATGAGAGCTACACCTGTCCCAGGGTGGCAGGGAACATGCAACATGAAACCAAGGACCCTAGTTCTGATCCTAATGCACTGTGACCCTGAGAGAGGCTGTGGTTCCTCACTGTGAATGAGGAGGTTGGACCCGATGCAGCTATGGCATCTTCTGGCTTTAAAAATCCCATTTGATGCTCCCTCCTCCCTCTGCCACCATAGACTAGATGGTCACCCTTACTCTGCTGCATATTCAGCTCCTTGGATTTCAAAACATTTCTGAAACAAACTAAATCAAATGAGCTAACAGCTGTAAGACTTTGTGCCGGGTCTTCCTGATTCAAATGACTAAAACGCTTGAGTGTTCACCTAATCCAAGAGAAAGCTGGATATCCAATGTTGCCAGAGCAAGCATGTCAGAACTCCCAGGCTCCATCAAAGGGAGAAAGATGGCCGGGAAGGATGTTGACCTACTGAGGGGCTCACATTCTTCCTGCTGGTTTCTAGCCCCAGGGCATGCCAGCAAGGCAGACTTTCCGCTCTCCCAGTATGTGTTTTCCTCTTATGCCCAACATCAGATGCAGGACAAGCCCCCACCTGCTGCTGGGGAGTCAGGCAGGGACAAGGCAGTGAGATGAGGGGCAGTGTAGGAAGGAGGGAGAGGGCCCCTCAATGCTGTGTAGTCCTTAGCTTCAGGACCATCTGGCTTAGGTTCTGATCTTGAGCACCTGCATCAGGCCTGTTGATTTATAAAACCAGGATTCCAGCAGCTCCCTCCCTGGCTTGCTGCAAGGACGTGGAAGGAAATACAGAAGGTTCCTGCTTCATAGTAAGGCACCAGTAAACACAGGGCCCCTCCCTGTGCAACTTCCCCTCGATCACTATGTGCCTCTGCTTGCCCAGTGGATGTTTTTCCAGTCTTCTAAGTTTCTGCTCATTAAAATGAAATTTATGTTGGCACTCTGCAGATGGACACAGCATGGCGAATGCTTTCTCACAAGTGTTTGGATCAGATGGTGCTGGGCTTGGTGACTCAACAGCATCTCTCCCTCCTGTGCTCCCAACACAACCTCTACTGTCACTGTCACACAGCTCATACTGAAACTGTCCCAAGATAGACTAGCCTTATTTGTCAGCTGACAAATGCCTAAGACTAGGGATTGTGTTTTAGTCTCTCCTGGAGCCCAGGGACCTGAACTGCCTAGGATATAGAGGTCCATGCTTCCTAGGTAAAGAAAGCAGCCATGATGCCAGTCACAAAGGGTTTCCATGTGAATCTTTGTGCTCAAGCATCCACTGCATTTTTTCAGACCAAGATAAAAGAAATGAATGCTACCTGGCAGTGCTGAATTTTTATTAGCACTCTGCAAAGTATTACGGGAATGCCTTGATTTTCCCCAGACATCTCAGATACTGTTTATTCTCTTCTTGTCACATATAGAAGCTTTCTTACAATGCTAATTCAACATTCAAAATACTGCCCTACATCTGGAAAAGCTTTTTGTTCACTGAGACAGCATCTTGCTATGTTGCCCAAACTGGCTTTTAACTCTTGAATTCAAGTGATCCTCCTGCCTCAGCCTCTTGAATATCTGGGACTATAGGTGTGCCCCACCATATCCATCCTGGGAAGGGCTTTTTTACAAGGATGAATTTCACAGTAAAAACTCAACAAGTGCAACTGGCTAATAAGCATTTATTACATGCCTACTGCCAGGATCCACACATCCATGTCTTCTCTTCCCAATCTGCACGGCCAGTCACTCCACCTCCTTCCTCTTACAGAAGAGGAAACTGAGACATGCAGAAGTGTTTTGCTCCACCTTCCATAGCTAACCCAGTGGATCAGACTCCATTCTGACCTCCCAGCGATCTGCTCAAAATCACCTTTTAGATTCTGAGGGAAGATTCTGAGATAATGCCGGGCAAGAGGGAGATGTCGGGGCGAGAGGGGACACTCTGGCAGAAGTCAAGGCTCCAGGAAACAGCTATGAACTGTGGGCAGTAACAGAGGAACAGAAGAGTAATTAAACGCCTGCCATTCTGAATCCTGACCTTTGACACCTTTCCACCAGCAAATACCTGACACCAACTCCCACAATGAGCCTGGGAGATTTCCAGGGACCTCCGCATTCTTGTGCAAAGTAGTTAAGAGGGATCTACAAGCCAGGGATAAGAACAGACCCTAGGTTCCAGCTGTGTTTTCCATTGCAAAACACCTTGTTCATCGCCTTCATTCTCCTGTTCCATTACTCATGCTAATCCCACATATTGTTCCTGGCTTCGGGGCTGCTCACAGGTGGACTTATTAGAAGCTCCCCATTTAGAACCTCTTCATCTGATTGTTGTCTCGGGTTCCGGTTCCACACAGCACCAGCATATCTTACTCGACAGCAGGGGAGTGAGATCTTCTGCAGGATGCTACAAGACACATTCCACTGTGCACGAGCCAGGGATACATTTCCCATGATGCACCAAGAAACAAAGGCCAGAACAAGGCCGCTTTCTAAAGAAAGGTTAGATCTGTGATAACTAAAGGCAGCTTTGTGGGACAATGCCTGCTTTCTCCCCTATGATCGAAAACAAAGTGAGCGTAGGATGAAAAACGAGACCACTTCCGTGTCCTTTGAAAATGCAGGTTGGCCCTTGGCAGCCTTCTCCCAGTCGGAAGGATGGAAACCTGAGCCCTTTACAAGATCAGAACAACTAAAATCAGAGGTGGAAATCTCCAGCTAGGAAGTCCTTGCTGTCTTTTGTTGTAACAAACATTGTCTGTGCCCATTTGGCCAGAGAGTCAAGGAAAGTGCACTAACATTTCTAGTTTGATATGCTTGGAGAATGGATTTTTTGGCTTATTTTTGGAGACAGGATCTCACTATGTTGCTCAGAGTGGCCTTGAAATCCTGAGCTCAAGTGATCTTCCCGTGTCAGTCTCCTGAGTAGCTGAGACTAAAGGTTGTGCATCACTGCATGGTTTGGGGGAAGAGCATTTTAACAGCTGTGATCTCCATAAAAGGATCAGCAAATTTACAGAATCCAACAGTCTAACAATCAAAAGCCAACACCAAGGGACCAACAATGTGCCATTTTGGATTCTCAGGAAGGTTGGGCACAAATTAGTCCCCCTCACCCTCACTCCCACCCACACACACTCTGTACCTGCTAAAAGACATTTGTAGACAGATCTTCATTTGTTTGCCCAATATTTGAAAATGCTTCACATTGTTCAGAAGGACACAGACTCACTATAGTGGGACTCTGGGGAGTTCTAAGATACAGAACTCTCTCTCTCTCTCACACACACACACACACACACACACACACACACGCACACATGCACACACATGCCCTGAAGTCCAGAGACACAATTCCTGCCCACCTCTGCTTCTAGCAGCTGGGTAACTCTGTAAGCAACAACCTTTCCCGCCTCAGTTCATTTATCTGTTAGGTGGGGAAAATCTCAGTTTTGCACACACACAGTGTTGCAGCGATCCTGTGAGGAAGCCCTCGCTCTCACTATATGGTAGGAGTTCTTTTTCAACTGAACAATGTTAACAGACCGTTATGTTCAGCAACAATCATAACCCTGCAGAATAGACATTCCTGTTTCCGTTTTCCTAGATGAGGAAGCAGTCTTGGAGAAGGTGAGGTCCAAGGCCACAGAGCGAGCGAAGCACAGGCTTGGAGTCCAGCCCAGGCCCTCTCAGCTGTGACAGTAAGCATGCAATTCCCAGGGGGAAGGGGTAGAAAGAGCAGCAATGGGCCATCAAGAGACAGAGCATAAGTTTTCTTGTCAATTCCTGCACTTCAGTCTCCATTTCCTTCTCTCTAAAATCGGGGGGTGGGGGATGGGGGTGGGAGGGAAGCAGCCACCTCTTTGCCAGGAAAGGTTGTTGCCAGGTTCCCATGGAACCCCAGTACAAAAGCCCCTGGGGCAAGGGCAAGGCTTCCTAGTTTGAGATCAGGAAAATCCAGTTCAAGAGCAGAGATGAGGACAGGAAGAAGAGGGTTGAGAGTTCTAATCATGATCAGGGAAAAGTTAGTGTGTAATTCTGTGGTGGAGAAGAAAAGGCAGCAGATTAGCAGTTTAGAAGATGAAAGGACAAAGTACAGGAAGAGACTTCCAATATACTGGGCTGTCTGGGGATGCTGGTTCAGGCGTGCTAAAACAACAGGTTGCAGGGACTGGACCTGTAGAGTCCTTCTACTGGGCCCTCCAATAGCTGCCTGGGGATGGGAGATTTTATTTTAAAATAGCTTTATTGGATAAAATAAAAAGGAGCAATTCTATTACAGCTCCCCCAATCAAAATAATCTTTTTTATTTAAGGAGTGTGAAATGCAAAAGTTCGAGGACCACTGTTGTAAAACGATCACAGTGATGCTGCCCTTCCATGGATTTGTTATAAGAAATGACACTCATCCAGTGGAAAATACTAAGCCTAGCACACTTCCAGGTTCTGGGGACGCAGTGAAAATGCTTTGTAAAGTGTAAGGTGCACACCCGGTAGGAGCATAATGAATAAAAGGCATTTTCATCAGGAGCTTATCCCTAAGATCATCACTGCCAATTAATGATTGCTTGTTTATGAAGCTCATTAAAAAGCCTTAAGTGGAAACTTGGATAAGTGACGGAAGCCAATCTGAAAAGATTACATACTGTGTAGTTTCAACTACATGATATTCTAGAAAAGGCAAAACTCCATAGACAGTAAAATAAAAGGTCAGTGATTGCCAGGAGCTGGGGGGCGGGGAGAGAGGGATAACCAGACAGAGCACAGAGGATTTTTAGGGCAATAAAGCCACACTGTATGATACTATAATGGTGGATCCACATGTCCAAATCTAAGAACGAACCCTTAACCATGAACTCTGGGTGATTATGTATCAGTGTAGATTTATCAGTTCTAACAAATGTTCTAATATTTCTTAATATGTCACATTAGGAGCAAAAGAGACCTTGAATATTCAGGCCTGAATACACTTACAGGTTCTAGAGTTTAAAGAACTTTATAATTTAAAAATTATACAGGCACCAACACATCAAACACATTGTACGGTTACAGCAGTCGATTCTCCAAGCAAAGGTAGCAAGGTGCCCTTCCCCCCTTCTCTTCTGCCTGATGCCCACGACGTTTTTAAATCACAAGTTTCCAAGGTGCAACTCTGGGCCCCTCCCTTTTTCTATTTTAGCAGGTGGCCAAGGGCCCTGGGCAGGAGAAATGCAGAAAGCGGGGCTTGGTGTATGGGTTAGGGTAAACTGATGAGGGGGTGGTTTCTCCCACATGTAAAGTCACTGCGAGAGATAAGGCCCTTGGGTTTCCTATCGCCCAAGGGCTGGGCTTTCCGGGCAGCAGATCCCGCTAAGGTTCTCCTTACAAACTTCCCTGGGAGCACTCGGCTGCCTGGAAAAAGCTACCTTGAGTCACCATAACACTGTATATGTCCTGTACTGGGGAGTGAGGGTGGGGGATGGATATGTACCCAAAGCGTTTATTCCAAAGGCAAGTCCCGGTCCGCGAAGAATTGTGCCAGGCAGCTTAGGTTTCACACGACATGCCCTCCTCCACCCACAGCCGCCTAGGCTCTTACCCCTTACCTGCGCGCCCGCGCTCCCTCTGGCCACCCGCACAGGCTCGCCCGGGGCCAGGTGCGCTCTCCTGGGACTCTGGGAAGGCCGCGCTCAGGTGCGCGCCGACAATGCGGAACAAAGCCGGCAGGGGTTGGGGCGGAGCGGCGCGGTCCCCGCGCTCCAGGTAGGGGCGACTGGCGCAGAGCCGGCTCCACTCCCCGGAGCGCCGATCTGCCAGACTACGGCGGGACGCGGGGCTCGCTGGGCTCCCGCAGCGCCGAGCCCACTCCGGCGGTGACTCACCGGGCGGAGCGCACGGCGCCCACGCTGCTCAGCGACAGGCGCGGGCTCCACGCGGGCCAGGGGGCGCTGCAGCCCACAGCAGAGGCGCCCCGGGGACGGCGGCCACGTGGGACACCTGTTGGTCTCTCCCAGGAGGCGCGGGGAGATCACAAGCGCTCTCGTAAGCAAGGGGGGGCTCATCGGACGCTTCTGGGAACCGCGCTGGCCTCGCCCCTCGCGTTTTAAAACAGGCGCTGGCCAAGGTCGACAAATCAACAAGTGACTTCTGTGCGGATTCTGAGCGGTGCAGCAGCGATGACCGTGCCATCGCGGGCTACTCCGCAGGATTTATTGCCCACCCGTGAGAAAATGTTGACTTTGGCATCGTTTCTATTTGTCATGGCAATTGCCTTTCGTTAACCTGCTTGTCCCATTATTGCAGTTAGGTGATAATAAGCCGAACTTCTGGCTAGCATCCTTGTGTAAGTCTAGAGGGTGCTTGGCTTTGTTCTTTTTAAATTCAAACGCCACAGAACAAAATAGCATTGTTAACACTATACTTTGTACATAGCAAACCGAACGCTAGTTATTACTGCAAAATCTATCATTTTCATACATCAAAAAATTTGCATATGTACTCATAGCCAAAAAAAATAAAAAATATCCATAAACAAACGGAAAAACCAGATTTCACTTACAGATTGAGACAACCTGTTACTACTCTGTATGTACCTGTCCTATACCTGTATGTAGTCTATCCATATAAAATTTACATTTTTTAGTTCATTCCACACATACTGTACATTAACCAGATTTTCCGTTTCCCTTTTTGATGTGTGTTTAGACACTATATGTTCTAATGTGCTTACCCTATCTGCTAGTTTTGAACACTAAACTTACAGCTTTCATAATGCAGTTAAAGCATATTGTACCTTGGCCCAATTACTTTTTTGGAATAAACCGCAAGAAGGTAAACGTGTAAGTTTCAGGGTGCATACAATTCAAGATTTTTAAGTGCATGTTATTGCACTGCCTTCTGGGAAGCTGGCCTGTTTACCCTTTTCCATTCCCTCTCTCATTATTATAGTAAATGTCAATCTGATAGGCGAACAGCGATTTTATTTTTACACATTTCCTTTTCAAAAATTCAAAACCACTGCATTCAATCTGTTGTTCAGTCAGGTTTCTAACTCTCCAGACACTGACAGCCTCAGTGACATTGCCTCCTGGTAATCTTAATGCTACAAGCCTTACTGAAGGGAAGAGGAAGTCCTCGTCTTTCACTTAACTTATTCCTCCCAACAGCTTGTACCGAGCACCCACAAGTGCAACCAGTGCTATTCCAGAGCAGCATATGCAAAGTGTCAGCTGTCACCCCACAGAGAACTGGTCCTGCGGTCTAAACGCCAGGGAGCCATGGTCTCCGCCTCCAGATCGGTGTTCAGAGAAATGTAATGCAAGACACGTGTGGAATTTTAAATGTTAGTGGCCACTTAAGAAGTGAAAACAGGTGAACTACATTTTAATATCAACCCACAGATCCAAATTATCTCAATATGCAATCAATATTAGAGAGACTTTATACCATCTTCAAAATTCTATTGTGTATATACTTGTAAGCACCTTCTAAGTGCTCACCAGCCACATGTGCTAAGTCGCCTGTGCTGCTCCAGGCAAGTCTAGGACAGGCAGACCCTGGATCCAGGTCCTGGTGACTTGGAAGTTCCACCCCTGACAACCCCCTCCCCACCCTTCATCATACTGGCTGCCCAGCATTTCCCTGAACACTTTTGCTTAATCAGATTTACATTGGAGAAGCCCTGTTTCATTCCTGGGCATTCCTAACATTTTTGACCTAATTGTGTAGAGCACTTGCCTAGCATGTGAGGCCCCAAGTTCCATCCCCAGCACCACCCCATCCAAAAAAAGAGCAAAACATATACTGGCGGAGACAGAAACCAGTTGCCACAAATCTCTCATAAAAGCATAATGTGCCCCAGCAAGTGTGGGGCAAGGAGAGGAGAGGGCAGGTCACTAGCAGGGGCAATGGGGTTTTTTTTTTTTGGTACCAGGGTAGGACTTCCTGCTTGCTAGGCAGGCCCTCTATGGCCTGACCCATGCTTCCAGTCCGTTTTGCTCTGATTATTTTGTAGATAGGATCCCATTTTTTGCCCAGGCAGCCAGATCTACGATCTGCCTATTGGCTTTCCACAATTGCTGGGATGACAAGCATGTACAACCACACCCAGCCATTGGTTGAGATGGGAGTCTGTCAAACCCCCTACCCAGGCTGGCTTCAAACCTCTGTCCTCCTGAGCTCAGCCTCCCAAGTAGTTAGGATTACAGGCATGAGCCACCAGTGCCCAGCTGGCCAAGGCTTCTTACAGAGAGAAGCTGAGCAACTACTTTATCCATAACCCTCCCTTTGTAAAGATTTTTTAAAAATCAAGATATGGACCATCATCCCCAAAGGCTTGAGTTCCTTGTTTCTCTGGACTTTTCAGCCCCAATGCTTAGTAATTTATACACAGTATTTTTTTTAATTGTTTTATTATTCATATGTGCATACAAGGCTTGGGTCATTTCTCCCCCCTGCCCCCACCCCCTCCGCCCCCTCCCTCTTCCCCCCACCTCCTCAATACCCAGCAGAAACTATTTTGCCCTTATCTCTAATTTTGTTGAAGAGAGAGTATAAGCAATAATAGGAAGGAACAAGTGTTCCTGGTTGAAATAAGGATAGCTATACAGGGAGTTGACTCACATTAATTTCCTGTACGTGTGTGTTGCCTTCTAGGTTAATTCTTTTTATCTAACCTTTTCTCTAGTTCCTGGTCCCCTTTTCCTATTGGCCTCAGTTGCTTTAAGGTATCTGCTTTAGTTTCTCGGCGTTAAGGGCAACAAATGCTAATTTTTTAGGTGTCTTACCTATCCTCACCCCTCCCTTTACACAGTGTTCTTTTAAAGTGTGAGTTATTTCAAATTGCCCTACAGAGCATGTCTCACTTGTAAACACACAGACATGGAGGTAACCTTGAATTCCATGCAGAGATAAATGGGGACTTTAGTACTCCATGATACACATCAGGAGGAACCTAGTGTACAGGAATGGCCATGCTTTGGAAATAAGGGGTCTGGGGTCTCCCAACCACTTCTGCCTGTTGGCTTTGTCCCATCTTTTGGTGCTTAACTTTTGATTGCTCAGCTTCCTGATCTACAGAGGATGACGGGTATAAGGACTCCTGTAGAACCCCAACTCAAATTCTTTGCATTCAGCCCCCACAATGAAAGCACATGAAAGGAACAGAGGCAAGGGAGGATGTCTTCCAGATCTTCAAAGTGTGTATTTCCCTGATCCCATAGAACAGCCACTAACAGAGCCCTGTTGTTGAGAAAGGAAAGACCAGGAAACAATGCCTTTTAAATGGCAAAGCAACTGCAAACAGAGGTCCTGATTTGGAAGTGCTCCATAGGCAGCAAATTAAGCCTGAGCAAGAGTGGGGCTAAGAGCAAGGGGGAAAGAATATTGTGGTGGGGACCTAAAGAGCAGAAATGCTGCCATCTCAAAGCTAAGGCCTGTTGGTTTTGGAATTGGCACCAACTCTTTTAAGGGTGAAAGCAGATACCCACCTCTTTATTTTATTTTTTATTTTATGTGCATACAATGTTTGGGTCATTTCTCCCCCCATCCTCCTTTCTCCTCCCTTACCCCCCCCGCCCCCTCCCTCTCCCCCAAACCCCCTCGCTACCCTGCAGAAACTATCTAAGACAGTGAAAAGAATTATGCCAAGTTCCACTGTATTTGCATTTGGGGAAGGTGAGACCATCTGGGTGAATCATGGGATTTCTACTTAAAGGCTTAGGTAACCAGTCAATTCAACCATATTCCAAGCTGCCAGGTGCTCTACCTCCTGTTGTCAGTACTTCCCTGCTGTTGCCATCTCCTCTCCAGTTTACCAGGATCTGAACTTTGCTTTTAGTTTTCACAGGTATGTATGCCTAGGATATTCATGGACAGAACTGTGATAGCAATCTGTGCACCTGGGATGGGGCAGCGTGGCCTCCTGCTTCTGCCTGACTTACAAGCATGAGTCCATTACTCCCTGAAAGGCTCACATCACATGGTTTTCACCATGAGGTTTCAAAAATAGCATCGCCTCAAGGTCTCAGGGTTAAAAAGCAAGCATAGGAAAACTACCGAGGCTGCTGGGCAGTTAAAATGCTAAGTGAGACCAGTTTTAGGTGGTTGTTAAAAGCCACTGTGTTCCCTGGGGAAGGTGACAGCAGTGCCTGAGCACTAACCTGAACAGCATTCAGGGCAATGCAGGAAACAACACTGTGGGGTGAACCTCTGGAGCTCTCACCTTATGGGCAGGGACAGTGTTCTTACTACTAGCTCCACCTGCCGAGTTCAGGCAGCTGGAGTGATGAAGAACCCGCTAGAAACTACGGCTTCTAGTGATATCTGATTGCTTTTTGACTGGCAGTCTCACAATGACTTAAATCCTTTGGGAATTTGGCAGTTTTAGGTCCTGCCAGTAAGGATCCCCATGTATTGGTTTCTTCAAGTATTTATTACATAGCAAGAGGGCTCGATTTCAGAATGTGAAGCCGGATGCCAGTGGCTCACGCCTGTAGTCCTAGCAACTCAGGAGGCAGAGATCAGGAGGGCCGAGGTTCAAAGCCAACCCCAGGCAAATAGTATGTGAGACCCTATCCCAAAAAAACCCATCACAAAAAGTGCTGGTGGAGTGGCTCAAGGTAAAGGCCCTGAGCTCAAATGCCAGTACCAAAAAAAAAAAAAAAAAAAATCACTGTCATTCACACTTTTGAGCCTTTTATACTTCTAGCAGCTGCAACAAAAGATTCTACCAAAAGGTATATCAAATATACCTTTACTCCCTCTCAGCCTCTCAGTTTAATCCTTGTAAGAAACCTCTTCCCTGGCAATCTAGGTATGATTTATCTCGCTATTGATAAGAGCTCTGCCCAGGAACAAACCGATTGGATACATGGTCTCTGCTTCAGCATATTCATCAGAGTGTACGAGATCTTCTGAGGGGTCCTGAAGACCCAAACTGGCTCTTGTGATTAGCAGGGCCACACATGGCCCAGCTAAGCAATAAATCCAGCACCTACCACAGTGTCATGCCCATAGTTGGAATTCAATAAATGTGTTTAAACATATGAACTGAAATTAAATAGTAAGCCTCACTCAGAAATAAGACAGTGGTCTAGTATAACTACTTAATGCAAAAGACACTCAATCCCCTGATGCTGGTGCCATAGGTGCTACTCATTTCTTTGGGGGAACAAATATGAAACTAAAATTATTTCTATTTCAGTACCACATGATACAATGCTGGAGTTTGAAGACATGAACTTTGACTCACAATTTTTGTGTTCTTTGGATAGCTTCCCTGGTTTTCTTTAGTGATGCCAGTTTTGCATTTCCATAGTTGTCACTGAATTTCCATCCTGATTGGAACAGATGATATTCATATCAAAAGTCAAGTGTCTAATACTCCAGTGTGTGCAAGTAAGCAGTCAGCAGGAGGCCAGCAATAAGTGCACAAGGGAAAGCTGGTTGACATGAAATGATTTTATTAGGCAAAGCAGCATGAACTTTTATCTAACTAGAAGCATATTAATGCTTGCAGCAACTTTTTACATGAGGAAAAGTTCCACTTAACCTAACAAAACAGGGGACACACATTACCAATTAAAAAAAATACCCACACCAGTCTTAATAATTTGCTTTGAGTTGGAGACATCATCATCATCATTGGTTATTACAGTCTGCTACTTAAATTGTGGAAAAATTCCCAAATAGAAACTTTGAGGCTGGCAGGAAAGTCAGCTTGCCCATAATTCTGCACATGTGAGTTTAGGAAAAACTAAGATTATGTGCGTCAAGAAAATATACTTCAACTCAGTTTTAAAACTTAAATTAATAACTATATTTGAGTTTCAGAAAACAGCAACTTCTTTCTACAGCCAAAAATCTGACTGGCTACATCTTTGAAAGGGTATATGGCAGCAGTGGAGTGGTCTAGAACTCAAGGACAGACTCCAATGGCCAAAGATCAAAAGCAAAGTGATCCAGCTGAGGAAGGAAAAAAGCAGCTGATGACCTCAGAGTGGAACAGAAAAGAGCAAACAACAAAGAGGCAAGAAACTAAAGACCATTTATTACATGGAAGAGTCAGGTGACAGGGAGCATCAGAAAATATTTCTAACATATGGAAAATAATAAAACTTGTATATTCACCAGTTAGATCTATCCATTAACAGTCTATTTTCTTCAGTGTTTTAATAAAGTTTATAGGGCTGGGGCCATTGCTCAGAGGTACAATGCTTGCCTAGCATGCATGAGGCCCTAGGTTTGATCCCCAGGTTGCTCCCCTTCCCCTCAAAAAAATTGGTTACCAACAGTAGAAAGCTCCTCCATATCTTTTCCTAGTACTCCCATAAATTCTTGTTTTGGGGTATTTTTGTTTGTTTTTTGAGATAGGGTCTTACTATGTGGCCTGGGCTGGCCTTGAACTCACGATCTTCTTGCCTCAACCTCCTGAGTGTTGGGATTACAGGCTGTGTGCCACCACACTTGCCTATTACATGAGCCTTTTAAGCAAGATTTGTTTGGTGGGAAGACTTAGAGGGGGGAAAAGCAATACCCAACCTAACAGGAAAAAAAAGGTAAGCAAGCAAAAATGGAGGCATAAAAGGTCAATAAAGAAAATTAGAGGAAGAAAAGGTTTCAACAAACACAAGATACAATACTTTCTTAAGCCTAGTCTTCCTTGTTTTCTTCCTCATAAATGCTTATTTCCAAGAGACACTGTTTCTGAAAGAAAAACCAACCATCATTAATGCTTTACATAAAAACTCAGTCACTATGGTTCTTAATTTCTATTTTAAGTAGGCAAAAAAATTCTCACTTCTAACTGAAATTATACACTTAGGTCAGACCTGTCAAATTCAACATCAGAATAATAGTGTAGCCTATTTATTTTTATTAATAATTACAACTATTTATACTCCCTTTCACAAATATAAAATATTGCTGCTGACATTCTTCAAATATAAAAAAAAATCTGATATTAACTTGTGTGTTGAAGTATCTTGAGTGATCTATTACAGGGAGTTTATGTTCTTATCACCTCAGCACTTCTATTCTGGCAGTTTACAGTTAAATTGTTAACACAAATTCCTCCAGAAATGATGAAACACATTTTAAAACACATTTTCTCTATCTCTTGGAATAATTTAAAGGTGAGGGTAAATATTTAACTGTATTTTCACAATTAAGAAGGTATGCTTAAGCAACCACATACCCATTTTTTCTAACGTTAGCTCCTAACTTCACATCCTCTTGAACTGGCTAATCTAGAAAGGTGCTGTAGGACAGCACACAGGCAGCAGGCACAGGAGCAGAGAACTCAGCTTTGAGTCCTAAGCCCTAAGGTGTGTCTCTATGTGCAACTAGGCAGGAAGGGCCTCAGCTTCCTCATCTGTAATGGGGTCTACTTTCTTTTCCAGGGCATTGTGAAGATTAAGTATGTGACATGATGTAAAAGTGCTTTGTAAATAAGGCACTACACAAATATATTTTACTGTTCTGAAATGTGTATGTGTATCTATATGAGACATAAATATGTACATATCCCCACAGTAGGTGAAAGCCAGTTTATGCTTTAAATTGCATGTTTAAGCTACTAAGTCCCATCTCCAATCTACCTAGAAACAATAGGAAATAGGTTTTATTGGGTGTGTGAGCAAGCACTCAGTATTCTGTGGAAAAAGCCATTAGACAAATACACAAAAGTGCATACAAGTTAACCAATTTGATTAAGTTACAATGGTTTGTTGTTGGGTAGGAACAAATTCCAGAAATTCACGTCACTGCATATCTCTCAATCTATGAAAGTAGTTTTATCATTAAATTTAAGATTTTAAACCCAGGCACACAAAACAGCAGACATGTACTAGAAAGGACTGCAAGTTATTTGCAACTGTTAAGTCAGCACTTATAAAATCAGCCGGAGACTTAAATCATGAGAGTCAAAACTGTTGATCCGGCATTAATGATATTTATCTTAGAATTCGACTGTACTTTGAAAGTAACCACACCCATAACAGAATCACAAAGAGCAATCTGCCCTCTTAAGCTGTCTCCAAATGGTCTACAAAAGCACATTCACAAAGTAAAGCAAAAATCCTTTGCTGGAATTACAGCAAGTCAAAGTGGTAAAGGGCACTATTTCATTTTGACCAGAAGTTCTAGTTGGCTATTGGTCACAGAGGCATTTCTGAAGGCCCTTCTAGGATAAAGGAACCCAGACACTAAAAAAAGTGTCATCAATATGTTCTTTAAAGCTGGAATTACCACAACCAAAGAAGATGCTTCATAAAATCTGCTGTCAATAACCCCTTTTCTATTCTATGTCCTTTAGTTCCTCTTTGCAAAAAGTGTTAACATTTTGCAGATGTACATGTGATATCTGAGACGATTTCAAATCTAGACACAAGGGAAGTGTGGCTCAAGTGGTAGAGCACCTGCTCGCAAGCACGAAGCCTTCAGTAAAAACCCCAGTCCCACCAAATCTATACACAGGGACTTTAAGGCTCAGCCTCATCTCCCAACATTCAAGTCCCTCCACATAACAGTAATTATGAATAAAATCAGCAACAAACAATAGCGAGGAAAGGACACAGCGACCCAAACACCCCAGGCTCACATCGCCCAGGAACATCAGAGGAAAACTATCAGCTCAAACTGAAGCAAACCTTAAATATCACAGCCAAACTCAGATCGTGACATTCCAAAACAAAGCACAGCTTTACAAAAGGTGTCATGCCATTTGCTTTATCCTGACAGTGCGGCCAGAGACATCCTAGTAACAATCAAAGAAGTGGCAGAAACATCAAATTTAACTTACTTAATTTTTTAGCAGTTTTTTCATTTCAATAAATTTATTTTGATTGGTTGGATTGTTTAAGAGGAAGAGAAGAATCTGTTCATGTTTTTCGATCTATGAGTGAAAAGAAACAGTGTAATTTAATTTCTAAAAAATGTTAGGAGTATAATTCCACTTAAAGGAAATGTTACCCACCTGCTTCTGTAAACTCTGTGCAGCAGCAATTCATCCTATGTGTCTTTTCTAAAAGTAAATGAAAAAACTATTAGGTGTCATACAACAAATAACAAGAAAACCTTGAACCTGAACAAATACACATCTCTCCTCAAGCCTGTGTCCCAACTATAGAACAAAGCCACCCACTGGGCTTTAAATGTTATCTACTGCTGTCATCTGGCTGTTTACAAAGAAACACCGACATCCCAAGGGTTAGGTCCTCTGTCTATTTTGTATGGAACCTCTTTTTGGTGAAGGCAGGTCTGCCAAATGCATATTATATGAAATACCAGGAAAACTCAAATCTCAAACCCATGAGTTCATTTTGGTCAGGATGAAAAGTGAACTGTGAGAAAGGCACAGAAAGAATGTTTGACACTTCTAAAAGCTCTCAGTGTTCATTTCCACAATAGTGCTGCTGAGCCTGACCTAAGGACTACCTGGAGCAGGAGGACTGCTCCCATCAATGTGGCTTCTAGGAGGTGTAAGCAGGAATCTTAGACCTGCCAAAGGGTATGTGGAGGAGGAGACGATGATGGCCACAGGAGGAAGGATCAGGTCAAATAAACTATCTCCACTATTCGCTGCACCTACATCTGCTGTTAATTGCATTGAAAACAATTACCTTTACTGGAATCACTTTGCTTTTTAGATGTGATGTTTTTTGCCAGACCGTACATCACCAGCTTATCAGCTATATTGACAGTGCCATTCTCAGAGCATTTCTCAGCTGACACTGTGTGAACATTCTTGATAACTCCTTTTACAGAAAGCATTACGTTCTGATTCAACATAAAATTTTTTAGTAGCTCTATCATTAATTGAGAACAGCTTCCATTCAATTCCATCAGTCCTGGAGAAAATTGAAGATTATGGTTTTCCAGTTTCTTTTAAAAAGATCATACTTAGATCATCTAAGGACAATAAGCAAAAGGACTACTAACTTTAGCTGATTTTAGGTATGCTTTGATTTATGTACTGCTGCCGCCACAATAAAAAAAAAATCAAATTCATTCAGTAAACATTCATTGGTGATTGGTGAGGTGTCAAGCACCTTAGAGGTGCGCAGAACAGGTACAATGTGTGCCCTCAAAGTTCTAACAGGAGAAGCAAACAAGAAGCAAACAATAGTGAAGATAACTTCCCAACTCTAAGTTGACATCCACTCAGGCTATGAGCAGTCAGTGTGATACATGTGTACAGTACAAGCCTACTTGTAGCATTTCAGTTCACCTTATTAAAAATCCAACTGAAGTCAAACATATGCACAGAAAGGTGGTGGAAAATGGCCTCATGTGACTGCTTCTGGTCCTTATACAGAGCTGTGACAAAGGAGCAAGACCCCTACGTGAAAGACCACCTCAGTTCACACCTTAACCATGCCACTTACTATTAGAACTTTGTAATGGGGTAAAACAGAATCTCTGAAAATGAGCTGTAAAACCAAGACAGACTACCTGAATATAGTTTGAGAGTTACTCCAGGGCTACTCTGGAGGATGGCAGTTCAAGACCAGCTCAGACAAAAAATTAACAAGATCCTATCTCATTCAGTAAGCTGTGCATGATGGTACGTGTCTGTCATAAACAGGACCTCAGTCCAGGCTGGTCCAGGCAAAACTGCAAGACCCTAGTCAAAAAATAACTGAGAAGGCTGGGGGACATGGCCCAAGTAGTAGAGTGTCTGCCTAACAAGCATGAAGCCCAGAATTCAAACCTAGTACTTCCAAAATAAAGGTTCCAAAATTTCTTTGAAAACTCTGCTTGATATTCAGAAATTTAAACTTAGGGATCGTTACTTGAAATAACCCATTTGATCAAGATTTAGAGCTATGAAACTAAAAAAGCCACAGACACACAAACTGGAAAGTGACTTAATTGTCTACCTTCAAGTGAACATTTAATGATCTGGAAAGGGAGCTCCAGGTGGCTGGCAGTAATTGGCTGCACTCTGGAAAGAGGCAGGGTCTCGATGTTCCCATAGTCTGCATAAAGCACTTTCACATCGGAGTCTGACGTTCCCAAAACGACTGCCCGGTACCAGAAATCATCACCTGAAAACAGAACAGATTCTCAGCTACAAGGTACAGGTGATGGTTTCTCCTTCCTTAAAATGGTTATTCACAAGTTATATTCATGTCACTTAAAAATTTAAACCACATTAGAAGTCCAGATTTACCTTTATTCCTTCCAAATCCTGTTAAAAAGACAGCGTCAGTATTTTTTTTTTTAACCACAAAGACAGAGAACAAGAGAGAAGACCATGCAACATTGGAACACTGGAAAGAAGACGAATGGAAATAATTTGGCGGAGCCAAGTAGTTCAACCAGAGGTGGCAAAAGGGGAGCCAGGCAGCATCTCGGTTTGCTCCTCAGACCCCCAGCCTCCAGAGCCCAGTGAATGGTGCTACTCCTTTAAAAGTGGTGTGAAGATGGAGTTGGAAACGAGGGCTGGGCAAAGGAAGCAGTTCCTTCCCAAGACATCTGAACAGACAATAGTTCATGAATACACATATAATTACGACTTTTAGAACTGCTAGAGATGGGTGAGCTTTATGTTCACACCTTCTTTTTGGTAGGACTAGGGTTTGTACTCAGGACTTTTCACCTGAAGAGCAGCCACACCTCCAGTCTATTTTGTTCTGGTTATTTTGGTGATATGGTCTCCTCAGCTATTTGCCCAGGTTGGCCTGGAACCGAGATCCTCCTGATCTGAACTGAGATTCCCTGAGCTCAGCCTCCCAAATAGATAGGATTACAGGCATGGGCCACCAGTGCCTGGTTTGTTCACACATTTTAATATGGTTCAAAATGCTTTCCCTTTTTTTCCTACCCAAGCACAGAAGACTAAAGGTTCCTTCTCCAGAGAGACTGAACTGTGGAACACGAGGAGGAAGACTTTGCCAAGAACGCTGTCGGGTAAGCAGTGCAGTCCATGTCAGACCACTTGAAGACACTGACAAAGGCTCTGCCATTCAAGACCACCAGTAGATAAGCCCTACCCCATACCTGAAGAAACTTCCCAATAACTTCTTAGGGGCCCACCTTAGACATGCTAACAAAGATCACAAGATATTTATGAAAACATCTAACGGTGACAGAGGGAACCAGACAGAAATAGGAACTGGGATAAACAGTCAAGGAGGAAGAAGACAATGAAAATTAAAAGAACAATAGTAATGTCCATGGAGAAATGATATTCTATCCTTAAAATAATGGGGCAGTATTAACATACACAGACACACCTGAAAAATCAAAAAAAATCTATTAAAGCTAAAAATGTACTATTAGAAATGAAAATCTCATTGAGAAGTCAAAGATGAAACTGAGGAAATCTCTTGAAAAAGAATAAAGAAATTTAAGAGTTCAAGTCCAATATTAGAAGATGTGAAGTTTTTAAAAGAGAAGGGAATAAAAGCATTAATTCAGGAGAATTTCTCAAAACTGAAGCTCATTAATTTCAAGACATAGGGCCACTCATTGAGTGCCTAGCACACAGTGAAAAAGAAAGCCACTGTCCCAAGTCACATGACTTTCAAAACACAGGATGCAGAAGATACTGAAAGTTTAAGAAAATTTTAAAAAAGAATATGCAAAGTTTGGAAAATCTGGAAGGATGTCTATCTTTTGATCAGAAGCACCAGTAGCTAACACACAATAAAATCAATGCCTTCAAAATTTTAAGAGAAAACTTCTAGTCCAGAATTGTACATCTAGGTGAATTGCCAATTAATTACGAGTACAGAATAAGGCCTTTTCCAAACATAGGCGGGAACAGAAAGTTTACCCTGCATGCAGCACTTCTTCTCAGCTTCTGGAGGATGGGATCTATCCAGATGCTGGAGTAGAACCAAAGGGAAGTACGGTAAAAGAAAACAAGGTAAGAGCAGGGGAAGAAATCTGGCTGAGAAACCCAGCCAAGAAGGAGGTGATGTTGCAACAATCCTCAGCACGATGGGGAAGGAAACTCCGAAGATGACAGCTCAGGTCTGGAGTAAGCTGAACATGACTTTGGTATGATAAAAGTTGGTGAAGTACATGAAGAGCCCTTTGAGGAATTTGTGCTACTGCAGACAACTGGAGATGGTTAGTGAAAGCATACAGAAGTGGCAACAGAGCAGAACCTCAGTGCTTATGCTGCCCTCAGAGTGAGCAACATGCAGGTCTTAACACACAATCATGACTTACTTCTACTAGAAAGAAAAGGAGCAAAGTGCAGATCCAGTTGTCACACAAAAGAAAAATCAAATTAGGGAGTGACATCAGCAAGACAAGGAGCAGGAGGTCCCAGCTGCAGCTTGTACTCATTGCTTTCTCCACCAACAATCCGGCAGTCATCCGCAGACAAAGGTGCCTTTGTTGGTGCTATGGTATCCAGGCAGGTGGAAAAGCCAGGGGCCAAAGACTGAAGGGACTGCTTTGGACTGAATGGGGTATTTTTTGTTTTTGTTTTTTTGTGGGATTGAGGCTTGAACTCAGAGCTTGGCAATTGCAAAGCAAGTATAACTATAAAGCAGGTGCTCTACTATATGAGCCAAAACTCCAAGAAGCTGCTTTGGAAAGGGAAGTCTGAGCCCCAATGGCAAACTCCCTGACCTCAGTCCTGGTGACTGACTGGAAGCTATCATCAGCCCCAACTCCCCAGAGATTGGCAGGATCCAAGCCCATCCATGCTCCAGTAACAGGCCTGCTGACCAGACCCAATTGTGGACTCTGAAGCAGTCCTCTGTGACCTGGCTCAAGCCCCACACCACCTCTCTCCCAGAAAAAAGAAAAGCCCAGAATATCTACTCTGTTACTTGAACTAGCAAAGGAAAATTTTAATATGAAATATTGAACAGGAGATTGGTTGAAGTATACCCTATCAACAAGTCTGGCGCCTGAGGCAGTTCACTTTCAGTACATCAATATGGAGGAATTGTGAATCATTTCATGCTCGACCCAACATCGCAGAGTATGGTTATTTACAGGAAGCCAGTTAGAATTCTTTTTTTTTTTAATTAGTTTTTTACATATGTCTTTTTTTATTTGTATGTGCATACAATGCTTGGGTCACTTCTCCCCCCTGCCCCCACCCCCTCCCTTACCACCCCCCACTCCCCTCAATACCCAGCAGAAACTATTTTGCCCTTATTTCTAATTTTGTTGAAGAGAGAGTATAAGCAATAATAGGAACGAACAAGGGTTTTTGCTAGTTGAGATAAGGATAGCTATACAGGGAGCTGGCTCCCCAGTTATAATTCTTGACAGACTTGTAACAATCAAGCTGTATCCTTGCCTAAAAATAATCTGTACAGAACAGAAAAGCTGAACGACCCCAACATATGAATGTGAAGGCACAATGTTGCCTTTCTTAATTTCTCTAACCAAATGAAACACGCATCAAAAATTCCAAAGTCTACATAATCCCACGTAAATGGCTACACACAATCCCCTTTAATATTTCACCTAACAGAACCTTACTTGTATATTTGGCACAGCATGCATCTCCAACTCTTGGTCTGTAGGACAGTCGATTTTTCTGAGCACTGCAATACTCTAACAATTCAGCAGTCAATGAGCACAGTTTGTCTTGATTTTCTAAGATAGATAAAAGAAATCTTTTATGGAAAAGAATCCCAACATTACTGCTAATAGTCCACAAAAGAAATCAACACTTTTCATATTAAAATATAAATTTTTAAAAATAAATACACCCACTATTGTTTGCCTTTTGCAGAAGAGATGTAAAACTGGGAGGGGTATGACAGAAGCCTCTGGTGGGCCAATTTCTTGATCAGGGTAGTTATACTGGTGTGTTCAGTCTATGAAAATTTATTAAGCTATATTTTTATAGTTGTATTTAGTAAAATTTTCCTGAACATTATTTCTAATTCATCATACCATGTGTTATCAGGATCAAATAATTCTGAGGCATTACTACACAGATTAAAGATGACTTTTTGTAATACTGGAGATAAACTTAAGAGAAATTTTTGATGTTACCATAATTCTAGGTTTGACAATTTGAAGTAAAGAGTTTTTTCAGTGTAAAAAACCTGAAAATTATTTTGAACAGACACCACTAACCTGTTCCTAACTTGCCTTTGGATACTCTAAGGATAATTTCATATACATTTAAGAGGTTCCTTAACTGCAAATGTCCATGAAACAAAAAGCATTAAAAAAAAATCAACTTTATGCTATTTTCTTAATGAAAAACTACTGCAAAACATTACTAAGTTTCTAAGATATGGTAAAATTATTATGAACTGATTACTATGTCTTTCAATGGTTGTAGTAGGTTAGCTTAGTAATTACAATTCAATATAGCCAATTTATGTTTTAAGATTAAAAATTATACAGTAAGTAAGAACACTAGCTTTGTTATAAGAACTTGTGAACTACTAAGAACTGAGTAGATCCTGGACATAGAGTACTTTTTTTGGGGAGGGGTGGGTGTAGGGTGGTGGGAAGTACTGGGGTTTTGAACTCAGGGCCTTGTGCTTGCTAGACAAGCACTCTATATCACTTGGGCCAGGCCCCCAGCCCAGCATTTGTGTTTTAAAAAGTAAAATTGTCTGATGTGTTATATTAAATTCTTCCTTAAAAATCCTCCTCCTCCTCTCCTCCTCCCCCCTCACTTACTACGGAGTTTACAACTGCACAGTTTAAAACAGGAGCATCACCATCTCTCACTATGTGTGGCTCCTTACCTGACATCTCACTTGGGACAGCATAGAACAAGTTGGGGCTTATGATTTCCAATATGGTTGCCTGCACAGTCTTGTTAACTGGCAATTCTATCGTCTTCCACTGCTCTGAAGAGATGGCTGAAGACATTTGAAACACAGCTCCTGAATCAAATACATGTCACTTATTCTTTCTTCCCAGCAACGCATTTATTCAATTTGTTCATTTGATTGCTGATTATCAACACTCCCAAAACTCCAAAATGAAAAATCTTTATTTCACAAAATAATCTACTCAATTTGAGAGATTGTGTAGGTATTACAAAAACTTCATGGAATAAAACTGGACACCAAAGAATAATCCAATTGGTGAATGGGCAAATAACTTGGACAGTCATTATAAAGTACAAATGGCCAATAAATAGATGAAAAAATGTTCACTATCCTAAGCCACTGGAGAAATGCAAATCAAAACTACACTGAGATTCCAATTTACTCCAGTCAGAATGGCAATTATCAAGAAAACAAACAAATGCTGGTAAGGATGCAAGGAGGAAGTGAACTTTTATATTCTGCTGGGAGGAATCTAATTACAGCCACTATGGAAATCAGTGTGGAGGTTCCTCAATAAACTAGAAATAGAACTCCCATAAGATCCTGCTACACCACTCCTGGGTGTTTACCTGAGGGAATGTGAGTCAGCAGACAACAGAGATACTTGCACACCCATGTTTACAGCAGCACTATTCACAACAAGCAAGCTATAGATAACCTTCATGACCATCAACAGAGAATGGATAAAGAAAATGTGGTACGTAAAGATTAAAATTATGACTAAAATGTCATTTGCAGGAAAATGGATGGAACTGGAGATCATCATGTTAAGTGAAATAAGCCAGACCCAGAAAGACAAACATCACATGTTTTTTCTCTCACATATGGAATCTAGATTTAAGGGAAAACAAGACATTAAAATAGAAGAGGGACTGTTTAGGGGAAGGGGAGAGGACCAGTGGGAGGGGATAGTATGACAGTGTGTAGCATGCAAGTATGAAATGTCATAATGAACCCATTATCTTGTACAATTGTTATTAATAGCAATAAAGAATACAGGCTTCTATTTAAAAAAAAAAAAGCTAGTACATTCCTGCAGTATGTTTCTATAGCATATTTCCATCTGTATAGTATATTTAATAATGTAATTCTTCAAATTTTATGGGACAACTATCTGGATGATGTATTTACCTGATACCTAAATTAAATATACCATGTTTCTTTGATAAAAAAATTTCAATAAATCAGTATAAACTTTAATAATCCATTATTAGTCTATATCTACAAGATGAATCTCAACAGGAAATTTCTGTCATTTAGGAGAGAAAAATTTTCATAGCCTATAAAAGCAAAGCCTAACAGAAATTTTAAAATCAAATGGTTTAAGTGTTACCTGGAAGCCCCTGAGTGTCAAGTTGGTGATTGTGTTGATAAACAGGTCTGCTGTCTGGCAAGTCCTTGTGTGGTGAACCACATTTTAAAGCTAGATGTTCACTAAGCAGAACATCACTAATTATTTTGGGGTAGGAAGTGGACAGATCGGTGAGTTCAACTCCCACCCCCTTTTCAGTGATTTCCACCACTCTGGCTTGGAGTTTTGTCCCTGCAACACACATCTGAAATCGTGCTATAGCTTCTTTAGTCCAATGTTTGTTCCTAGGCTGTATATCTGGAAAATAAGAACAGCATTAAAAAGAATCCTATGCATGAGGTAAGTATTTAATAGTGTGTAGGAACTGAGTCCTTTCCAAGTCTGCTATTTGGTTCAACAATTTTGAGTGATTTTGTTCAGTACTAACTATATATCTACATCCTCAATGCCTGAGTGACAGATTGCATCTGCTAACATACCAGGGCTTTCAGAGGCCCACGACCTTTCCTTACTTTCCTCACTAACCTATAATGATAGGTTATACTTGCTATTTTTCCAATAGGCAAATGGGGTATTATTTCTTCTAGAATCCACTATGGTGTTCTGTTACATACACAATGATGAGCCACCAATGAAAAGCTGACAACTGATGCACTTTCATGGAGTTTTCTAATATTTTCAAAATCTCATTTGAAATTACTTTTTTCTTGGATCGTTTTGGCTTATACTTTTGGGGAAAAGGAGGAAGTGAGGTCTCACTATGTTGTTCTTGAACTCCAGGGCTCAAGTGATCCTCCGGCCCCAGCCTCCTGAGTAGCTGGGACTGCACACCATATTCTTAACAGTGATTTTCAGCCTTGAACATGCATCTGAATCACCTAGAGGACCTCTAAAAACTTGGATTTTTGAGCTTCATTCCAAAGTTTCTAACTTAAGTCTGGGAGGGACTGAGAATCTGCATTTTTAATGAGTTCTCATGTTTGATGCTGCTGCTTTGGAGGTCACATTTTAAGAAGCACTGACATAGAAGGTGGCAAGTAAGAATAATAATCTGAAACATACTTCCTGTGCAGTAAGTAGAAAGAAAGCAGATGGACAAAGGAAAAAAGTGAACATCGATGCTTCCTGACATGACAACTATTAACAGTTTGGCACCCAACTTTTCAAAAACAAAAAACATTTCAAATTCCTGTGCTCAAGCAATCTTCCTGCTTCAGTCTGAGTGGGCATGTGGCTCTGTGCCAGGCTGCTTCCACAGTTTTTATGTGTCATGGAAAACCACATATTCTCTTATTAAGACACGTCTGTAATAGCAGCAGTTAAAGGTAGAATGTCAAGCACTGTTATATGTTTTATATTTTCATCTCTTATGCTTAAGAGCTCTGAGGAAGGCACTTTTCTTTTCCAGGTGAGAAAATGGAAGCCTCACTGTCCCACAAGCCAGTAAGTGGCAGAGATGGCTCTAGAGTCAATCGTCTGCATCATAAAGGTGCCCTGCAGTGCTTTTGGAACGTGTTTTCTTCATTTATATCATGAATGACTCTTCCTATAAATAACACGTTTAAGATTATTTCAATGGTAGTGTAACGGAAGCACACATAGTGCCAAACCCTGTACACATTAAACCTCCCAACAAACTCTGATGTGCTACAATCATCACCCTTCACATGGATCATCCTGCAACCAGCTCTCTATTATGGCTATATGAGCCGTTCTGCTATTCTGAACAGCAGAGCAGTGAACTTCCTCGCAGCTGAGCTTGTGTCATTTCCAGTTCACTTTGGGATAAATTACTACAAGTAAAATTGCTAAATTAGAAGGTATGAATACTTGAGGCTTTTACAGTGCCCTGAAAATGCTTTTAAGAGGGTTGTGTCAGTGTTTACTTCCATCACTAGAGAAAAGCAGTTTTTCTGACAGGCATGGAATGTTTTGGTCAAAATCTTAAAAAAAAAAAAAAAAGTAAATTTCTAAATTTTATAAGCTGATGTAGAATCTCCTAACTCACATAAAATGTTAGAGATATAGGTATTAATACTTGGATTATACATCCCACATATTATAAAAGAGTTGAGGAACTCTATTCTGTACTATACCTGCTAACCAGCACCGCACCCCTTGAAATGGAAGTTTTAAAAATTTGAATGCTATCATTCGGAGTTCATCTGTCATAACTTCTTCCGTGTTTCCATAATCCACAAAGTGTACTTTAACATTTCCATTTGGTAAGATTTCCTTGATTAAGGCACGATACCAGTTACCATCACCTAGATGGAACACAAAGTTTCTGACATGGAGCATTTCCCATTTATTAACATTTGACATCTTTATCTTGAAAAACCTTCTTTAGAGCAGCTAATAAGTTTGTTCTCTCCCCCACTAGCTATGCCTTTAGTTTCTCCTACAAAATTCCCTAGACTGAGACTTTCAAACATCCATTTTTTTAGAATATCTCCAAAATTTTCATAGCATGACACTTTTACATCTTTTAAATTTAAGATTTTCATAACCAATTCAAATTGAAAATAAGACAAAGTTGAACACATATGTCAATCCTGAAGACTTACAGTCGTCTTACTACTCATGGCTTAAAATGCTTTATTTGTTTCTTGGTAAAATGATATAAGAAATAAACAGAACAATTCTTGCAATAACACTCTTGCAAAGGTGTTTCATCAAGTATCTTTTTTCAAAATTAACCTGTTTATGGTACAATTACCCTGGGGAATGGCTCTTCCGTTATCTCAATTTAGTATCAGAAACTATAGGAAGAAAAGCAGTAAAATAATATTTAACAAATACTGTTTAACAAAGTTGAGGCAAGAATGTGTCACTTGGAGACTCCTTGTTACAAAAGAGGACAACACATCACATCTTAAGGATTCATTTAATCTTGACTATGAATAATGCGTGTTAAATATTGTGAAGAACATATGCACTAAAAATAAGGGTTGAATACAAGAAGCGAAAGGTCTATTAGTCACAATGACACCAACTGCAACTTACCTGCAAAAAAGGCACAACAAGGTTGCCCTATTTCTGCCTTAAAACCATTAGGTAACTTCTGCTGGCAATATTCTGCTAGTGATTTATTCAAATCATTGAGGTTCCTTAAGGCTGAAAATGCAATACACATGCATTTAATATTAAAAAAACCTAAAACGGATTTTGCATTAAAGTCACAAAATGTCACAAAGTCTCAAGTACATCTCCAAACAACTATTAAGTAAACCAAGTGTTCTTCCTTACCAAAAAATTAGCAGGCCAACAAATCTAATCAAGATTCTCAATAAGCCCAAAACCAATGACTTCCTTGTCACAGGGACACAACTATGGCATTATCATCAGTGTACCACATCAGCATACCACATCAGTATACCACAGAGTGAGCTTCGCAGGTGGACAGGAAACACCATACAAATCAATACAGGAAGTTGGGCCGGGGGACATGCCTCAAGTGGTAGAGCACCTGCCTAGCAAGTGTAAGGCCCCGAGTTCACAGCCCTATATACCAAAAGAAAAGTAAACATAGTAACTAAGCAAACACCACAGTTAACACATGCTAAGGACATTCAGAGCACTGCTGGAGGTTTCATGGAGAAATGTGAAGGACATCACATGAGGTAGAAGAGAGGACATTCTAAGAGGAAGAAGTGGCTCTGAGACACTGTACAGAACAGAATTAGGCAGACAAAAGCTAATTAAAGCAGAGAAGTAGGAAGGTGAGTCAGTGCAGAGCAACAGCAAGACACAGACTATGCACAGTAAAGGAATCTGAACCTCTACAGACAAGAAAGGCAGGCAGATACCTGTCAAATAAGTGACAAAGGCCAGTCACAGAAACAGAAATTTAATTACAGTGAGTTAGAATTTTCATCTTTCAGATTGGCCAAAATAAAAGGCATAAGGACACACTACTGGAAAAGGCGTGGAGCAATGGCTCTCATGCGCTGCTGCTGAGGGTTCCACCTGGCCAAACCTCTGGAAGGACACTGGCTCACAAAAGCACATGCATCTTTTGACCAAATGGTTACAATTGTAGGAAATTGTCCCAAGGGCATACTACAAGAGTAAAATTACAAGAGTGCAAGGTCTATTTTAGTAATAAAAGTTTGGAAACATTAATCTTCTATTTATCCACATTTCAGTTAAACCAGAATAAATCCACACAGTGGATTTCACATAACTATGAAAATGAATGGAATGAAGGTGTCCTGGGTTAGATGCTGGACTAGAAAAATGACAAAATATAGGCAAGAGAGGAACACCTAGGAAAATCCAAGTAAGGTGTGGAGTTCAGTGACAGGTAGTACTAGTCAGCAAAGAGAACTGCTGGTCTCTGTTGTAACAAATGCTCCATAATCATGTATGTTAACTGTATACTGAGGGCATACCATAAATCTAAAATTACTCCAAAATAAAAAATGTATTAAGAAAATGGAGAAAATACTATGGATCTTACATCCAAGACGTTTTTAAAAAGATAAAGCATGAATGTTATTTACAGTATTTTAGCACTTGTTGCAACATTTATGAATGAATACATTTATAAAAAACTACATACATAGTACTTCTGAAAAAGAATTTTAAAATTGAAAACAGGAACCAGGAAGCTTACTTTCCACTTTATACTTTTGTAATCATGCTTACAAAATCACTTATGAAAAAGTTTGTAATTCTGAATTTTATCCCCTATGAAACAGTACCCTACCTACCAGGTGACTGTGATTATGAAATGACTTATTTCACAACTTGGGAGACACACAAGGACTAAGTTATCTAGTTTAATGTCCTATTTAACAGAAAAACTAAGATTTAGAAAAGTTAAAGTCAGTTATGCTCACCAGAATGGCTCAAATGAAAAAGAAAATATAAAGTGTTTGAGAAGATGTGGAGTAACTAGAAATCTCAAAGTGACAAGTTATACTTTGGAAACTGGCATCACTGATTGAAGCTGAAAGTATATACTCCTTATATACCAGCAATTACATTCCTAGGTATGGACTCAATGGGGGAATGCATGTACAAATCTGCACAAGATTGTCACATCATCAACATTTTATAGCCCCTAACTGGAAACAAGCCAATTGTCCAATGGTAGAAAGGAACATTAAAATGCAGTAGACCAAAGCCATGGACCACGATGCCGAAATGAGAAGTTACATGCAACAATCTTGCAATGTAAAAAAAAAAAAAAAAAACACTCAGGCAAAGAAAAATGCATACAATTCCATTTATATGAAGTTTAACACCTGGAAAGCTAAACTACAGTATCGGAAGGCCAGGTGGTGAGCGTTTCCTTGTGCAGGAAAGAAAAGGATTGATGTACGAGGAGACATGAAGGAAATTTCAGTGACTCTGGCTATGTTTTATTTCTTGATCAAGAGGCTGGCTGTACAAGTGTGCTGTACTCATACTACAGAATTCATCTATAGGTATGCAACAAGTCAATAAAATCAGCAATTTCATTTATAAAAATTAATTTAGGGGAGACGTTCTCTGAAATCTAAACTGGCTTAAATATAAAAATAATGGCAGAGGGCAGAATAAAAGCTAACTCAGTATAACCAAATCTTTCTTGGAAATATAAATACTTGACCTTTCTTAAAGAATGCTTTTATTACTCAGTAATAAATGCATCTTACGTTATTAATAAACATCTTAAGTACATGTCAACATATTTGTAAGAAGAAATAAATGAAAATAACCAACTTACCATCCTCTTTTAGGATGTGGCAATAAAATTCTCCTGGATTATACATCATGCAAACCACAACATCTACTGTCTCGTCAATGGCAAGTTCAACCCACATCCACGCCAACACATCTACTTTTTCTTCTACACTCGAAGGAACTGAACATAATCAAACATTTTGCAAAACAAATGGACAGAGTGGAGGGAGGAATCTGTTTTTGGTGAATTTGATCAAAGCACATTATATCCAAGTATGGAAATACCACAAAGAAACCCCTTTGTACAATTAATATGTATGTATTAATGAAGAAAAAAAGAATTAACTTTTCACTGACATTGAGTGAATTTTTAAGGTTAACCTTAAAAAAAAAATCAGTCTCACAAATAACCATAATTACCTTACTGATCAATCTCCAGCTGGCAGTGATCCACAAAACTCAAACATTTTAGCTTTCGGGCTGGCAGAGTGGCTCAAGTGGTAGAGCACCTGCCTATAGCAAGTGTGAAGCCAAGTACAAAACCCAGTACCACAAAAAAAAAAAAAAAAAAAAAATTCAACACTCTTAAATATATTTAGATGATTGCTTGGTTTAAAAGATGGAAAAAATTCAACATCAATTCTTGAAAGCAGGAGAACCTACACATTTACAGAACCATTGGACTTCAGCACAAACCTTATGGTGTAGACATCTGCTTACCACTGGCTTTTTCCACATCACTGCTTTTCTCTTTCACCATCTCCTTTTCCTCCGTGGCAAAGCCTGCCTCTATGAGAACTTTAGCAACACTGACATTAGGTGTCACAGATTTATCTGTAAGCTCCACCAGGGAACTGTTTTCCAGCCTGTCCACTACTTTCACCATGACCATTTTGTTCTGGGCAATCTTTTTCATGAGACAAATTGCTTCTGGAGTCCAAATTCCTAATGATGGCTTTACTCCTAACAAACAATTTAAAAAAGAATGTCAAAATGGTTTCTGAAACAAGCATTTTGACATTTAACTTGACTTACCATGGTGTTAAATTTAAATCTATAGCAAACACTGGAACCAAAAAGTCCCACCTGAGGATTTTCTGGATATGAAAATGAAGACAGAATTAAGAGAAACCTTGTGAACAGTTTCTATACCTCTGTGAAAGAAATCATAACCCTATCGATATGAGATGTCCTAAAGGCAAATCTAAAGATTAGTCATCAACTGGAGGCCAAGGCTTTGTAGCAAGAAAGGCACAAGAAATCTCACTGGGATGATAGAAATGTTGTAAAATGGATGTGATGGTTACATAACCTGGTAAATTTACTAGAAATCATTGAATTGTCTACCCAAAACTTTATAGTGCACAAACTATACCTTAATAAAGATATTAAGAAAACCATATACAAAGGTGTAAAATAACTCAAGAAGAAATACTGGCCCTTTTACATTAACATATGAAGGACTTTTTTAAACCACAAATCAATACTGAAAGGACATGTGCAAATCAACAAACTCACCTAGGTTAATTATGCCTAAATTAGTTCAGAAAATGTTAAGAGTCAACTAATTTACAAAAACATACTCAGTCTCTAGTATGAAGCAAACCAAAAAGACTTAGCTTTTAACTTCTCAGAACTGGCAAGATAAAGTAACATACAAATCTCTCCCTGGTGCACATGAGTGTGAAGGAATTCACTCCCTCATTCTGGTCTGGTGGATGTATAAACTAGTTCAACCTTTCTAGAGGCCATGGCAGAGTATGTATCACAAATGTGAGGAGAAGTACACTCAGGGACACCCCATTCCACCTGGGGGAGCACATCCGAAGTATTTTTAAATAAAACATTTCGCAACATATCCTAAGGAAATATCTTGGATATGGTGCAAAATGTAGTTAAAAGAACACTCCTAATGCAAAAACTTGGAAAGGTATTTCTGCCACTGGATACAAGTTAAAATATGGCACATCTCAGTGAAGTCTGTTGAAGCCAACTTGTAGGCATGAGAAAAACTCCCAGATCCTAGTGGAACAAATTACATGCACAGTAATTTCTAAGTATATGATAATATGACTTTGACAAGCTGGTTCTCCTTGCCTTCTGTATCTTTTCATATTTTAATTTTTACCTTTATGGTTTAATATTTTAAAAATAAAGGGATCAAAAAAATTTCATACCTGCCAGCACACACTTTAGGGCTTGCATTGGCAATTCCAACAACTTTGGAATTATGGGACAAAGTCTTGTCAACTTAAGGATTTCAAAGTTTCCATAATCGACATATCCAACCAGTACAGATTCTTCAGAAGCATAGGCCAAAACTGAGGCACGGTACCACTGATCATCCTCTAAAACAGGAGAGGATCTCAAATCATTTCCCAACGCAGATAAAATTCCCAAATTAGAAATGGAAAACTGTAGATTCTACTTTCATACCAAGCTTTACTGAACATAGGTTTTCTAGTTTTGCTTATCCAAAACCTTTAATTCTTAAAATGCAGCATTATTAGCTTACTAATTTGTCATATGCTGTCATGAATTTACATGCCTTGTCTCTTCAGAAGGACAGAGAACATGTTCTCATCAAGTAAGTCTCCAAGGTCATGAGCAGATACATGAACCATTTACAAAGGCATCAAAGAAGGGTTATATCTGGAATGCCTGCAGCAGTATGAGTTAACTGGACTTCCAGCCAAGCAATCAATGTACTGGGGGCTTACCTGTTACTCATCTCTCCCCACTGTAAAGCTGCTGGGCCTCCCTTCAGCAGAGAGTAACAGACTGGGAAAGCAAGATGTATAGCTACAAAGGCTGCACCATGACAGCTCTAGGCCTCCAGGCCCTCTTGCACAATAAAACTCATGAAGACATGAACCTGGAACCTATCCCCAAACACTAACACAATAGCAAAATAAAAACCTCCTTACTCCCTCCACTCCACTGACCTTCAAAGCTTCTTCCTTTATGCATGTCACAAAACACTCTTTGATAGTTTCACCAGACATATGCAAAAATATAATTGATGTACTTTAATACTCAAGCTTCAAAAGTAGCCACTCAGTGCAAACCAAAGATTTCATTTCAATAATTTTTACTCCACTCTAAAACATCCAATAATGCTGTTTCCTTACCAGAAAACTGAGCACAACATATATCACCAATGGCTGGGTAAAAATCAGAGCGTGGAGACTCTTGACCACAGTACTCACTAAGGGATGCCTGAAGCTCAGCAAGCTTATCTGTAGATAGATACAGATCACATTAAAAAGAAATTCATATCTATACAATAAGTCCTCCTATTCATGGATTTAGTACACATGGTTTTCACCAGAGTCAAAAATTAAGTCAATTAAAAAAAAACATTGAAAGAAAATTCCAAAACAAAGATTTCAAATTCCCATGTACACATTACACAGCTCAGCTGACGCAGACAAGGTCTCAGTTATCATCAGTTGTGTTTAAACTGTGGTGTGATATGCTGAGTGTTTCCCTTAATTTTGTGAAAATATGCCTCCCACAAAGTAAATGGTATTCCAAAAGCAAGGTAAAAGTTATGGTAATCCTCTCAAGCTAAAAGGGACATGGGCTGTGCCCAATTTAAGTGATAAAGTGACAATTTTAGATTTTTAAAGGCAGCATGTCTTTAGCAGAAGTTGAGCGGCAGCATTAAGGGAAAATGAAACAGTACAGTACGAAGTCTAGGTATCCTGAACATTCAGTTTTTCCTCAGTGGTGGTTGTCTTGGAACCACATATTCATGGATACCAACAAATTAAGAAAACGAACTCACGGCCACTTTGTAGTTGTTGACAAAAGAAGTCCTCTGGCGTCTGAATGTGGGCAACCACACCACAGAATTCATCACCCACAGTCAAGGTTAGCACTTTCGGGATCAGGGCACTTCTGTCTATAATGGTTTTGTTTTCAGCCATCATTTTTCCAACATCTTCAGGATCACCTAGTCAGAAAACGGAAAGGTCATTTTGGTTTCTTCCTGGAAAGAGAGACTATGAGTGAGCAAAGTTCCTGGAGGACAGCAGTCTGAGAGCCCATGGTGTATCTTCCTCCAAATAACAGATGCTTATAATAAAGTCAGTTTTCTAAGTCCTCCAAAGTCAGAATAGTGTCAAGAAAAAACCCATGGCATAAAAAACAAAGGTAGATTTAATTAAGAAGTTCTATGATAAAATTTTTATAATCTCTAAAGTTTAGAATATATGCATGTAAATGGGAAAATGAGGCCTGTTCAAACTATTCCAGGAATGGGGGGAGGGGATAAAGGAGAGTGATGGATGAAGTGAGTTCAACTATTATACATTGTAAGAACTTTTACAAATGTCACAATGTACCCCCAGTACAACAATTTAAAAAAAAAAGAATAAACAATTTGGAAGAGATACCATTACCTGATTCTGAAGTAGAAACACAGCACAGCAGGACCCATTCTATAGTAAAATGTAAATTCCACATAAAGTTTATTATGATTAAATGTTTATAATTAAAATCAAAGATTTAAAAAAATGCATTAAACAGTTGGAAAAAAAACCAAAAAACCAAAAAAAACAAGCAATGTAAGTACCCAGTCAAAAGGAAAAAAAAAATCAGGGCAGATATAAGAGCCTTGAAGGTGGAGGGACTTTGAGCCCCATGAAAAATAACTCAGAATGTAAGAAACTCAGCAGTGAATAAAGTGTGTGACCTACAAAACAAAAGGATTATGTTTTTATGGGAAACACTTGGAGACGACATCAACATACCAGAATCCCAAAAAACAAAACTGCTGCCTTAAGGAACGGATGATAAGATACTATTCAGAGAAAACTTAAGTCAGTTTCATGGCTTTAATCTAATTTCTCATGTTTTTGAGTTATCTAGGGTATTACAGAATTATTAAAGAAAAAGATTTTCACCAACCTAGGTAGCCTGACTCTTTGACGACCAAGGGAAGACTAGAACAGACCACAAAAGTGGAGGAAATCTGCTGCCTAGGAATGAGTTTCCTGATGTCACAAATAGCATGAAATGGTAACTGGTCCCAACCACTAGCCAAGTTCAATTCAATGGTCTCAAATGAAAAAATGAAAGCCAAAACATTTTTAAGTGTTCAGAATAAATCAATCTAAATAAGGTAAGAGGCAAGAGAAAACCTGAATAGCAAGAAAAGTGAACCACCATGATGGTGTTTGTTGGGGAAGGATGAACAATTTGGTGGAAAGAACATTAAACTGGAGTGAAGGGGCCTAAATTCTTGTTCTAGATTTTCCAGTCTTAAGGTAATCCACTGCATCTGTCAGCATCTGCTTCCTCATGTGTAAACAGGTAGACTGGATCATCTCAATGGTCTCTTTCAGCTGCATCATAAAGACATATATATATATATATATATATATATATGATACATATATAATGATACATGTATATGTACATATATATCTATATACACACACGTATATGATCTACTGAATGTCAGATTCCATGCAAAGCAACTGGGGAAGGTAGCTAATCAAAAGATCTTTGCTCTTAGAAGTCTGAGATTTGTTGAAACAGACAGATGGAGTCTGTGTGATAAATATCACAAGAGAGGCCCATCAACAGTGGTAAGCAAAAAAGTGCAGTGGGGAATGAAAGTGACTCAACATTGATTCAACTGGGCCATGTTCAGAGGGACAGGAGAGAAGCAAAGGTTCAATTCTGTGTTAGGGTCACAGCCAGATTCTTCAGAAGGCTTAACAAGATTTAACAGAAGACTGTTAAGGTTTAATGGTATCCCATCTCGTCCTCTTTTCTAACTTTCAAGTCTCTCTACTTGAATCCAGTAAGGGTCAATGACTCTAGATGCCTCTTGACCTTCCAATTCCCTACACTGGCTTCAAAATCAAGCCCAACCCCCTCAATACAGCTCCTGAGACCCTTCATGGTCTTCTCTAGCTCACCTCCCAACTTTCTGCTCTCCTTCAGTGGTCAACTCCAGCCATACCTACTTTTCAAGCCCAACCATGTTCTTTTAGATCTTGAAACCCTAACTCATGTATTCTTTCTTCTTGGAACACACTCTTTCCCCCAGGACTTGGTATTTCCTATTTGGTGTGATGTCACTTCAAGAAGGCTTTGTTTAAAGTCTTTGTTAGGTGACCTTCTCAGGGGCTCCCACTACACCCAGCACTTCTTCCACCACACCATTATCTCTTTTCTGTCTGTACCAACCACCAAATACCCTCATGAAGGTACTTTTACATGATATGGATACTATTCACTGTATTTCTTTTTTCCCTTCAGTGCATACCCTCACAGAATTTAATATTACTGATACCTCCCTCTTCTAGAAGCAGGTACCCAAATATTTCTTTGACAAAGTTCTTCCCATTATCTTCCCACATTTCTCATCATAGTTTCACGCTGCATTTTGTGGGCACCACCAGGTTTACCTTCCTGGTTGTTTTTCTTCACCAACACTTCCAGTTTCAACCATGACTACTACTGGACAATTAATTGTTTGGTTTTCTTCTCTAGATGGCAAAGAACTACTGAAAGCTTTTCAGCAGAGATGCTGCACCAAGATTTTTAGGGATAGCATATAGCAAAGAACCATAATACATCCAGGAGATAAAAGACAACATTAAGAAGTTGTTTCAATTGTCCACGAAGAATTTCTGAATGAATTATGGACATGGTAGTAGAGGAAGAAAAGGAAAGAAGAGAGAAAGGAAAGAAACATGTAAGATATTTGGGAAGAAGAATCAATAAAGATTTGGCAAGCAACTAGATAGGGCAAAGGATGAAAGGTTAGGGAGAAGGCAGACTTCTCCCTATGTGAGAGGGTGTTTCAATCATACATCACCTCTGGATGCATGAGTTCTGTCTAAACCCAAATAACTGGCAAAGGAGCAAAACAAAAGAGAAAACAAAAAAAGAATACATACAACCAGGAAATGAAAAAATAAAATGCTGATGGGTAAAGTTTCTTGATTCTCTGGTTAAACTAAATGAAAAACCATACATACAAGTAAACAAGAAGTTGAAAGAAAAAACAATCTTCAGAAGGTACACTGTCCTATTAGAACAGAATTTTAGAGTCCTACTTATTGGTAGAATACCCAAGCAAGGGAGAAAATCAAATTAAACTGAGGACATGATAAAATTGTGATATTTAATACTTTATAATCTCTAATAATTATCATTTCAAGATTGATCTGGAAAACAGACTCAAGAGACAGGCAAGGAAGATTGAAATTAGATGTAATATACTACTAAATGAAAAATACCATACCATCATTCTTATAAAGTTTATAGAATGGTTATCATCTTGACAATGCTAAGGCATGCCTTTTTGGTTTAATGGGAAAGTCAGTCTTCATTAACTGAAGTCACTACACTGTTCAGCATTCATCTGTATACTCACTCTGATCTTCACTTTGCTTCTTAGAATTCTGCCCTTTGGGTCTCACACCATATCCCATTTCTATAAGCACATGGTCTAGAAGTTTTCCTAAAAAGTGTTTAAAAAAATACATCTTCATTGAAATACTAAAGTAATACAGGAAAAGTGAAAAACCTAGTCAATCACACAACTTAAGAGATTATAGCTATTAATACATGGGCATATGCGTTACCAGATCAGTTACTATGGGCAAGATATAGTTTAGTAAGGCCCAGGTTTAAAAATCAAGGCAAAATTCCTAGATACGTGATAGAAAACTCAAAAAGATTCTCTTCAAAATTCTGAGTAATATGATTTTTCACCTCACAAGCACACTTAGAACATGTAATAAGAAGACATCAATTTCAAACACAGCACTTCCTCCCACACTGGCAGTATGGCTGAGACAAGGGTTAGCCAGCAAGGGCATGGGCTTCAGAGTTCCTGGAAAAGCATCCAATGCTGGAGACCATAACATGAAACATACACAGCAAAAACAAAAACAGATTTTATACTAAATTTCAACAGATTGACTACATTTACCACATCACCCACGATGAAAAAAGTCTCTAGGAACAGAGAGATAATACCTGGTAAACAGACAATTACAGGCACACTGTAAGAAGTCACTTTTCAAACAGATGAAGCTATAATGGAAGGACAGGATTCCAGAGAGTTTCCATTTTCACAACCGAAACGTTACATATTAACAAAATATAATTCTTCTAAGGGTGAAATGAATTCAGAGAAATTCAAGAATTTCCTTTAATAATGGTGTAGACAAATAGGTATTATAACGACCATCTTAGAATAATACAGGTACCTTCCGCCCCCATGTGAAGTCTAGCCTAAGCTTTTTACACCCTTTCTGTGAATGTGCCTCACATTTTGTAACTGCCAGTCAAGGCCCTATTGTCAGTTACATTCTGAATGACTCCAGACAGAAGTGTAATTGACCTCACCTCTGTGTTTCTATTTCTTCTGAGTAACAGGTGAGAACTAAACAACAGATTCAAAAGAAAAAAAAAAAAAAGACTCAGATCTTACCTGAACTTTGCAGCTTAACATCTACCGCACAGGTAAGCACTTTCTCATCTAAGACGTCGATAATCTTTATAGAGCAGTACTGCTCCATTAACAGTGATTTAATAGTTATGATACAATCATTACTCCAATCGCCCTCTGCTGGGATAACGCCAGCCACAAAGCACTTTACGGCCTGAAAGATTTTGTGCAAGTTACTGAAAAGAATCAGTATTTAAAAATAAATTTTCTAATTACTTATCAAGTCTTCAAGTAGTAACCAGATAAACAACTTGAGGTGTAATTACAGTTATTTCTCTTGATAATTCTACAGTACCTGAAGTTCAAGAAAAATCATACAAAGATAAAAATCATATCTCAATAATACATAAATTCTGTCTACTTTCCAATAATGTAATTAATATAGGAATGATTATTTTTAAAGAGGTTAACAAGATGTAACTAAAAATGTTAGTTTCTCATCTGAGACACTACTTCACTAAGTAAGTTGGCCAGCCCATGGCTGCCCAACTAGAAGCAAACACTGATCCCATCAAAACATTAAAACAGCTCACTGGGGATACTGTCAAGAATCCAGAAAGAGAACTTACACAAGGAGGAAACAAGTCAATGTTTCTGTGTAGTTGATGAATTCTGTCTAGTGGAATTACTTCTTCATTTCCATAATCAATATACAAGACTTGTACCTTCTTCTGCAGCACATCAACATCCTGTATTACTGCTCTGTTCCAGGTCTGGAAGGGAAAAATGGTGGCATTGTTTCAAAACAACACTTTACAAACTTAAAGAACTCCTTAACTGGTATACAGACTAGGTAAATGAAAGAGGCTCCTGTTCTGTAAAAATCTGGCTAAGAAATCTCTAAAGTTACCTGGTTAAGACACCTTACTGTGCAAAAATATTCAAAAGCTGTTCCAGCCCAGCAGACTATTACACACTACTGCCTCAGCTACACAAATAAATACTAACTCTAAGATCAGTAATCAGTCTATAAACAGGCACACAGGAACCAATGAACAGGAAGACAGGGCAAGGGTGTGGAATACTGAAGATGAGACAGGATTGTGACCCGAATCTGCCTGCAAGCCACTCCATGCATCATTAAAAGCTCTGGTGTTGACAGACCAAGATAAGTTAAAACATTTTGTTAAGCAATTCATTTCAGCAGGGGTTACCTGATCAACAGTGTACTTGGCAACACAAACTTCCCCCTTAACAGGAATATAATCATCTTCATGCACCATGTTTGCATATGTTTCTTTTAAGTTTTCAGAAAGTTGGTTCATGTATTCTAAAACTTCTGAAGAATATAACTGGACATAAAAGTCACCTGGGTGTTTGAATTCAGTAACTGTAGCCTTTCAAAGACAGAAAAGATAAATAATTCACTAGGAACAAAAACAAATATTAACTTCTTAAGGCTTTGAAATTAAGATACAAGTAGGTTTTGGACAGTTTTTGCAATCTTTATTAATTTTATCAGATATATTCTGTATTTACCTTGTAAAAAGCTCAATTAAAAATAGGAAATTAGGACATAAGAATTTATAGTTCTTTGACAGCTAAAAAAATACCTTTATTTCCATGGTTTTCTTGAGTTGTAGACTTTTCAAATCAGAAAACATTATTTTCTCAGCACCAATGGCTCTTTCTTTAGTAATCCCAAGTGGACAGTCACTCTGGTTTGAAAAACATATAAGGAGTTACTCATAAGCACATATTTCAATAGTACTGTGTCACTAGTTGCTGGAGTCATGGTCACAAAAGCCTGATTATTTAGACTTAAGAGAACACAGGGATAGGGAAGGCCTCTGAGTTTCTGAAAGCCACTGTCCACAGGCAATGTGCATATTATTGAGGCTCCCCCAAGAATGAGGCTATGACAGAACATAATGTTGAGTTTAAAAACTAGCAGGGAATTATCCATTTAACATCTGAAACTTTAAATGTGCATTTGTTAATGTTTTTGTAAGAATAAACATTTGAGCTGGGCATCAGTGGCTCACATCTACAATCCTAGCTACTCAGGAGGCAGAGATTAGGAGGATTGCGATTCAAAGACAGCTTGGGCAAATAGTTTGTGAGACCCTATCTCAAAAAAAATAAACCCATCACCAAAAAAAAAAAAAGACTGATGTGGTTGGAGTGGCTCAAGGTATAAGCCCTGTGTTCAAGCCCAGTACTACAAAAAAAAAGACTTCAATTTTTTTTTTTTTAAGTAGAAACTAGGAAAAGCTACAGAAAGATAATCTCTACAAATCTGAGTGTAACACAATCAGAAAAATTTCAAATTGCAAATGACTTAGATCATAGTTCTCCAAATGGAAGAGCGCTATTAACAAAAACAAAACAACCACTGCTCCTCAGCTAGGAAGCAAGGCCTTACAGACTGCAGTGTACAGAGCAGGAGAACCCGTCTATGCTGGGGCCTATAAAAAAGGGGCTCTTCTGGGAGACCAACTGATTTTACCAGAGACATAGACATCCCAATAACTCTTAGGAAAAACACTGAAAATGAGTAACTCTCAAAGATTGCCCAAAAGACATCAAACCCCATCACTAGCGTGTAGTGTATAATGAGAACATTTTGTTCAAAAATAAACACTGGTGAAATGCAGAACTAAGTCCAAAATATTTCAACTTTACTCTAAAGAAAGAATATCATACCTCATTTTTCACTTCAACATTCTTTGTTTCAAAAGTTGATTTATTATCCTCAAGTTTGTGCAAACTGAAATAAAGCAACTGATTATAACATTTATACTACAGAGGTAAGAGTAGGGTCACAAACCTCAAAAAATATGTTAAATTCTCAATGAAAACAATCTATAAAAAGCACAACAGTCTGAGAGCATCACAGTGGTCACAAAGCAAAGTCCAGTGCTGCCTGTGCCATGTCCACCTGAGCCTCCTTGGTGTGCTTGCTCAAAAAGCCACCAAAATGGAGCAGTCACAATTGTGCATTCGGATCTGTAATATGGAGACAACCCCTATGATACCTACAGTGTTGAAGATCAAATTAGATATGTGAAAAACTTTTACAAACTGTTAAATGCCAGGAAACTAAGATTTATGCATTTTAAAATCACAACTCAAGAGGCACTGTGAGAGTTATAACTTGTTAAACTTCAGGAAGGCAGACTGCAGGTATGGCTGAAGTGGCAAAGCATCTGCTTTGCTGTGTACTTGTTTTCCAAGTGTGAAGCCCCGAGTTCAAAATCCCAATCCCAACAACAACAAAAAAATTTTTTAAAAAGGACTGGCGGTATGGCTCAAGCAGTAAAGCACCTGTCTTGCAAGTGTGAAGCTCTGATTTCAAACCCCAGTCCCACCGCCCCCCCCCCACAAAAAAAACTTGGGAAAGCACACCCGATTAGAAACTAAGGAATTCTAAAGCTCTAGTCATTAAAAGTCACTGAAGGTTCTAAATTTTAGTGTGTACTTTCTAATGAAATTGCAGTTATGAAACTAAATTTGTTAAGCTATTTACTTCAGATTAGTACACTTGTTATCCCTCGATAAACAAGTAGAAAGTCACAACTCCTACACATTTCTGGCCTGCTCAACTGATTAAATCCTCTATCAGAAACTTTTTTCACTATTTCCTGATGAACAAACACAACATGAACGCTTACTTTTTCTGAACAGGCTTGCACACGATGCTATGGGCAGACCAGTCTCTCCTCTGACACGCCGTGGAGCAATAGTACGTCTGCTTGCACTGAGAACACCTCAGGGACCCTGTGGAATGCAGCCCACAACGTCACCTATTGTGCACTCTGAGGTCAAAACACTGCCAGAGAGTGGGCAGAGCAAGGGTTCTGCTAATCATCTCAAGAAGGCTATGTACAGAGAACTGTGAGTTACTAGGCTTGAACTTTTAAAGCTCTCTTAAAATGCAGAGAAAAAGGACTGCAAAGATGATGATGACAGGAGGGTCTGACTTGGAGATGTAACTGACTTTCTCCTAAAATAGAGCCTAGAGCACACATTACAAAACGAGTACACTTGGTTGTAATGAAAACACTTGTGTAAGCAGATTAAATGGCTTCCCATGTGTCATTCAATGGGAATGAATGACAGAATCATACCAGAAAGGAAAGAAAGGGAAGGAAAAGGAAAGAGGGAAAAAAGCTCAAAAAAAAAAAAGTTGGTTTTGAATGCACTAAGCTTAAAAGAAATTGAAAAAAATTAAAACATTAAATATCAAATAATCAGCAAGCATATGGAAAAAAGTGGTCAAAATGATTGATTGTGAGGGAACTGCAAATTAAAACAACACACACCCATGAGAAGGGAAATCATTAAAAGACTAATACACCAAATGCTGACAAGGATATTGAGCAAGCAGAATGCATTATTAATGGACATGTAAAAAAGAGGCAACTACCTTGGAAAATGGTTTAACAGCTTTTTACAAAGTTAAACACATATCAATCCTTGACTCAAATCTGCTCCCAGGTGGACACTTGAGATAAATGGAAACATGTGTGCACCCAAAGACATGAAAATATTAACAGCCCAAAGCTGGACACAACCAAACTGTTCAACAGAAGAATAAACAAGATGTGTGAAAACATGTTGTACATGACAAATACATATTATTTTATCTGTCAATAAATTTAAAATGTTGTGATATGATCCAAGGGAATATTACTCAGCAACAACAAAAATAGCTAATGATACATGCAACAAGATGGGTTATCTCAAAAATTCTAAATGAGTAAATAAGATTTTTGCAAAGAGCCTGTACTAAATGACTCCATTTAAATGAAAGTCTATTATAGCCAAAGTTATAGTGAAAAAAGGAGAACAGTAGTTGCCTGGGTGGACGGGTCTTGATGGGGAAAGGACATGAAAGAACTTTCTGAAGCTCTTGATGGGGCTATTGGTTTCTGTATTTCAGTGCATGTATAAGATTTACCTAAAAAATGATACTCAAATGAGGAAACAGAATAAGAAAGTATAGATGAAGACCAACAGTAGGAGGCTGAGAGCTACTAAAGATACATAGGTATATAGGACATATGTATACTATTCTGTTTATACTCCACATATTTAAATTTTGCCATAATACAAATATTTTTCAAATGAGTAAAAGCAAAATCCATTAGACATCTAAGAGCAATATGCTTACCAAATAGACCACATCGATGGCAAGTTGTTGACCGAAAAGTAGGTCCTAAGGAGTTGAAGAGTGCTGGATTACTTATGGACAAGGAATTTTCAATCAACTTGTGTGATTGTTTTGACTTTGCAGGAGATACATTATTGCTGGGCTTCAATTAAAAACAAAGAACAGCAGTATTAGAACTTGGTAATAACTTCTCGTAAATGCTGAATTTAGAACTTCCTCTTTTGGTAAGGTAGATACTTTTCCCTATTCCTCCCGAATGTACAACTAAACTCTTAAACTCACATATAAAAACAAGCAAAGACTCATAAAAGGAGGAAAGAGTGTCTTCACCATACTGAAATTGATAAAGTTATGATATGGTAAGTTTGCATATGTAACATAAAATTCATAGCAACCACTGAGAAAGATGGGTACTGAAAAAACAGTGCAGGTAAATCAAAATGCAATTACGAAAAAGTGTTCAAGTAACCCACAAGGCGGCAAGAAAAACAGATTAAGCAAAATACAATGGCAGACTTAAGCCTCCAACTGTAATTACATTAAATGTAAATGGTCTAAATACGCTAATTAAAAGACACTGGCCAAGTGGATTAAAAGATGTTACCTAACTATATCCTACCTACAAGAAATTAATTTCAAATATAACAATGTAAACATACTGGAAGTGACAAGATGGGGAAGTATCTCATAAATGTTAGTTAAATCGGGAAGCCATGTTAATAACAAAGATTACAGAAGAAAGAAAATGACTAGACAGGGATATTATCACAGAAGGTCAATCAGAAGACATAGCAATCCTACACGTGTATGTAGCAAATAGAGCTCTAAAATGTGGAACAAAACTGAACTGAAAAGAAAAATAAGGCAATCTCTAATTAGAGTCAATTCTGCTCTCAGCAATTGGCATAACTAGACAGAAATGGCAAAGAATAGAGAACCAACATCAGCATTAATCACCAGGATCTATCAGGTATGTGTAGATCATCTGAGCCAACAGAACATGTACCAGATCTATAACCAAAGCTATAAAACAGACACAAGACACTTGGCACAGCTCAGTGGCAGAGCATGTGCTTAGCACCCATGAGGTCCTGGCTTCAATCCCAAGCACAGAGAAACCAAAAACTGAAGAAACCAAAGTAAAGCACACCCACAGTGGGCATACACTGAGACACCCCATTGAATGTCAACTCAAACATTAATCAGGACTGTAAAATAGGCAGTGGAGGGTGAAGGAAGGAGATTAAGATGATAGTATATGGTTGATGGACTTCATACACCTATATGAAACAGAACTAAAAAACCTCTTGCAATTGCTTTAAATAGGGTAGGGAGGGGGGCTGATGGGGAGAGATGAGGGAAATGTAAATAATGTACAATATAAGTCTGACTGGAATTGTCACTACAAATCCCCTCCCCCATATAATGAATATATCCTAATGAAAAAATTTAAAATAAGAAAAATAGTTGTGAACTCATATAGAGGTTTTCTCTGACCACAATAGAAAATAGACCTGAACTAGAAATAAATAGCCGAAAGATAATAGACAATCTCCAAGCACTTGGAAACTAAAATTAACACTTCTAAATGCATGGGTCAAAGAAGAAATTCCAAGTTAAATAAAAGATATGTTGAACTGAAAAATGATAATACAAGATAACAAAATTTGTGGGACACAGGTGGAAGGAAAACAATGCTTTAAGTAGAAAAGAGGAAAAGTCTCAAATCAATAATCTAATCTCTTACTTGCTACAGTTTGGACCTTGATGTCCCTCAAAATCCATGTGCTAAAGGCTTGGTCACCAGGGTGGTGCTGCTGTGCGGTGGTGGAACTCTGGGATGTGGGGAGTAGTGAGAAGACCCTGGGTTGGTGAATGTCCTTGGGGGGACTGTGGGCTCCCACCCTTTCCTCTCTTTCAGTTCCTGACCATGAGGTGAGAGGTTCCACCATGCATTCCTGCCTTTCTATAGCCCCAAATCAACGGGGCTAATTGACCATGGACTGGGACCTTCAAAACTGCTGGCCAAAATAAACTACTTGTCTTTTGAAATCACAATATTGTAGAAATACTGAGATAGATATTAGTGGTTGCCAGGGATCAAGGAGTGTGTGGAGGGGCAGAGGGAGGTGGATGTGGCCATAAAAAGGCACATAAGGTACTATTTTAATAATGAAAATGCCCCAGCTGTGATCCAGTACTGGAGTTCTGCAGCATGTCACCACTGAGGAAAGCTGGAGAAGGCTACACAAGATCTCTCTACTAACGACTGCAAGTAAATTTACAATTTCCCCAAATTTTTTTTTTTTTAAAACACAGGTACTAGTTTAAAGACAAGGATATTTAACCTCAAATGATACATACAAATCAAATACTTTTTTTATGAATACAAAAATACTAGAATCTTTTACCTAAAGTGCAAAATAGAAAAAAATAACTTACAGTTTTTATTTCTTTGGGTGGTGAATTATTTCCAAGACTTAAGGCTGACACTGTATTTCCTAGAAAGGAAAAACATAATTTGTAATAGAAGCCAAATATTTTTCATAATATAAAATAGTATATAGTTCCATAATGGCCTCAGAGCTACATCATAAATAAGATACATCCTATTTTTCCTAATTGAAAACAAGGACTATGTGGAAAACTGTTTATAAGAATGCCCAGGATGGCCTCAAAGTCACATCTTACTGAGTGCCGGGATTAAAGGCATGCACTTCTGTGCCTAGGTTGAAATTTTCTCGATATTGCTGCTCTCACTGTGTTTCTCTACTTGGCAAGGCAGCAATTCTCAAACTTTTTTGAACTGAGAACCCCCTTTATAATCATAATATTAAGGACCCTAAAGAGTTTTTGTTTACATGGCTTATAGCTGTCAATACTTGGAAATTAAAATAAAAATTTTTATTCATTTAAAAATAAATGCATTCTATGTCGACATATTTCTTTAGAAAGCTACTTTTCAAAACAAAATAATGAGAAAAGTTTTATATGTTTGCACATCTCTTTAATGTAGACATATGGATCCATACGTATGCCTTTGCATCAGTCTGCCATTTCTTGGAGTATCAAGAAAATCTGGCCTCAGAGAGGTAGTTGTAAAAAGTGTTTAACAGCCTTCTCAGGTAATTGCAGATATTTCTTTAACGTCACACCAAAACTCAAGAAGTAATTAACGTATTAGTGGCAACATGAACTCTAAAACTGTATGAATAAACTTTTCATACTGTTATATTAGAATCCACTAATTTATCCTGCACCCAAATGGGTTAACCAGGAAAAGACAGGATCACTGAGTTATGCAGTTGTAAGATGATGACACATTTCATTATACATCAAAATTTATGTATTAAAATCACCATGCATCTTGACATAAAAGTCTTTATGCACTGGGACTCTCTTAACCTTAAAAGTGGCAGACACGAGTTTCTTAAATTCTAGTTTGCTTAAAAGTTTGAACTTTATCACTGGCAACAAAATACGGTCAGCTATTGTCCTTCAAGTGACAAGCTCCCTTTAATTGGAGAAAAAGCTTGACAAATATTTAGGTCTAAACAAAATTTGGTATTCTTTTCAAGTAAAAAGGATGTTCTAAGAAAAAAGTTCCTTTTCAGCTCACATCCCACACATGTGCTTTTATACTTCAGATATTAGAAGTGATTCTTCATTAAAGAACTAAAACCACCTGTACACAAGAGTCAACGTTAAACAATAATTTTTATTGTTTCATCAGGAATATTTTTAAGTGAAATTGGCATTTCTGGTTTTTAACTTTAAGTGCATGAAAATGAAAAACTGATGATCACTGGTCTGGGGTTGATGCCCTGGCCTTAAGCTGGGCTATGAGGCTAATGCAGTTCACCACCCTTGCTTTGCACCATTAGTGGAAAGTCGACATTCCAAAAAAAAAAAGCAAACAATGTTTTAATGTCTTTACAAAAATGGTTTTGACCCCGTGAGGAACACTAGCTGTCTAAGGATCACGTTCTGAGAATTACATCAACAGTGTTAAAAGAGCTCATCTCATATACATCCGAGGCTAAATTCCACCAGGTCCCACCCTCCTTTAAAATCAGGTTTTGAGAATAAAGACAAAAGGACTAATAAAAAACAAATCACATGGAACTGCTTAACTAATATCTTTAAAATACCATTGAGAGCTATTATTTGCATAAAATTTGCACGGTAGTTTTATTAAAAATACAGTCAGCCTCTGGAACAGCCACAAAAAGCCCACGTGCTTCCTTTCTACAACGCTACTACAGCTGATTGAAGAGAAGGACGCTCACAGTAGTCACTCTCTCCTGAGGAATCCTTTCTGAGATCAATCAAGCCAGAAATAGCTACTTGGTATTTGTTTTTCCTTCTAAGCCAATAACCAAATGCAAATACTCTACAGTACTCATTGTCTGTTTGATTATCTCACTGGTGATAAGTCCGACACCGCTGGAATCAAGAATCAGTAACCCCGTGGTTGTCACTCACCTGTTGACAATGCCTTCCTCTCTCCTTTGGATGCAACCACTTCTCCACTGATACCAGAAGGGTTTGGAGATACTGAGCTATCTTCCTGACTAGCTAAATACTGTTTGGTTTGCTCACAAAGCAAAAAATTGTCCTTTTTATTTCCGTTCTCTGGGCTTTTCAACCTGAAGTTAGGATGGTTATGGTGTGCTCCAGGACTTCTTATAGACTCATGCGCTGGAAGCTTGCCTTCTTTTTTCTCAAAGTTAAATGGCTCTGTCATCTTACAAGTAGTTGCTTCCGAATTATTTCTTGACATATTAGGCAGTAATTTAACATTCAGTGAAGTCTAAGGAAAGAAATATATTTAAGAGACAATTTTTAAATACAAAATTAGAACTACAGCCCTATATGAATTATTTCAAGTATTTATGCAACAGGTAATTCCAATAAACAATTCCAAAGCTGGCTTAACGTTGACATCAAAACCTAGCCTATAAGACACAAGAACAGCTGTCTATGGGTACGTATAAACTCCAAGGTCAACAAAATTCAACAGAAGACCACTCGAAAGACATGAGAAGAGTCATCTCAAACTTCCACACCATTCCTCACTTTTTAAAAGCTTCTGAAGCACCGGAAAGAAAAGGACTTTCATCTTTACCTTACTGGTGAAATACAACAGAGTCCATTGCTTAAATCTGGTCATCACCTACCTTTCTCCCTTTTCCTCTACTCTCTCCTGCTTCATGTTACACCAAGCCCTCTAATATGATGAACCACTGACTACCCAGAACGCCCTGCTCTCCCACCTACCTGATCATCTAAGCATTGTTCTCAACTCCTCTCAGGTGACTCCTATTCCCTGGTTTTCCTGAACCACTAAGTACCCAAAATGCCCTGCTCTCCCACCTGCCTGATCATCTGGCCCCACTGGTCTCAGCTGACCCCCATTCCCTCTGGTTTTCCCAGGCACCCTGCATTGATAGTCTCCAGCTGAAATTCCACAAATTGTGACATGTATCTACTTCTTTCAAGGACCTACTACGTGCACCTTTCTCTGAAAATAAGTTACAGGCCTATTGCAAGCTTTTCATGTTTAATTTGCAGCAAAGTGCCTCAGAGAAACCTCTCATCAGAAATGATGCTGGCTTGCCCTTTTCCTTTCCTCAAAGAATGCTAAGTGTTCTGTTCAGGGGAAGCACCTGAAGTGGACAAACAACTTCTTGAAGCAGTTACCAGTTTTGTCTGTAAACTGAATGCAAAACTTCTTTCTAGTCTAAAAATTTCAAAGGGGAAGAAAAAGATCATGGAATGTTCAAACTAATAAATATTTAAATGTTGTTTAATATAGTATTGAACAAATAGCAGAAAAATCTTCCCTCTTGGTGTCCTAAAGTGCTCATCTTATTTCTGTTTTAAATTAGGTCTAGCCTACTCCAATGACAATGTATAAAAGACAATGAAAATGTAAAAGGAAATTATCGGAACACTCAAAGACAGGGTGCTCTCAGATCCTAGGGAAGATTCCTAACAGCAAGACCTTCAGTGTGCAGCTATGGTGGGAGACCCTGCAGCTACCAAAGAAAGTACACCTGTACCTACAAGCCTGCTTAAATTGGAGGAAAAGACTGAGAACCATAATACTGGATGCAATGACAGCAACAGGTCAAATTACAAAAGAAAAACCTTTCCCCTCCAAGAGAAACTGGTGATAGAGGGGTATGTGAACAGTGAAGTCCTCTAGACTCTGTACAAGAAATATAAAGAAGTTGACTTAAAATATTAAGAGTAACTACTAGAAGAACAGAAACAATGCATAGAATTAAAACAGAAGAAAACACTTAGCCAAACAGGAAGGAAAAAAAAAAAAAACCTCCAAGCATCTGGCAAGCAGAAAGCATGAGTAAGATGACAGGACCACACCAAGCAATGTAAGTATTAATGGATTAGCCTCAATTAGAAAAGGGGAGGAGGAGGCGTAGCTCCTACTTTGTAGGCACAAAGCCCTGTGTTCAAACCCCAGTCTCACCAAAATAAAAACAAAACAAAACAAAATAATAGAAAAGGGAAGGAGAGACAGACCCAGGGTGAAAAACATCCAGCTAGATGTCATACACAAAAGGCACACATAAAACCAAATTTATACAGTAAGGTTGAAAACAGAGACTGAAATGTGTGATATGCAAATAACCAAAATAAAGGCAGAATGTTAATGTTGTTATTAACAGCAGATAAAATAGAACTCAAGATAAAAAATATTGAGACAAAGATTACTTTACACTAATAAAAGAAATCCACTAAGGAAAGACCAGAGTAGCCCAGAATCTCTGACTACTTGCTTTAAAGTTGCTTTGAGATGTAGTAAGCAAAAATCCTGGGGGAGAAATTCAATCCAAAATGATAAGGACACATCTGCCTTAAACACCTCTGGTCAGAGAGAAAACAAGCAGTGATAAAGAATAATTCAGAACACAATAAATTTCATCTAACAGGGGCCGATATAACCAAGAGTATTCACCTCTCCAACTCTGAGCACACACTGGACCACATCAACTCCAAGAGAAAAAACCCTAGTATCACACAGCCCATATCCACACTTCACAATATGCACGCGTCTGGGAGAAGGGTTTTTGCTTCTGTTGTTTAAAAGTGGGAAAATGTCACAAAAGGAATGACAGCAAGCATAACATGACCAATTAAAAACTTACCAAAAAAACAGACCAGGAAATAGGTATCATCACAGAGATAACAAATTTGGTAACTTTTCAAAAACAGGATAAGTATCAAGATACTGTAGCAGACACCATGACTGCCCACCTACTTACATTTAGTGACAGCACTGAGTGACAACAGAGTTCTGAGTGGACTTCAGAAAAAGCTTTAGCTCATTGCTGATGAACAGGGACAGATTTGGCTGGCAAGGTCCTTTACTCCTGTCTTCTACAACACATTCCACTCACCTTTTAACGGGGACTCAATAAGCACACTCAGAATACTGGAGCAGAAAATGAGCACCGCATCCCCTGCAGAACGCCTGAGCCATCAAGACCCGTGCCTATGCACTAATGTGCTGTGGCACCAACGAACAAGGCTACGGGTTTTCTGCCATTTGCAGCTCAACTGATACACATACCAATAAAAAAATAAGCAAATGGCATAAACAGCATGCAGAAAGGATGAAGATTAGCTGGTAAACTCAAGGGGAAGGCAGTCAACCTCATCAAATATTCAAATTGAAAGAAACACAATAATACATATTCTCTACCTAAAATGGGTGCAATTAAGAAGGCCCCTCGTTGCTGAAGGGAATATCCAAATTGCTTTTTCTGGGAAGCAATTTGGATATGTATGGGGTGGGGAGGTCTTAACTATTCCTAGCTCTTCACTTGGTAACTCCACTTCTAGAAAACGCCCCATTAAAAAATAATCCTAAATCCTAAAAAACCCTGTATGCATAAATGTGCATTTAAAATGGCAAAAAGCAGGCAAGTTAACTGTGATAAATGCAGTAGACAGAACAGTAATTTCCAAATACATGAGAAAACGTTTGTTAGGATGCAAGTGGAAAAATCAGGAAAAAAACCTGTCTATTCAACATACCAGCAAAAAAGAATTCCATGTTAAAAATGGACGAAATTCATTAAGTTTTAAACAACAATGAGTGTTCTGAGGTAGGTGGACTGATGAATCTGTTTCATTGTTCTTTTCCTTTACAAAGCATGTCTAAGGATGAACTGCTTTTAGAGAAAAAATATTTTAAAGCTTGAGGTATAATTCAATAGTAACTTAAACCCCCTTCCCAAAATGTGTTTACTTAATTCTAACCCAAGCAAAGGGATCACAGCAATATTTAAACCATAAAATTAGGATATAGTCATCATTGTCTCAGGACACCTAGTGAAACTGGTGTCAACATGCTGCAGGGAGCCCCAGATTCAAGTTTTCAAGAAACCGTTCTTACTACTAAGGCTGCCAGTTAATCCATGCTCAACTGCTCTCCCCTGTGTATTACAGTTACCTACAAACAAGTCTGTCTTCCAAGCTTTTTAACTTGCTTGAGTGAGGGAACCATGTCTCATTAAAAACAAACAAAAACCTGTGGTTTCCTACAGCATCCAGCATGGTGCTTTGTACGATGAGGTGTTCAAAAGATATGCTAAGATTAAAAACTATTTTACACACACTATCGCACTGCTTTCATGACCATCTGGGTGGGAAAAATGAAACTCACTTAGCTGTCCTAAATGACCCGATTTACTGAGGTTTACAGTAAACTTCATGCTGTGAATCAACTCTTCCAAAATCCAAAACTTGCAAATATATCTGACTGTAGAAGCAATAATATTGCTTAGACTCACTATGAAGTTTAAGCAGCAAACGAAGAGGATTTAGGCTTAAAAGAAGAGCCACGTGGCGTGGACTATTTGAAGGATACCTCACTATTTTGCTCTTTTCAGGAATTTTCATTACAATTCCCAGAGCAAATACACATCTAGACCTGTTCTAGGACCAGAAGCTTCCCACTTTCTTTTATTTGGGGTCAGTTAATGGGTGCAGTATTTTTTTTTTTAAATAAATGGTTCTCTTCCCAACTGACTTACTCTTCCTCTGCTGCCTATGACCTCAACTTTTCAAACATCTGAGGAAGCCTTGACAACCCCTCTCCCCAGGTCTTTCACGTGGCTCATGTAACACCTTCCAGATTCCTTCCAGTTCTAGGCTTTCTCTGCCTAATCAGAGACCCTCATAAAACCTGACTCTCCCAATTGAGCATGATTTCAGATGGCCTGAGAGCAGGGAAGCAGGAGAACCACGCTATCTCTAACTTGGAACACTGAAATGTCTATTCGTGTTGTTAGCTTTTGGAGCATCTGGTCACTGCTGTGAATCCAAATAAAACTCTCAGACACCGAAAATCTTTCGGAATTTAATTTTACTAATCTTATAAAATTTAACTATATCATTAAATTGACTTTTTCCTTTTGATTTACTGGTCTATAAATTTATACACACATATAGATTTGCGTGTAACCACTACTGCTGAGACACAAAATTGGCTTTTAAGACAAATTTTAACATTAAAAAACACCTGTAAAGCTAGGAGCCAGTGACTCATGCCTATAATCCTAGCTACTTGGGAGGATGAGGTCAGGAGGATTGTGGTTCAAGGTTAGGCCAGGCAAATTGTTTATGAGATCCCATAACCAGAGCAAAATGGACTGGAGGTGTGGCTCAAGCAGTAGAGCACCTGCTTTGCAAGCACGAAGCCCTGAGTTCAAACCCCTGTCCCACAAAAACAACATAACACCTGTAAGGCTGCATTTATACCTACTTAGCTTCATCCTGTGTCAATCACCAGGCAAACGTGAATCACCAGTGTGCTGTCCCTATGGTGCACTACTAGAAGTCCCAACCTCAGCCTGTAGACGTCTAATATAGACAGGTGAAGAGATGTTGCTGCAAGCTCATGATACCTCCTGGCCTAATCTCACCCAGGTTTGTCTGGCTTTAGCAGTACTGGGAACAGTAAATGCTCTATTACTGGAGCCATGACACAAGTCCTTTTGCTTTTAGTTTTGCTTTCTGATAGTCTCACGCTTTTGCCCAGATGGCTTCAAATGGACCTTCCTACCTCTGCCTCCCCACTAACTGGGAATACTAACTGGATGCCACCATGACCAGCTCTCACCTAGCTTTAAAGCATGCAGTTTCCCCCATTTAAAACCCGCTACTTTTTATGCTATTGGCAGCTAGTAAAAAATGAACTTAATCATCCTACAATTCATAGTAATGTTATGTTTTCTTAGCTAACACAGGAGTTACTTTGAAGGGTTCCCAAATTTCTTTGTTAAAAGGATCTTGGTTTTGTGCTTCTGCTTTGACCCCAACAAGTGAGGCTTCCTAAAGGCAGGGCCCCTCTTTTAATTCCCTTAGAATCATACTTTCTATGATTCCCACATGCTGCTGAGAGCATCCTAGGTTACACTTTTCCCATCGGGAGACCAAACCCTAAAATAACCTCCCCAGTGAGTTAATTCTTTTAAGAAAAGTGCACAGAGAGCTACTTGGCTGCAATGCTTTTTGCTTTCCTGGTAACATCACACATTCAAAGAGAGCCATTCTACCCAAAGGGAACACTGTGTGAATGCAGCAAAACTCAAAGGTTCAGTAGAGCATGAGCACTGACCTCAGATCCAAGGCCCACCTTCCTCATTTAAAGATGCTACTGTGCTTCATCTTTCTAGGATTCAATGACTGCATAATGTGGACAGTGACTTCCTAGTAAGTCCTAATCATGGGCTTAAATGAGGGACTGTACCTAGCCACCTAGTATGGTGGCTGTGTTATTCCTAAACCCCCTTCCTCATGCTGGGGGCCTCTCCCATGGTAGACAAGCATCTACCACTGAGCTACACTCCTAACCCTTTACTTATACCAACTCCCACATACAAAATTTCTTCTTCTCATGAGGAAATAATGGAACTAACCTGAAGATTAAAGTCTATTTCTAAATAGAAAGTCCCACCCACCCTGTGCAATCCCAGCATGTTACCCAGTTGAGAAGAAAATCCAGGTCACCCCATACACTTGCAATTTTGTACACAATACTCTTGGTGTCTCACTAAAGGAACTAAAGGCATCTGCTCTAACTCCAGAGACCCAACAGGGCAAGCATATTTATAGCAGGGGCCCTAGAAAACCAAGTGCCAGGAAAAGCGATTGGTACACTACAGTCAAGCTATTAACACCCCTTAAACAAACTAGAGTCATGATGCACCTTCCTCTCCAATAGGAGGTAGGAGGTGTTCAGGTAAAAGATCGCATATCAATACTGTTTGCACTCTAGCTTTGAGTTAAAACGCAAGCACTGAATCCGCAAACTTGTTTCATGTAGAGAGAAGGGTACGTTAACATTTTGGGGACTCATGCCTGGAAGTGTTAACTATTTTCAAACTCACTGCAAGGCTCCTGCTTGCTCACACACCAATTCGCAGCCTTGCACTCCTCCAACCAACACAGATTCTGTCCCACACCCCTAACCTCCTACCCTAGACCTGCCCTTCCCAACCAAGGTTCCAAGGTCCCAAGGTCTCCATTTCCAAGCCTTGTACCCGCTCAACGCCTGACTTAACGCCCGATCTCAACGTCCAGAGCCCAACGTCCGGCCCCCAACGACCAAAGCCCAGTCGCCCTCATGCAGCCCCTCCCCCTCACCCAAAATCCTGGGAACTCTGACCTGGAAAGAGGCAAAAGGTCCGCTGACCCCGACCCGTTTCTGAAGCTTGGCCGTGGTGGCGTCTACAGTGGCAGGGACCTCAGTGGCCCAGGTCGCCCCTGCGCTCACCTAGTCTCCAATGCCCAGCCCGCCCGCGTGGTTCCAGCCCCGCGCCTGCGCGCCCACGACGCCCACGTGCGCCCTCCGCGTGCCCGACGGAAGGCAAGTTCCGGACCGTGCCCGCCCCGGGGTGCGTCCTGAGGGGCTTGCGGTTGGCAGGTGGTGCGTGGACCCCGGAAGCTCCTCCACGGGAACTTTATAACTGTTTTGCTGGTGTACTCTGGAAAGGTGTCTCTGGCTACTCCGTGGGCAAATTTTGAGCACAAAGACCCAGACCTTGTCTATGCGTAAGTTACTGGGGTCGCTTTAGCTATTTAAGAGTCAGGTGTTTTTCATAGTAACCCACTGCCTTTGTCTCGTCTTGGGAACTAAACCCATGTGGTCATTTCCTCTGCTTCCCCCACCCCTACACACACCTTCCTACATGGGCTTGTGATTGTATCTAGTGGTGTTACTGCAAATACTTTTTTTGCTGTAAAACTTTTCTAACATTTAAAATACTCCCTCTGTACACCCATCACCCAATTCGTGGTCAATCTTGTCTACACTTGCATCCCCATAGCTTCCTGGAGGGTTCCCCCCATCCTTGGTAGTTCTTGGGTTTGAACTCATGGCCTTGAGCTTGAGCCCAAAACCCCACCGTTTCTTCAATGTTTTGAAACAAACCTTGACTTGTATCTTGTTTTCCTTTTAATAGATTTTATTTTTTTAGAAGTTTTAGATTCACAGAGTAAATGGAAGAGTTTCCTCAATAAGCCATATCCAGTTTCCCCTATTATTAATATTTTATATTAGTATGATACGTTTCTTACTATTAAGGAACCAATATTTATTTAGTATTAAGTAACGTGAGTTTATTCAGATTCCTGTAGTGCTTCCCACCACCACTACCACCCATTTTTCCTTGTCTGAGCCAGGCTCCCACTCAGGATCCTACCTTGCATTTAGCTATGTATCTCCTTAGGCTCTTCTTGGCTGTGGTAGTTTGTCATGACCTTGAGAGCTTCAGGGAGGACTGGCATTTTTTAGGATGCCCCACTGTTGGCATTTGTCTGGTGTTTTTCTCATGACAGTAATGGAGCTGTGGGTTGTTGGAAGGGTGACCACAAAGGTGAATTGCCTCTGTGCAATATCAAGCATACCTCTAATGAACATGATTTATGACAATTGCTGTTGGACTTAATCATCTTGCTGAGACAGTGTTTGTTGGAGTTCTCTGCTTTCCGGATGGAAGACTTTGGAAGAGAACCATTGTGCCACGCCCACATCTGAGTTGAGTACAACCATGTCCTACGCTATCTTGTACATTTCTTGCCCCAAATTTGAAATTAGACCTTGTAACTTTTTAGTCCAGCAAACTATTTATTTATTTGGTACTGGGGTTTGAACTCATGCTTGAGCCAGACTGCCAGCCCTAGTCCAGGTAACTGTTTAGCAGGAAATATTTAGAGATCATAGTCTGGAGAGTAGAAGTATGCCTTCGGTTGTCATTGTTCTAAGCCTTTTCTGGGGGCAATGGCACCCCCTCACCAGCATTTGAACCCAAGACCTTGCCATTGTTAGAAGTGCTCTACCACTGAACTACATCCTCAGTCCTAGACTTTTTAATAAAAAAAAGAAAAAAGTGCACCATGACTGTGTTTTTGCTTCACTCCTTTGACTTTTATAGTGAAAAACCTGATTCCCAAGTTTAATATGCTTTCTACTAATTATAAGTTCAGAAATAAATTTCAGACATTTCATACTGACAATATGAGTACTAAAACAGGTTAAAATGTCTTTGATTCCCTTCCCCGCATCCCACCTCACTAGGAATTTTATATACCTCACTGGGTCGATTTATTATTTTAAGGTCAAATTATTTCTTTACTATCACAGACATTCTAACTGCAAAATGTACTTTTATACAGTATCTTCATTTGAGGAAGGAGGTGCCATTTCCTGTTGGAAAGGACAGACACGGAGGTTTACAGCGTTGTATTTTTTTTCCAGCATTTAGAATGAAAAAAAGCTAACAGATCGGTAGTGAGTTTTGCTTGACCAACGCTTGCATTGAAGACTCGTCTGAAGTAACTATTTTCACTCTTGAGCTGTACCTAAGAGGTGCTGATCTACATACACTTCGCTTCCCTGGACGGGGGAGGTTCTTGCAAAGCTCTGCAGGCTCGGACCGCGCTTGGCCGCCGCATTCAACACCGTGGCCACGCAGCAGGCGGGGATGCCCAGCCGGGGGAAGGCGCTCCCTTGCCCCGAGGCGCTCAGCGCTTTGCCGCCGACAGCGCCAACAGCCCATTATTAAACAATGGCAGGAGGTGCCACTCCGAAGATCGGAACTCCGGGATGTCACCGAGGATGAATTGTCAAATGGGCAGACAGGCTACTTCTGAGGCTCTGCCTACCCACGTCAAGTCCAAAGTTTACGCATCAGAGCCGGGAAGCCACAATTTCGAATTCTTTTATTGCTTTATGCCCCTGATTCATACCAGAACCTGCCCTAGGGCGAGAAGGGGGGAATACCCAAGTTTGCACTTCCTAACCAAAGAAATCTCCAGCTTGGGCTGGGAAAGGGGCAGGAGCGGTGAGCCAGGACGTAGGGTTGGGGAGTGACTCTCCCGGTCCTGCGAGGGTGGGCGTCGATCGAGGCGGGATGCTGGGCGGGGCCTCCCAGGGCTGAGCTCCGGCCCCACCCACTGCAGACAGGTTACCCGGGACCTCAAGGTGCGTAGCGTCACGCCGTCTACGCCTCGCTGATTGGCTCCTTCAGGAAGCCCCGCCCCTCTCAGCTGTGGCCGTGCCGGCTTCAGCGTCGCCGCCATCTTTGTTGATGTGTCAGCTCCGCGGGGGTTTGGGAAAAAACCGCGGCTGAAAGCGAGGGGTCTTCCCCCATCTCCGCTACTGTCTTTCCCGCCTACTTTTGGTCTGGCGGACTCCACCATGGAGAAGACGGCCCCTGAGCCGGAGCTCCAGAAGCCTCGTTAGGGTGCGGCCTGAGGCTTGGAGAAGTGGGGTAAGTGTTTTGAGGGGCGTCCGGGGCGGACTAGGGAGTCGCGGCGGCTTAGCGGGGCGGGACCCGACAGCTCACCTCCCCGCTAAGCGTGGCGGTCCCCGGCCAGGGCGAGCCAGCGCTCCGCCTGGCTTTTCGAGAGGAGTGGGGATGAAGGCGAGCGGCGGGGACGGGATCGGAGCCACTTGCTCTCCCCGCCCTCGGGTCCCGGGTCCCGGGAGGGCGGCGGCGGCGGGTCGGCCGGGGTCCGGGGGCTGTGCCTCGAGAGCGACGGGATTGGGGCGGATCTCCCGGGCTGCCGGTGGAAACTGCAGCGAAGCCCCACCTGCTCGGGTTGCTTTCATAGACTCAGCGTCTATGAAACGACTCTACGTCGCTCTTGGTTCCCGAAGTTGACCGTGTGCGTTCCGTGTTTACTGTTGTGCGACTTTTTACCCCTTCCAAAGTCTTCCGTGCGCTGCGATTTTAAGTTACTTAGAAGCGATTCTTGGCGGTTGTGGAGGAGAGAGATACTATTGTTCTTTGATTTTATGCTGCCTTTTAAAAAAAATAAAACAACGATATGAAGGCGTTTCTTAAAGCTTAGTTGTTAAGGAAGGAATTTCCAATTTTTATCTCCATCAAAACGTGTAAAATGGTGAAAACTTTACCTTCCCTCGTGTTTCCAAGTAGTAAGCCTGGGAGCAGTGCAGGTGTAATGATTGCTCAGCTGTTAACGCTTTAGCAACCTCAGCAGACACATCTTGATCTCTGCTTAGAGGAAAGCTGCCTGGATTTGCGGTCAGATGGTGTGGATGAGAAGCTGCTTTCACTGGGCGAGTGCTGCCTGTGGGACTCAGAGGAGAGCGCAGTAAAAATACTGTGGGCGCCGGGTACTTAGGCAGTTTTATCTGCCGGTGTGTCCTGTTCTCTGGATACCCAGCCTTTTCATTTCTTCTAAAACGATTGGCTGGGTGGTTTTCTAAGGCACCCAGACGTAGTAAGTCAGTGGAACAAGGTTTCAAAAGGCGTGTTGGTAGTGATTAAAAGAAAAACTAACCCACGATTAAGTGTTTAGGTATGTTGTGGGCGGGGCCTTCCCATCTATTAAACTACACCTTCCTATTTGCAGTGTCACTCTTGTGGAAAAGATTAAGGTTCAATAGACACTGATAGTAAACTGAAGTATTTGTGTATAAAGTACACCTTCCCCTGTGCAGCTACTGTCCAGTCTTTCTTTAGCCATCATTACACAAGTTAAAAACCCCAGTGATGATTGGCCTACTTTACTTCTTTGTTTTTGTTTCTTTTCTTTTCGCGTTATTTTAATTTCATTGAAGATACTAGGTTGCTCACAAATCTTGCAGTATTAAGAGTCAGCACTCCTTTTTACAGTGTAATAGGCAAACGTGTAATTACAGAAGAATCCCCTAGAAGATGCACCAGTTATGTTTATTGTTTTTAAGGCCTAGTTTAATTCATAGTAACTGCATATAAACTTACGGTTTCTTTTGATGTTAGAGATTCCATAAAATGTCATTAACATTTCAGAGTCGCCTAAGGAAGAGAGAGGCTATGGTGTAGCATATTACCACTCTAAACTTACAGCTCCCTCACTCATAAATTGAAAACTTGTCCTTTGATGTTATACAATGACAGTAGAGCCAATGATGCTTGCTTAGTATATTCAGTTTTTAAAATATGTTCATAGCTACATGCAAACATCATTAAAAACAACAGTGTACGCAAGACTTTAGGGAAGAAGTAACAGGTTGAAGCACAAAGAAAGCATATTTAGAGATTTAGACATCTTTCCTTTCGAAGAATGGCTATTATTCTGCCCTAGTTTACCAAAGTCATCTAACAGCTTCTAGTTAAAGTAAGATTCCTCAACCTAAAGTTCTGAGGCTTTTATTTCAGCAAAACTTTGGTTTTTCTTTTGTCCCTTAGATTTTTCTTTGTCCCCTTGTTCCTCTACCTTTAAATAATAAAAGCCAATTCTTGAATTTTTCACAAAGATGTCACTTGGCTTATATAATAGTTAAATATCTAGTATTCATTTTAGGGGCAGCAGTGGGATAGATAATTTGAATTTACAAACGATCCTCTAATCTTACATTGTTTCATTCTTGGCTGAGATTTAAAATTTTTGTTTGAGCTAAGTAAACAGAAGGAAAAATTTTGGAATAAAGAGGCAATAGACACCAATGGGAAATGAACCCCGGCATAGTTTTGACTGGAGTTTGAGTGTATTTCTTAAAAACAGTTGTCTGTCATTAAGACAATTGAGCTGATAGTATTTATGTAGTAAGTGCTAATGAATAACTTTTTGTGAACCATATCATACCAAATTAGCCAAACCCAGACCACAGGTGGCTTAAAAATTTAAACATTAACCAAAACTCTTTAATATAAAGCAGACTTAAAACTTAATTTTAATTTGGGGGGAAGAGGGTCAAAATTTTTTATTTTTCACATTTGGAAGAAAAATTACATAAAATATTTTCATATTAGACTCATTGAAGTGCTTCCAATTAAGATTTTTATATTAATAATTTCCTGCCTTAATTTTTTAAAATATTAAAGATATGTAAAATTGTATGGATCTAAGATACCAAACTTACATGACATAACTTGGTAATGTGATATATGTGACATGGATATACATGCTAGGCCAGCCTCTTTTCACTGAGCTACATGTGCCCAGCCCTCCTGGAATCTGGGTGGACCCTAATTTCTTTTTCTCCTAACAGGAGTAGGTACTGTTTGTGGTGGGGGAGGGTGTCCTGTTGTATCTACTGCCCTGAGCCTTTTAAAAACATTTCTGCATGTGGCTGAGAGGGAAGAGGGAGAGAATGTGAATGAGAGCGCACATACCATAAAATTCTTCCTGCCCAGAGTCTTGGATGCAGAGCTAAACAACCCCAACAGGCAGAATTGATCTTGACCTCATGTAACACTTGCCTGGTAAACTAAAAGCATTTATTTCAGTCTGTGTTTCACTTAAAGGAAACTCAATATATTAAGGTTAAAATTACCCCAAAAGCTTAATTAGGATTGACTTTAAAAATTATTGCTCTGTTCTGCAGAACTAAAGTCCTTTGAAGTAGCCAACTCAGCTTTTTATCTTTTAAAAGCAGAATTTGACCAGCATAACTTCACCTTATATGAAATTTCAGTGCCCTGTTTTCATCATGGGAAGCATGAAACTTAGCTTACAATATTTAAATGTTATATTTAGTATTCATTTTGGGGGGCAGCCGTGCGATAATTTAAATCTAAAAATGGTCCTGCAATCTATTTTTTTCACCTTCTGTCCTATGAGCTTTCTTAGCTGAAATTTTAAATTGTTGTTTAGGCTAAGAAGTAAACAAAAGGAAAAATAATTGGGGTAAAGTGGCAATAGACACCAAGGGGAAATGAATCCCAGCATAGGATTGACTGGATTGTGTATGCTTGTGAGAGTGTTTCTTAGATGGGTTTTCTTCTGTTCTGTAACTGTATTTTAAAAACTTCATCAGGGAAGAGTGTCTTTCACAGTTAATACATATGAAAATCAGTTATTTGGGAGTTGTGAGCAAATACTGTACTGAGCAAATGCTTTTTTAATTTGAATTTTGCTTCTGACTTTAATTGCCATTTCAAATTCTTGTTAGAAATCACCGGAAAGAAGGTTTTTTTTAATACTACTTTCAAAGTGTATTTGGGGAATATTTTTTTTTTTTAAGGAAAAAAAAAAAAAAACCTTTTGCTATACTTTTCCTTTAAAGGATAGTAAACCATTATGTTGAAGAACAGGAATGCTCTTGCAGGCTTAATTTGCTTATATTAATGGATATTATTTGAGAAGTAGTCAGTTGGTATTATTTGGAACTCAAATGGTACATAACCTAAAATTTTGTAGTTTGTTGTAAAGTATACTAATTTAAGACTTTTCTACTGGCTCTAAAACACATTTTTTTGTATATCTTCTGATGGAACAATGGCAGACCTTAAAATAATCTAATGTTAAAATTCTGTATGAGCTATTATGCTTTATTGGCAACAAAAAATGAAAATTAAAAGCTTTAACATAATCTTTGTGTACACTGGTCCACTGCACCTGAGGTATGCACCATGAGGGATGTCTTTTCTTAATTCACTGCCATGTTCTCAGCACTTAGAACAATGCACAGAATAGATGCTCAATATGTTTTGGTGAATGAATTAGTACTTTGGAAATTATTTCTGACTTTGGTAATAAATGAATGAGGCTCATTTATTTCTATTACCAGATAACATCTGTTACCAGATAGCTGTAGATTGGATTCATTTGTATTTGCTGTTTATTGAGTAAGCCCAAGTTTTTTGTTGTTTATAGAACTAATTAGTGGAAAAGCAGGAAGTAGAATCAAAAGCTGTTAAAAACAGTATCTTTATTTATGTAGCTTTTGTATGGGAATAATTTTGGAGAAATGAGTTCCTTCCTTAAGAAATGAAATTGGGGGTGGGGGTGGGTAATGTTTGGCTTTAAAGTAAATAAAAAGTGTTTCTTGATCAGTTGCCTACAGCTGATGAGCTCCAGCAAGAGCGAAACCAGTTCTCACTTACTGAAACAATTTTGAAGTGTGAATTGGTCCTGTAGTACTGTGTCAGAAACAGAAATTGTAGGAACAAAAAAGTGCTTGAATTAAGAGGAATGTTGTTACTGTTTTAAATACAGTATTTCCCCTACTGATTAAGAGTTACTAAAATGTCAAAATAAGTTGATTTTTTTTTTTACTTTGAAAAAGCAATGTATGTTGTAATCTATAGTTGCAATGCAATTACTATATATACATATGTATCTGTGAATATTAATTTGGTATGTATATGCACTTCTTTTTTTTTTTTGTCTTTCTTTTTTGGTGCTGGGATCGAACCCAGGGCCTCACGCATGCTAGGCAAGCGCTGTACCACCGAGCTACATCCCAGCCCATTGTATATGCACTTCTTAAAACAATCTTATAAACAAATTTTTACACCATCCCCCTTTAGTGTGCTACTAAGCTATTTTATCCTTAGTAAATTTGATAACAACTTCCCTCCCAAAAGAAAAAACTTGGACAGCATTCAAATTGGTCTACATCAGCATTGCCAACTGGAGGCCTACAGAATAACTCAGCTGACTGTCCTTTCTCCTAGTTAGTTGTGGAGTTAATTAAGCTTATCTAGTTGTTTTTGTCTGCTACCATTCTTGTATAATTTTTTATTCTGCTGATGACGTGGGTACATACACAAACATAGATCTTTGTTAACCTCCTTTTCCTTTGGTCTCCCATTAGTGTTCATTTGATCATCAGAAAACTAAATTTGCAGGCTCTAAGTGGTCCTCAGATGCCAGTTTATGTAATTACTTTTTCAAAGGTTATGTACTTATTAGACAATTTATAGAAAATACTTTTGAAGTTAAATTTAGTCTTCCTTACAGGATATGTAAAGCAGATTTTAACATAAGGTAGTCATACAAACAGGTTTTTTTATTTTTTTACCTAGCAAATATCCAGTAGGATGTAAGACAGATTTTTGTTCTGCATTGTCTTGTACACTAGAAGTCATCTTACAGCCTTACCCACCCATTACCTGGAGTGTTTGGCTCCAGATGCTGTGCAGAAATCCAGTGGGTCCTCCCGCCATTGAGAAACACTGAACAGCATTTGCAAAAATGAAGGGAAATGTAGTAGAGAATGTATTTGTGAGGTTTATCTATTGTTTGAGACTTTAGGAGTTTAAGTTCAGAGTGAGGTTCTTTCTCTAAAGAACAGAACTCATTTAAAAGTGACTGTTCAAAATGTCATAAGAAAGACTGCTGATGGGAATGTAAATGGAGCATGCTTTAATTTACGTGAGAGATTAGTTTTGTACTTAGGACAAGGGAAAATTTGGAGGAAAATGAGTCCTTTTAAACACAGTTGTTCTCTAGATAGACTGAAGGGAAGAACATTTTAGATGGTGACAAAACCATGGAAATTTTAATGTGCAAATTGGAGCATTGAGTAAGACTGGTGGGACTAGTATAGTAAGGCACTAGGATTTTAGGAATGTGTTGAGATAAGATTGTATAACTGGTTTTCTGAGGAATCAACTCTGAGGTATAAACATGAAAAGGTTTTGTTACTTGGTGGTACTGGAAGCTTGCTAGGCAGGTATCCTACCACTTGAGGCCATGCCTCCGGGCCAGCCTCAGGCCATGATCCTCCTGCCTGTCTCTGTGTAGTTGGGATCACAGGCATATTACCGTGCCCAACTTGTTTGAGGTGGGAGCCCAGGCTGGCCTTGAACCCCAATTCCCCCGATCGCCACCTCTCAAGTAATTTTGTTTTGTAAATGACTGTGACCTGTCTGAATTTTTAGAATAACCAAAAATGACAGAAATGTTATACCATCAGACCAAGACATTACTAAGGGACTGCACTTCAGAGGAAAAGTTGAGGGTCTGGAAGTATTTTACACAATATGATTAGAGACCATAAAAAATTAAAAGGCTGAGTCTTGTTCACAGCTGTAATCTCAGTTACTTAAGAGGTGGCAATCAGGAGAATTGGGGTAGTTAGGATAAAACCTTTGTAAATAATATAAAAAGTGTAATCTGACCTTATGAAATTAACGTTGCTTTTATTGATTTGGCAGTGCATATAGGCTCCATTTGATTTGCACTGAACATTGTTTTATTGCTGATGAGACTATTTGAAAATCACCATGGTACTTCCTGGATTGCTGCCAGGATGAAAAACAGCTCCTACAGGGATCTTTTAAGCCCTGACTTCCTTTTAGTTCAGAGCTAGGGCTCTGGGCTACAGGTAGTGGTGTCTTGTTTTGTTGTTTTGATTTGGATTTGTGGTACTGAGGGTTGAATCCAGGGCCTCACAATCATTCTTCCACTGAGCTACTACCCCCAGTCCTTTTGTTTTTATTTGTTTTTGAGACAGAGTCTCAAACTCTAGATCCTCCTGCCTCTGCCTCCCAAGTAGTTAGAATTACAGGCTTGTACCACCACGTCCATCACAAACCTATGATTGTTTTTATTTAGTTTTCCTTCTCAGGTGTGCATTGTTTTACTCTCTTGTTCTGTGGTTTCTAGTGCTTTCTTGGTGTCTTCACTATTTTCTTTCAGATCTTGCAGTAAGTAGTCTTTCCCCATCAGAGAGCTGAAGAATTGAATTTTAAACATTCTTTGGCACTCATCCTCCAGTTACAAGTACTATTCCTTACCTACAATCTTGTGGGGATTATTGGGAAATGCCGTACTACAACAGAAATTGGTGAAGTTAGATGACTGAAAAGAAGGAAAAAAACATTAAGATTTGGCAGTTGGCCCAACTGGTTTTAGCCAACTTGTGTTAGCTACCCTATTCTTTTTTGTCAAGCAGACTTTTATTAAAGGATTATTAGTGATAAAATTTGTGATCTTCCTTATTCCATGTCATGGAGTGTGCAAAGATGTATAGGGTCTTGGTTTAAAATTTTTTAAAAATTTTGATGTTTTGATTTCTTAGATGTAAAACGAAGATCAGAAGCATATTTGAAGAAATGCAAAGTGAATTGGTGCCAGTCAGTATGTCAGAGACAGAGCAGCACATAGCCTTTGTTTCCTCTGATAAAAATATTGGAAAAGAATCTGACTTAAAGGAAGACTCATGCAACTCATTTTCTGGTGATGAAAGCAGCAGATTAGAAATTGAATCCAAACTGTTGTCATTAAACTCTGATAAAATTTTATGTCAACCTAATGAACACAGTAATCAAATTGAAGTACATGAAAATTATATTACAGATCATGGTGGAGATGAGGATTCTTGTGTTAAAACAGACAAATGCTCAGAAAATTCTGAACAAACAGTTAACTTTCCTAGTGGAGATTTTGCAAAACAAGTATCAAAAATGAGTGAAACAGAACAGACAGTGACTCAACTATTGGCAGAATTAAGGTCATCTACACTTACAGAAGCTGCTAATCAAAAGACTTATTCAGCAAGTCCTTATGATACAGACTGCACCAAGAAACTTATTTCAAAGATAAAGAATGTTTCAGCATCAGAGGATTTGTTGGAAGAAATAGAATCTGAGCTCTTATCTGCAGAGTTTGCAGAAGAAAATCGAGTGCCAAATGGGATGAATAAAGGAGAACATGCATTAGTTCTCTTTGAAAAGTGTGTGCAAGAGAAGTATTTGCAGCAGGAGCATACTATAAAAAAGTAAGTCTTTTTTATTCCTTTAGGCATTTTTTTCCCCACAGGGTTTAGTTTTTTCCCCATAGGGATTAGAGATTGAATTCTTTTAAGGAAAGTATCATCTTGTCTACTTTTCATTTCACAGTAGAGCCGTGCACATAGTTGATCAATTAAAGTGTATTTACTGAATAATTGTCAGAGTTTTTGTAGTTACTTAATACTGTATCTAAGTCCAAAGGAATAAATGTAGTAAATGTAAGTTTATTAAAGAGCTTTTTATTATGACAACTCAAATCTTTCATTTAAAAAAAATATACAAGTATGTCAAAAACAAAAATCAAAAGAAAATTAGAAGTTGTAAAACTTAACATTTTTTTCTTAAAATCACCATTGTAAATTCTTAGTTTTAAACATTAAAATTTAGAAAACGGAGTAATTAGGTGATTACCATTCAGTAAATAAGAACTTAGACTTTTATACATCTCTTGGGTGTATGTAGTTAATTCTTTTTTACTTACAGTTTTTCATTCAGCCTTTTTCTTAATAGTGTATTGGCATGTATATTTATGTAGCTAAATGATGGATAGGTTTAGATGGCTTTTTTTTTTTTCCAGCTTTTAAGAAACTAATGTAAAACATATTAGGTTTCACTTACATGCTGATTCTTTTTATTTATTTATTTATTGCAGTGTTGGAGCTTGAACTCAGGGCCTACACCTTGAACCACTCCACCAGCCCTTTTTTTGTGAAGGGCTTTTTCAAGATAGGGTCTCGTGAACTATTTGCCCAAGGTGGCTTCGAACCGCAGTCCTCCTGATCTCTGCCTCCTGAGTAGCTGGGATTACGGTTGTGAGCCACTGGCACACGGCCACTGATTCTGTTTAAAATACAAACTTTTTTTTAATTGGGTGAGGACAGATATATAGAGAAAGGGAGTCTATGTGCTGGAGGAGGATGATGGAAGAAAATATGCCATAATCCAAGTATTGTTTGCTACAGAGTTGACTTTTCATGATATCCCTGCTTCTTGTCTTTACTTTTCCGTGTTATCTTGTTGAGTCATTCAGTCTTCCCTAAACCAGTTTACCCTTCATTGGCTTACCCAATAAACTTTAATCTCTTAGTGTCCAGGAGCTCCCCTTTTAAATTTTTTCTAGGTTTAATATATTTTTCATAAATAAATGTGATGAAATGCACATAGCATAAAATTTCCCATCTGTTCCTATGAACGTGACTACTCTTGATACTTCATATAAGTGGGTTCATACGGTGCTTGTCTTTTTGCCATTGGTTTATTTCTGTTATAATGTCTGCATGATTTATCCATGCTGTAGCCCTGTGTAAAATTTCCAAAAGGCCGGGTACTATTTTTAGTTTATATATATAATACATTTTATTTATTCATGTACACTTGGGTGCCTTCTCCCATTTGGTTGGTGTAATTCTGACATGGACACAGGATGTGTGTCAAAACTCCAATGCCCTCTCAGTACTCCCCTAAACTAACATTCTCTTCTACTCATCCTTACTGAAAATTACTTTTATATAAGTAAACTGTATGCTTTGTACTTGAACCATCAGTGCTTCTGCCACTCTTAATTTTAAGGTAGCTTTCTCCTTCTCTATACCTATTCTGTCAGACCTTCCTCTGAGGTTATCTCTAATGCCTCTTCCTACTTTCCTTAGGTATTGATTCTTATCATTTCATACATTTCTTGTAAGTTATACGGTATTGTATATTTAAAAATAATCACGGAAAACACTATTATGTACCTGGCACATCATGCATACTAACTCCTGGATTCTTCACAACTAATCTATGTGGTATATTACATTATTATCCACATTTTCAGATGAGGTACCTAAAACATGGAGAGATTAACTTGTTCAGGGTTGAATAGACGTTTAAAATCTAAGCCTTGTTAGTTCGGCTTCAGGTGTTTTATAAATGTAGTTATAAATTAACTGGTTTCAAATTGTTGAATTTATCTAAATATATGAGGAATACAGTTTTAAAAAATTGATTCTTCTCTTTTGCCCATCCTGTCAGAGCCATGGCAGTATGGTGGAATGCCATAGCACAATTTTAATCAAAAGCCTGGAGTCAAGTCAGGAGGTTCCCGTTGACATTTGCAAGTTCTGTTACATTGGTCAAATCAACCTCTTTGAGCCAAAAACTTTTCATGGAGCTAGTACTTGCTGATGGAACTTTTGTGGACATTAAGGCATTGTACAAATGTCAGATATTATTTTTAAAGCTAGGTTGATCATTTGTTATATATACAGTATTTTAACTCCAAATAAAATGCTTTGTTAATTCAGGCTAACTCTAAAACAACTTAATTTTTTCTTAACTTTATGCCTTCATTTAAATTTCTGTGAAGAAAACTACTTTTCAGTTGCTTTGACTGAAATGTTCATAAATGTCTGTTTCCAAATATCTTTGATTGTATGTCTATTCCCTTGTTTTCGTCCCTCCCCCCAGCTTTATTGAGATATAATTGACAAAATTATGTATATTTAAGGTGCACAATATGATAATTTGATATGGATTATGAAATAATTACAACAGTCAAGTTAACACATCACTTCCCTCATATGGTTTTGGTTTCCTTTCCTCTCTTTTCCTCTTATCCTCTTCCTTCTTCCCCTCTCTTCTTTCTCTGTTTTTCTTTTTTCTGCTGGGGATCAAACCCAGGGCCTCACACATGCTAGGCATGAACTCTACCACCGAGCTTATGCTTCCAGCCTCAATATGGTATTAACTATCCTTACCATGGTGTACATGAGATCCCCAGGGCTTACTCATCTTAGAACTGAAAGTTTGCACCCTTTGAGCGGTGTTTTTGCATGTCCTCCACCTTGTGGTGCCTGATAACCACCACTCCACTCTGTTTAACAAATCAATATTATAGTCTTAAGGGCCCAACCAAAATTCTTAATAACAGTTATCTGTGTATAGGGTGTGTACTTGGCATGTAAGAACAACAGTTTTGGGCCAGGGGTGTAGCTCAGTGTTAAAGTGCTTGCCTGGTATGCTTGATTGACCAGAAAATGTTTTTCTAACTATTTGACACATGGATCAACGAAGTGAATATTTAAGCTTGTTAACAAAACTGAGCTCTTTTATCTTAGCCATACTTCTGTGGACACGACTGGAAGCATTCTAGCCTTAAAAGTAGTGATGAGGACATGTTCTGAGAAATGCATCATTGGATGATTTTTATTCTCGTGTAAAGATGGCATTTTATTATAAAAAGATTACTTAGGAACATTAACATTATAATCATAGGTATCTTCTTCATAATCTACAAATAGATTATATTTCACACCTCATTTTTCTCCATTTTAAATTATGTTTTACTTATGCTGCCCTTTTATATTTAGGTTAATTAAAGAAAATAAGAAGCATCAGCAGCTCATCTTAGACATTTGTTCAGAAAAAGACAATTTAAGAGAAGAACTTAAAAAAAGAACAGAAACAGAGAAGCAGCATATGAGCACAATTAAACAGGTAAAAAGATAAAGACTTTAAAAACCATACTTTAACTCATAAAGTAAATACATTCCTAAAAAAAGTGTGTATAAATTGAAGTTCCGTATGTTAAATCATGTCTCAAATGTAGAGAATTGCTTGGTATTTAAAGCATTCTCTTATAAAGTGGGAATTATCACCTGACTTTTCTTTTATGAAAAATCTTATTTTTATGATACGTGTGACTTCTGCTAAATATAAAAAAAATCTTACTATGTTCAAAATAATCAAAAAAACAATTTGATTTGGTAGTTAAATGGACTATTTTTATCAGTTAAGGGAAGATTCAATAAATACCTAAAAGTTTAAATATAGCATTAGGATATTTTTATACTTACAGTTTAGCATTTTCAGTATTCAGTATTCCATTAAACTACGCTGTGAAAATGGGCTGTCAACTGTTAGATGGTATCTGATTGTACACTCAGAGCCTGCTGCTTGCCAACCAGGCACTCTATGGCTTGAGCCACTCTACCATCCCTTTTTCATTGGTTATTTTGGAGATCGTTATATACCGGAGCCAGCCTGGACCATGATCCTCCTATTTGTGCTTCCCAGCATAGCTGGGATGACAGGTGTGCTCCACCATACCCAGCCATTGGTTGAGCTGCCTTCTGAATAGCTAGGATTACAACAGCACCCAGCTTCTTTTTTTTTTTTTAAATGAGCTCCTCTGATGCATTGATCAACCAGTGAATATTTGGGCCTGCTAAACAAAGCTGAGCTGCTCTTTATCTTTCTGAGTTGCTTTTTCTTCTCTGGACAAGATGAGAAGCAGTATTTCCTTAGAAGTACAATCACTTAGTGACAAGGACATGGTCTGAGAAACCATCATTAGGCAGTTTCTTTCCTCCTTGTGTGAACATCGTAGGGTTTACTTAAACTAAAATGGCTACAAGGTCACTAGGTGACATGATCTTTTTGGACCCTATATGCAGTCCATCCTTGACAGACATGTCATTGTGCAACTCATGGCTGTATTTCCTTTTGTTTCATCTTTTTCAGAAAGCTGTCTAAAGACAATAATAGCAAACAATTAGGAATAATGTAATAAAAAATAAAATGAAGTTTTTACTTGCTTATGCTTTGGTACATATTTAATCTGCCTTTATACAGTTGGAAAGTGTCTGTATTTGTAAGAGTTTATTCACAGTATTCAATCCTGATTTTCATGTGCTATGAGGCCACTACATGTAAACCAAATTTAGTAGGCTAAAGCATAAGGGAGCCTTAATAGTCTGAATCCATATTTCATTTTTTGTTTCTTTTTAATTGTCATATTGTACTGGAGTTACATTGTGATATTTACAAAATTGAACCCATATTTCAAAGTCTGGTAGCTGCTGACAACCAAATGGGGTGGAACCAGTGCTCTTCTTTTCACAAGTTTATTAGTAGTTGTACCTTTAAAAAAAAAAAAAGAATATTGTATTCATCTATCTTTTGCCAGTGTTTAGAGGACTTTTATTCTTCTAAACAGAAAACTAGTATAAAGGTTTTCTTAATTTTGTCTCTAGATCTACACTGTCCAATATGGTAGTCACTAGCCAGATACAGTTATTCAACATGTGAAAGATGGCTAGTCCAAATTGACAGGTGCTATAATTGAAATACACACCTAATTTAGAAGACTTAGTACAAAAAATGTAAAATAGTCATTTTTTCCATGTTGAAATTATAGTTTGGATTTATTGGATTTAATAAACAGCTTCACTTGTTTTTGGTCCTTAAAATGTGACTACATGAGGCTTGTATTTCTAACGGGACAGTATTCAAGATAATTTTATTTTAAGGAAAATTGATACCATGTACCATAAGCTAATGTTTAGGGCTTTTACATATTTATTTATTTTTTTATAGTAGGACTGAGGTTTGAACTCAGGACTTCACACTTGCAAAGCAGGCACTCTACCTCTAGAGCCACACTTCTAGTCCATTTTGCTCTGGGTATTTTGAAGATGCGGTCTTGAGAACTATTTACCCTGACTGGCCTCAAACCATGTTCCTCCCTGTAGTTAGGATTATAGGTGTGAGCCACCAGCACCCAACTAACAGGTGTTTTTTTTTTTGTTGTTTTTAAAGATACAATTCACATACCACACAGTTTGCTCATTTTAAGTGTATGTTTCATGGCTTTTAGTTGTGCAACCTTCACATAGAGCATTTATCACCCCAAAAAGAAACCTTGCACCTATTAGTAATCAGTCTTCATTTCCCTCCAACACTACCCCCACCCCTAGCCCTAAGGAACAACCAATCTTTCTGTCAGTACATATTTGTCTCATCTAAACATATTTCACATAAATGGAGTAATAAAAGTAGCCTTTTGAGATTAGTTTGTTGCTGTATTTTTTTTTTCGGTGGTGTAAAGGTTTGAACTCGGGGCCTGGTACTTGCTAGGTAGGCTCTGCCACTTGAACCACTCTGCTAGCTCTTTTTTGTGTTGGGTATTTTTGAGATAGAGTGTCATGAACTATTTCTCCTGGGCTGTCTTTAAACCATGAACCTCCTGATTCCAGCCTCCTGAGCAGCTAGGATTATAGGTGTGCACCACCGGCCCCTGGCCCACTGTATTCTTTATTTTCTTTCTTTCTTTTGGCCTTAGGTTCTTCCAGGGCCTTATGATAGAAGTTAATGGTTTGAGATCTTTCTTTTTGTAGGCCGTTATAGTTAGAAATTACACTCTAAGCATTGCTTTGAATGCATCCCATAAGTTTTTATGTTATGTATTGATACTTTTCATTCGCCAAATAATGCTAATTTTCTTTATAATTTCCTCCCAGGGGTTATTTAGGAATATTTTGTTCAACTTTTTTAGAAATTTATGAATTTCTCAAATTTCTTTCTGTTACCATGTTCTAGTTTCATTCCATTATGGTTGGAGAATATATTTTGTATGATTTCAATCTTTTAAATTCTTTGAGGTTTGCTTGTAACCTAGCACTTGTTCTATCCTGAAGAATATTCCATGAGCACTTGATGAGGATGTGTACTCTGCTGTTGCTGTGTGGTGTATAGTATAGATATATTAGATCCATTTGTTCTGTAGTATAGTTTAGTTTCCTGTTTCTTTGTTACTTCTCTGCCTAATTCTATCTGTCTTTGAAAGCAGAGTATTGAAGTCTGTAACTATTGTTGATTTGGCTATTTCCTCCTTCATTTCTGTCAGGTTATTTGTTTGTGACAGAGTCTTACTATGTAGCCAGGCTGGCCTGGAACTAGCAATCTTCCTGCCTCAGCCTCTCCTGAGTGCTGGGGACTCCATCCCCAGCTCATCATTGTCAATTTTTGCTTCATGTGCTTTGATAGTGTTACTGTATGTCTGTTAGATCTTTTTAATTTTTGATGGATTATGCCATTTATCATTATGAAATGTGCTTTATTTTGTAACATTTTAAAATCTGTTTTGTCTGATAATTAGTACAGCTACTCCTACTTTCTTGATTGCTATTTACATGTGATATCTTTTTCCTTTCTTTTAATTTTAATCTGTTTATCTTTTGGGAGGGGGAGACAGGTTTTCACTATGTAGCAAGGCTGACTTCAAATCCATAATTTTCCTGCCTCAGCCTCCCCAGTGCTGTTTGTATCTTTGAACCTTAAGTGTTTCCTGTAAGACAGTTTATAGTTGGATCTTGTTTTTTGTTCCAGTATGTCATGTTCTGCCTTTTGATATGATTAATCTTATTTCACTTAATGTTATTGATAATTGCATTTATATCTGTTTTTTGTTTTGTTTTATTTCTCATTCTTTCCCCTTATTCTTCCTTTTCTGCTTTATTTTACACTAGCCAAATATTTTATAATGTAACATTTAAATTTTCTTTGTGATATTTTCACTGTACTTCTTTGAGCTATTAGTGAATGCTTTAGGGCTTACTATAGATATACATATACGTATATATATATTTACACACACACAAATACATGTGTGTATACTTTAATGTATCACAATCTCTTTAGATTTATATAACTTAATTCCAATGAGATCTGGAAACATTGCTGATAGTTTTGATTTCTGTGATTGAAGTGTACTTATTTCATTTTTTACATTGTGCATTATTTATGTAAGGTGTGTTTATTTAGTATAGCTATAATAATAATTTATAATTGAAATAATTTTCTTTACAGTTAGAATCAAGACTAGAGGAACTTAATAAAGAAGTTAAAGCTTCCAAAGATAAACTAGTAGCTCAAGATACTGCAGCTAAAAATGCAGTTCAGCAGTTACACAAAGAGATGAGCCAACGGATGGAACAGGTATTTTGCATATCATTATCATTATTAGCTTTACAGCCTGGTGACGCTGCCTTGTTTATTAAAATAAACTAACTCTGTTAGGTCATGGTATATTTAGAATAGGTAATAATCTTTATTTTCTAAAGATTGATCTTTTAAAGTGCTGAAATAACACATAAATATGTACGTTATAAAAATAAAGGAAGTATGTGCAACAAAAAATGAAAGTCTTCCCTCATCTCTGTTTCTTTCCCTGCCTTCCAATCCTTTTATAGCTTATTTCTTTCTATAGCTAGTTACTGACATTTTGGTTATGTATCATATCACATATGCATGTACAAGTTATACATGCTTATGTGTATGTATTTGTATTATGCTGTTTTGTGTTGCCATAACAAAGTACCTGAGTCTAGGTGCTCTATAAACAAAGGACTCTCATTTAGCTTACAGTTCAAGAAGTTGAAGAGCAAGGCAACATAGACAGTGTAGTTGTATAGGCCATGTCTGATGACCCTAGAGGAGGCAGACCTCACGCACTCTGCCTTCATTCCTGAGCTTCTGCCCAGTGCCTCCTGCTGGCTAACCCCAACTGGAAGTTTGAGGGTAGGAGAATTTATTAATATGGTTCATGGTGGTCATCTTCCTGGAGTAAAGGTTGGGACAGAAAAGAGAAAGAAAGTGGGTCTGGAGTAGTAAATGCAAAGTAGCAACCGTATCAGCCAAAGTGCAGGGGTAGGAAAGAGCAGAAGGCAATACTCGTGCTAGATCATTTTCTGTAATTGTGAATCTTTCCCTTTATCTCAAAATTCTGCAACATAATCCTAGGAATGTTGTTGAATAAAACAGTATTATTAAAGGAAATATTTATTTTCATGTATTTTATTTGAAGAAAGTGTATTTATGTTAGATAATGTATTTTTTAAAAGGCCAATAAGAAATGTGAAGAGGCACGCCAGGAAAAAGAAGCAATGGTAATGAAGTATGTAAGAGGTGAGAAGGAATCCTTAGACCTTCGAAAGGAAAAAGAGATACTTGAGAGAAAACTTAGAGATGCAAATAAGGAATTTGAGAAAAACACTAACAAAATTAAGCAGCTTTCTCAGGAAAAAGGACGGTTGCAGCAGCTGTATGAAACAAAGGTATAACTTGTGCCATTGTACCTTATGTGAAATTTAGTCTCTTTACTTTTCCTTAATCAAATAATGCTATAATTAAAACACTCAAACATAGTTATTTTTGTTAGTTTACTTACTAAGAAATGAATCCTTTACAAATTACAGTATCTCATTATCTGCCTCCAGAAAGACTTGTTGGAGAAAAGATAAAGTGTTGGCACATGTATATTTGGTAACTTTTTCTTGATAAATCTATCTGAAAACTTTTTTAAAGATCTGTATACTAGAAAAATTAGTTTGTTCCTTAAGAGTATATCTTGGTAAAACATATATATAGTACTGTGTGAAGTATGAATAGTTTTAGAGACCCAGAAATATAATTTGGCCAGATTTTTTTTTTTTTTTTTTTTTTGTGGTGCTGGGATTGAACCCAAGTCCTCATACATGCTGGGTAGGTGCTCTGTTGCTGAGCTGCATCCCCAGCCCTGCCCAAAATAAATGCAGCATTTATTTGCCATAGAACAGAATTTATATTTTTCTTAGAGAAAAATATATCCTTCTTTGATGCTGTCCTAGAGGGTTTAATTAGTGAGCTAGCTATTCAGAATCCTTGCTGTTACTTTTAGTACAGAAAGGAATTCTAGGAAAACCAGGTTAGTTAATTAATATTCTAACTTAATGCCAGTTAAGAGTCACAAAAGTATGCTTGTCCTTATAACACATTCAGTTGGTTAAAATACACATGTTAATCAACTTCATGTCTATTAGTTGGGTTTAAGATTTTACCGCCCTCTTATCATTTGAACCTTAAATCACATTTATGGCTGTGGATCATAGTACCGGTCCTTCAATAATAGTGTTATTGCACTAATTACTTTCAGGGGGAATGTAAGTTACACAGATAATTAGTTGATTATTTAAGTGAAAAATATGACCTAGTGATATTATTTTAGGAAGGTGAAACAACTAGACTCACCAAAGAAATTGACAAATTAAAGGAAGATATCAACTCTCACATCATTAAAGTAAAATGGGCACAGAACAAATTGAAAGCTGAAATGGATTCACACAAGGTAAGTACTGTGATGTAATGGAAGAATTTGAGTTTTAAGAACAAATATTGTAATAGTCAATGAAGCATGAAGCTTACTTTAGCAACTTCTGCAAGATAACTTGGACCTGAATATTGAGCAATTATGAAAAATAAATTTTGCATGATTTACTTATTAAGTGGATCGGAATGTTAAATTTTATCATTCATGCATGATTTATAACACCCAAATTTACCATTTTCTTTAAGCATTTTTTTGCTATGCAAAATTTGGAGGTAATTTCCACTTAGGAATGTGAATTACCAAAATTGATAGTAAACTCTGGAAAGATTGAAAATACCAGTGATGCTGAGATTCTTACAATATAAACTCTTATTTTAAATATAATGAATATAGCCAGGCACAGTGACTCACACCTGTAATTCTAGTTACTTGGGAGGTGGTGATTAGGAGGATTATGGTTCAAGGCCAGCCTTGGCGGGGAGGGTCATAAAACTCCATCTCAACCAACTCCATCACAACGCCATGCCCATCTCAACGCTGGGCATGGTGTTGTGCACCTATCATCCCAGCTATGTGAGAAACAAATAGGATTGTGGTCTAGGCCCACCCTGGCATAAATATGAGACCTTATTTGAAAATAACTAAAGGTAAACTGAGAATGTGGTGGCTCAAGTGGTAAGGGACCTACCTAGCAAGCATAAGGCCTTGAGTTCAAATCCCAGTATTGACCAAAAGAATTTTTATATAAATATATAATGAATCTAATATGAATGAGTGCTCTTAATGGTTTTTATAAATATTATTCCCTTGATACTATGATAACATTTTTTGGCAGTGATGGGGCCCAGGGCCTCACAAATGTAGGCAATTGCCTTATCACCAAGCCACATCCCTACCTCATAAAATGTAAAAAAATTTCTATCAGGAAAAGTAATTCATACAAACTGGTACCTGATGTTATAACTTGAAAAACAAACTGAGCTGGTATTTGAGATAGTAAAAATCTGCAGCAGATAGAATGTGAATTAAAAGAACAACTCTGAAATGTGACTTAAACAGAAGAGCAGTGTTATGAAACTATCATGTCAGTTTCCACATTTTTGCAAATAAGCTTAATGATACTCTTTTAAACCATGATCTTGGATTATCTCTTTAAACAATTCCAAGTCAATAGAACAATAAATAACCTATGGCTATTTGGATATTAATAGAAGAGAAAGCTGAAGGTAAGAGTAGTCTATGTTGATAGTGGTCAAAGGTAAGTACACAGCACAGGGTTAGATAATATGGAGGATATAAAAGGCATAAAAGACACAGATATTGCTTTCAGAGCGTGCCTGGGACAGGACCCTGCTTACCTATTTTATATGTTTATCTAGTGGATGTGAGAGGGACTCTCTGGTCAAAGGGTACAAAATTAAATCATGATCTCTGCCGTGTTGGCTACTCCTTGAAAGGTAGACAAGTGAAACGAGTCTCTTAGTAAATTTTTCCTGGGCCCTGCCCAAGTCCTACATACCAATACTGGAGTCCTGTAATTGCTGGATACATTTATGAGCATTAGCTTCTGGTCAGGTGTCCATTGCATATAACCAGAACTGAAGTCTAGACCAGATAGACTAGATACCCAGATTAGCAGAACAACTGTAGAAACTAATTGTTCCCTTGCCTTAAACTATTTTGGGGATTTAACCAAAATTATTTTTAACATTTCACCTCTAAAATCAAAAGCCTTTTATTTTGTGTACAGTGAATAGTGGAGTGAGACTGAAATACCTCATTATTTGTTCACCAGCATGGATGCTGTTTTCACCTGCCTGACCGTAGAGTAAGATGGTCTCATTGGCTGACCAGACATGGCTGTGGTTCTTTGGCAAAATGGTTTGGCTGTGCTGGGTGCTTGCTAGACATTTCTGTTTCAGAGAAAGCTACAAGAGGGATCAAAGCAGCAATTAGACCAGCAGGATGCAAATTATTGTATATTATATCGTTCCTAATAGGTGACTAGAGTTGGTATATTTTGTGTTTTCCTTCCACTAGATCATCTAGTGCAAGACTGTGCTACTTAATATGCTCTTCTCTCAGTTATTCTTAAATGGTTTGTTTTCTCAGAAGACTCACCATTTAGAAGCTGGAACTTACTGTATTTTAAGCTTTGCTGTTTCATCCCACTTAGTAAGCTCTATTCTGTTCTGTAATTGTTCTGTAACTATATTCTCTTGATTGTACTCCATTGCATTACAGAATAACAAGGTTCAGATTTTTCCTCCTGCTTTAAAAAACTAAAAAAAGACAGACAAAAATTGAAAAGCAAATAAAAGAAAATATATAGGAAGTGAAGGTTTTCAGACTTAACACAACAGGCTGCATAGGACAGTGATCCTCAGGTGAAGGAAAGCAAGTAAGATATAATGCCAGTAGATTTTCAGGCTCCAGTACAAGAAGCGGAAGCAGACTTCCCAGCTTGAGGCAGCGTTCAAGGTATAAGAACAGGGAGGACAGAATTATAAGAAGAAAAGGGAATAGGGTCAACAATCCTTAGCGCTCACATGAGGCTAGGACCTGTTCATGTTTTCACCAGCCAGGGAGAAGAGACCTCTTAACACATCAAGCATTAAGTAGCCCTCAGTAGGGTATTGTGTTAGTTGTGGGGACCAATTAGCCTTAGATTAAAGTCTGTGTGGACCAAACTTACACAGTTTTAAAAGCAAACTTGTTTCAAACAAATTAACTGTGTCCTAAAAGTCCAAGAATATTTAAATGACTATAAAAATGTCAGCACCCAAAAGGATAAAATTCACTATGTTTGGCATCTAGTGAAAAATTACCAGCTTGTAAAGAAGCAGGAAATTGTAGTCCATAATGAGAAGAAAAGAATCAATCAATAGAAACAGATGCAGAAATGGCACATATTTTAATAGAATAGACAAGGATATTAAAACAGCTATTATTCAAGGACATAAAAGCATGAATACAATGAGGAAAGACATAGAAGACATAAAGACCAAATTGATATAGTGTCTAAAACGAAAAATATGTTGGATGGAATTAACAGATTAGATACTGCCAAAGATAAGATTAGTGTACTTGAAAACCTAACAGTAGAAAAACTATGTGGCTCTCAGATTTATCACTTCTACCCAGAACTCCAGATTCACATACTCATCTGTGTACTTGGCATCTTAAACTTAATATATCTAAAATTGAATTAATAATTTGCCTTCCCTCCACTCATTCCTTATCTCAATAAGTGGCAATCTATTCTTTTAGTTGCTCAGGCCAAAAACCTTGGATTTATTTGATTTCTGTCAGTCACCATATCAACCTTGCACCCCCTCAGCAAATCCCTCAGCTCCTGTCTTTAAGTCTTTACTTACCTGTTACCTTCTCAGTTAGACTTTCTTGGCTATTCTGTCTTAAACTTTCAGTACCTCCCCACTTTCAGCACCTCCTTAGCACTTGTCCGTAGTATAGCAAACATGTCTTTTACTTAGTTATTTTATTTTTTAACTCCATCATTAGAATATCAGCTTCATGAGGCTGTTTTCTAAAACACATGGTTCCCTGGAACATAGAATAGTGCCTGGTACATAGTTGGTGCTCAATTAATGAATGAACAAATGAAACACAGTTCCCTAACCCAAACATATTTATTGTAATTCTTATATGTCCTTTATTTAAAAATTCATTTAATAAATATTTGTTTGGCATGTAGGACTCTATTGTGATTTTTTGAGCGAAGAGGTAGGCACCTCCTATATGCCAGGTTCTGTTTTGGTTATTGGTATAATATTAGTCAGGGGTAAAACAGAATTTCTTCTCTCTTCTCTTACTGAGTTTAGAGTTTAAAAAAATCAATATTTGAAAAAATATCCAGATTGTTTATGTTTTAAAGTAATATACAGTTTTAATGCAAATCAATTTATTATCAAGACAAGTAACTAAAGTATGTTACTGAGTACTTAATTGTATGACATTTATCAAAAAAATGACACATAAGAAGCAGTTGTGTGGCTGGGCATCGGTGGCGCATGCCTGTAATCCTAGCTACTCAGGAGGCAGAGATCAGGAGGACTGCGGTTCAAAGCCAGCCCTGGCAAATAGTTCCGCAAGACCCTATCTTCAAAAACCCTTCACAAAAATAGGGCTGGCAGAGCAACTCAAGGCGAAGGCTGTGAGTTGAAGCCCCAGTACCACCAAAAACAAAAGAAGCAGTGTGTGAAGCATAGATACAATTTAAATGGTTCAAGAGATGAAGGGAAAGTAGAAGAGCAGAAAAAATGGAGTAAAGGGAATGCATATTTGCTGTTTGGGGAGACCAACCTAACTAAGCAGAAGGTTTATATTAGATGTTCCTTCATTAATCCAACACATAGCAGTTGAACAATTAACACATGACAATTACTAAGCTAGTTGCTGTCCAGAAGCACATGCTCAATTGAGGAAACAGATGAGCTACAGTGTGGTGTGCCAGTTGTTAAGAATTCGTGGCGTCCCTAGATTATGCTTACGGGAAGGCAGATGGCATCTACCCATTTCTGAAGGGAAGCTGCTCAGCTGAAATCCACATGCTAGGCCAAACCACAGCACTGGATCAGTTCTCAGAAGAATTATAGAGGAAGAGAATAGGGCCAGGGCTGCGTCTTCCTAAATCCCCACAGAGACTAAGAAGCCAATCAGCAAGCCATGAAGAGGAGAGAATGATATCTTGCAGCGGACATAGGAAGGGTGTTTTAAGACTTGGAGCCCAGGACGGGAGCAAGTAAATAAAGAGTGAGAAAACATAATTGAATTTGGTGAAAAACCTTCACAATTGCCATTTTAGGAGAATGAAACTAAATTGAAACAGAAACTAAATTGTAGCATCAGTCAGTTTTAGGCCGATGCCACACCCATGAAAAGAATTGTTTTTTACCATTACGTCAAAGAATTGTTTAACACTTTGCTCTTCTTATCAGGTTAGTAACTTTTAGTAATTGAATGAAAACTATCAGATATAAGTTATTTAATGTTTTTCAGTTAACTATTCAGACTATTTTAACTTCCTGTCAGAAATAAAATATTACTAGAATAGTATCTGACCCAAGATTGCAGTGCTGGGACAAGACCTTTACTCTACTGCTCACTTCTCACCATTCATCATATTACCGTGGCCAACTATGTCTCTTTCTTTTTGTCAATGAAGGAAACCAAAGATAAACTCAAAGAAACCACAACAAAGTTAACACAAGCAAAGGAAGAAGCAGATCAGATCCGACAAAACTGTCAGGATATGATAAAAACATATCAGGTAGGTTTACCTTTTCAGATAGACTCATAACCAGTTATACTGATTATCAGTGCTTTGGTTTCATTAACTTTCTAGATTTGCAATATTTGAAATGTAGACTGGATTAGGTAGGACAGTTAAATAAAAGGCAGGTTACTTCCCATGTTAAAGTACCTGCAGCTCAAATGATCTTATGAGGGAAGTATTCAACCAAATAAAATTACTACAAAATGTCAGAAGAATGGAGAGTGCAAGGAAATATAACTTAAAAAAAGAGATATAGACAACTCTGAATTCCATTATAAATCCTAAGTGTTACCTTGTTACTGCAAGATTAATATACTTTAAGTTTTTGTTGCATTTTTCAATTTTAGATACGTGAGCTCTGTGATTCACAATTAGCAAACTTAATTGCTCCAGAGCTTTCTTCATTTTTCAAAAATTTAAAAAATTGTCATACTTTTCATTTTCTTTCCATTAGGAATCAGAAGAAATTAAATCAAATGAGCTCGATGCAAAGCTTAGAGTCACAAAAGGAGAACTCGAAAAACAAATGCAAGAAAAATCTGACCAGCTAGAGGTGAGTAGCTTTGTTCTTTGTCTTAGATGAAGAGAAATAAGTACTTGTTGCCATCAGCTTTTAAGGCCTTCTAGAAGCAGCAGGTAATAAATTTTATATCTACTTTAATGTATTGTGATATGTGCTTTTTTTTAAAGATGCATCATGCCAAAATAAAGGAACTAGAAGATCTGAAGAGGACATTTAAGGAAGGTATGGATGAGCTACGAACACTGCGAACAAAGGTAATCAGATCTTTACTTGTAACTCCAGAGTAAGGGTTAAAATCTTTAACTTAGAATGTACTCTAATTTTTAAAGTGGTTTAGTGGAAAGATAGAGAAACTTTCCAAAATAAAAGAACTCGGAGTAGAATGGCAGTTCCCTAGTACCATATCAATTCTTGTTGAAAAGAAAGCATCTTCCATGTTAGAGCCTTTGAACTGTTGCCAAACATTCCTATCTTGTCGCACATCTGCTGTATCTACAACTTATTCTGGGCCTGCAAGCTTAAGATCAGCAAATCAATTGGAAAGATAGTTGTACCTCAGATCTCTGTTAGGAAGAATAGGAAGACTTTCTTCATATCTTTTCTGGATAATCTTATTAAATCTTTTCCAGTGTTTATAGTCTTTGTCAGAGTAATATTATTTTTAATATGAATATGATATATTATTATTGTATATCATTCATTTATTTAGAAGTAGGCTTTTAAATAATCACCTTGAATTTGAGATCACCTAACTAATTTTCGGTGTTTTTCATATACCTTCCTATTTGTTCTCCATGTCAGCTCTTTAAGTCAGATAGGGAAGTTATATCCTTCTTTTTCAGATGAGGAAATAGAAACTCAGTAAAAACAATATGACATGATACTAAAACTATGACTAAATATGAGACTGAAATCCAGGACTGTTATCTTTGTGTTATATTTTCTTCATACTAATACTACTTTAGAATTCAAATCAGGTTATTAATATGTAGGCACTACCTGAAATAGTTTATAAGGAACAAGAAAAGGTGCTTGTTTAACTTGGTTATGATCATTTGATAGACAAAATGCCTAGAAGATGAACGATTCAGAACAGAAGATGAGTTATCAAAATACAAAGAAATTATCAATCGCCAAAAAGCTGAAATTCAGAATTTATTGGACAAAGTGAAAATTACAGATCAGATACAGGAGCAGCTTCAAAGGTACAAAATGAACAACTTCTTTCTTTCTCCTGGTTCCATTTTTTAAAATGTAATCATTGCATCAAACAATTTTTATAATTCTGCTAGCTAAAAAATTAAAAATTTTTTTCTTCTTTGAATTTTTTAGACTCTTTGAGCTTTTGTCATGGCTTCTAAAAAAATCAAAGTTTATGTTCCCTAAACTATGACAATTTATAAGAATAGATTTAGTTAGTTAGGTTCTTTATCCATTCTTTAGCTGTCAAATTCTGTTATTTATGCACAGTACTTAATTTTTCTTCTAAAAGGTAAATGTAGATCTGTATCTAGATCTTCACAAGCATGTAGCTTGAGGTCATTCCTTGACTTCTCATAAAACCATTTAACCAAACTCTGTTCATGACATTATCTGGCAGGCCCTGGGTTTAGATGGAATTCAGATAGTGTCTTCTTTCTGGATCTTACCTGTACCCAAGCAGCTGAGTGCTGTTAAAGAAATCTTTACTATCATCCAGATTGATGCTGCTGTAAATTTATGGTTGCCAGCCTCAGGAATGTTAATGCACTTTTCCTCCTCACACTTTGGACTTTCCTTTTACCTCTATTTATGCCTGGCACGTGATTACTTCTTTACAGGAGAAAAGGAACTAACTGTCCTTTGAACTGCCTGCACCTGCAACCATTCTTTCTTTTGCTTCTGTTATCATGGAAGAAATGTTTCTACTCCTCTCTGCACTGGATTATTCTTTCTTTCTATTTCTGCTGTGGTTCCATGCTCTTCTATCTTCTCAGGACTTTCTTGATTATTCCTTCTTTATTTATACTTTATTTCTTTTGTATCCCTACTGACTTTCCTTTCTTTCTACATCTAAATTTGAATGTACATCACTTCTCTGCCTTTTGGCTAAGGTAAAGTGTAAATACAAGTTTATCTTTTAAAAAAATTAAAACTCTTGTGACCTTCCCCTACCAGCTTATTTTTCTCATTCTTTCACAACCAAAATTCTTTATAGAGCCAGGCACCAGTGGCTCATGCCTATAATACTCACTATTTGAGAGGCTGAGATTGGGAGGATTGCAGTTTGAGGCCAGCCCCAGCAAGTAGTTCATGAAACGACCCCCCCACACACACCCCCATCTCCAAAATAACCAAAGCTAAAATGGACTGGAGGTGTGACTCAAGTGGTTGACTCAAGTGGTAGAGCGCCTGCTTTGCAAGGGTGAAGCCCTGAGTTCAAACCCCAGGCCCACCAAAAAAACCCAAACCCTACTTTATAGAATCTCCTACACTTGCTATCCATTTCTCATTTCCTGTGTTTTATTTCTTTCCACTTTATTCTAGCTGCTACTTCAGCATTCCATTAAAAGCTAACACCATGGGCTGATGGAGTGGCCCAAGCAGTAGAGCTCCTGCCTTGCAAGCACAAGGTCCTGCGTTCAACCTCCAATACCTTAAATGTGGTGGATATAGCTCAAACCCAGCCTTCCTTGAATTTTTACTATCTTTTGATACCACTGGATTCATTTTTCTTGATGTGCTCTGTTCTTTTGGTTTTGTCTTCATCATGCTCTCCACTGTTCATCCCTTCTGGTACTCTTTCTCAGTCTCATTGGTGGGCTTCTCTTTCTGTCAGAAAGTCCTCTTCTAGGCCATTCTTTCATGCCTAGATGATGCCAGTTATTCCTCTCATGTGCTGCAGGCTTTTTGAATCATTGTCTTATGCTCTTTTGCTTCTCTGAAAATACCAAAAGCACTTCAAATTTTAACATGTCCAACATGGATTCCTTTCTCTTACCTGCAAACATGATCCTTCTCTCCTGTTTTTGGGATGAGCAATGAGTTGAGTGTAGCATCCACACTTGTCTGATCCAAAAACTTGGTGACCATCCTTGGCTCTTATCCTTCCCTTCATATATAAGGAATCACAAAGTATTACTGTTTAAAATCTTTTCATGCCATTTACTTTGTACATCCCCACTGCTACTACCATAGTAATAGCCATTGTCATCTGGAATACTGCCGCTGCATATAAACTGGCTTTTTTCCTTGCTTCATCTCCACTCCATTTCCTGCATGATCATTAGCATAATCTTTTTAAAAAGATCATCATCTCAAAACTTTTCAGTGATTGCCTGTTTACTCAGATTGCCTGGCATGACTTAGCATGACTTGTAAAATAAATGACCTGTCCCTGTCCCTCTGTGCCTTCCCTTTCTTCACCCTTGTATTTTTGCTAAAGTCAGTAACAAAGGTTTATGGATTGTGTCAAGCCTTGTGTGTTAAGTGCTAGGGATATAGTATCGTCCTTGTTATCATCAGTATTAAACGTCTGGTAGTACCAACAAGCAGTCCTTTTGTTATTCCCTTCCTGCCCTTAGCACACATTCTTCTCTTTACTTAGAACATACTCTATTCTCCCACTGACTCCTGCTTTTCCTTCAGGTCAGGGATCAAGAGAGTATGACCTACGAGCCAAACCTAGCCCACCATTTCTTTCTGTAAATGAAGTTTCTTTTTGTTTTTTGGGGTTTTTTTTGGAACATAGCCGCATGTATTGTCTATGGCTGCTTTCACACTACAATGACAAAGTGTAACTGAAATAAAATCCACATGACCCAGAAGCCTAACTTAAAACTGTATGGTCTTTTATAGGAAAAGGTTGTGAAACCTACTGAAAGTATTAGTTTGAGCTTCACTTATACAAGTTTAGGCAACCTGCTCTGTGTTTTCATCAAAAATGTGTGATCACACTCGTGTAATTTCCCTACTAAATGAAAAGCTCTTTAAAGCAGGAGCCATGCTGGTCTTTCTCACTTATCTTCCAGCTCTTATTTCCTGTTATATATTAAGCATTCATGAATATTTGGATGAATGAATAAAAGTACCTATATAAGCCGTTTCATTAAATGAAAATTACTAAACCATTAATTAAATGTTAACTTTTTCTTAAATATAAACTTTGGTTTTTAGAAGTAAGCAAGAAATTGAACATTTGAAGGAAGAAGTGGGAAGTCTTAATTCTTTGATTAATGACTTACAAAAAGACATTGAAGGCAGCAGGAAAAGAGAGTCTGAGCTGCTACTGTTTACAGAAAAGCTCACAAGTAAGAATGCACAGCTTCAATCTGAATGCAATTCTTTGCAGTCACAATTCGATAAACTTTCCTGTAGTGAAAGTCAGTTACAAAGCCAATGCGAGCAAGTGAAACAGACAAATATTAATTTGGTAAGTATAAATGTGCATTTTCTCTTAAAACAATGTAGCTCAAAAAGCACAGATTAAATTCTCCTAACAGCATAAAAGTATGTGGTATTAAGTTCTTTTCTTTACTAATTTCTAGTAATTCCAAATGTAGTAAAAATGTTTGTTTTTCCCTTCAACTGATGTAACTTATGATTAAAATTTTCCCAAATTGATAAAGAATATTATACTTTCAAAAGTAAGAGACCATGATTTCTGTTGTTATTAACTGAAGTCACTGCTTTTTTAATGGTAATACTTTAAATTTTTGTATTTTTAAAAAGTTTTTAAAAGGTTTAATATGCCAGGAGAATAAAGAGTGTCTTCAGGTTGCTCATAAAAATAATTCAAGTCTTTAAATTCCAAAACTTTAGAGAACTATTAGCACACATTGTTTTTGCATATATAGAATAGCATACCCATTAATGTATCCCTTCCCTTGTATATGACAGTTTGGAGAAGCTCAGTAAACAAAACCTGGTAAGGATAATGACAGAAGAATCTCTACTCTCATGGACCTTACATTTTTAAGGTTTTAAACTGTGAGCAATAATGGAAACAAATATATTAAAATTAGTGTTTTTAATTTTATTTAACATTCAGGAAAGTAGATTGCTCAAAGAGGAAGAGCTACGAAAAGAGGAAGTGCATACTCTGCAAGTTGAACTCGCTTGTAGACAGACAGAAGTTAAAACGTTGAGTACACAGGTAGAAGAATTGAAAGATGAGTTAGTAACTCAGAGGCGTAAACATGCCTCTAATATCAAGGATCTTACCAAACAACTTCAGCAAGGTAGGAAATGTGTTTCTTTCTTTAATCATTTAAGATTTATAGAGAAAACATACTTCAGGTTTTACCACATTGATTGTGTGTGTGTGTGTGTGTGTGTGTGTGTGTGTGTGTGTGTGTGTGTGTGTGTGTGTGTGTGTGTGTGTGTGTGTGTGTGTGTGTGTGTGTGTGTGTGTGTGTGTGTGTGTGTGTGTTTGTTTTGTCAGGGCCTTCACCTTGAACCACTCCAGCAGCCCTATTTTTGTGAAGGGGTTTTTTGTTTGTTTGTTTTTCTGAGATAGGGTCTTGTGTAACTATTTGCCTGGGCTGGCTTTGAACCACAATCCTCCTGATCTCTGCCTCCTGAATACCTAGGATTACAGGTGTGAGCCGCCAGTGCCCAGCTTGTTTTTCTCGATGTGTTACACCAAATTGCTAAACATCTTGCAAGTCCATCAAGAGTCTGTCTTCAATTGCTAAAGAATATTTATTCACAGAGCCACAGAGTGTGAGAATTAGGAAAGTTCCTAAGGTGGTAGAGTCTAAACTTTTTGAGCACATAGTTTTATCAGCGAAAGTTATTTGTTTTTCTCCATAGATGTTTGTTTATAAATTTTAAACATGTATTACTCTATTTTGTGTGTCTATTAGAAAACATGAGAAATAGATTTTTTTAAAAAAGAAATAAATTTGTATTTATGTTTTCATTAAGTATGAGTATAAATAGCAATTCTGTTTTCTCCCTACAGTGCCTGTGAGTTGATCTGTTTTAGTTAAGTTGTATTTTTAATTAGCATACATTAATGATACAAGAGTTTTTCATTGTGGTAATTTTGTACATGTGTGCAGTGTACTTCGAACAAGTTTACTCCCTCTGTGATAGACTTCTAACTTAGAGATCAGGAAGACTGAACCTTCACTTTTGTCTCAGGAATAGACCCAGAAAGGTTATAAATTACCAAACTGAGCAGTTTCACAACTAGACTAGGAATCCAGGCTTCTTTCATTTAAAAATTAATGCCAAATTTTGAGTATCAATGTACTTGGGATACAATGATGAAAAAGGCTGTATTCCAACTTTCTGTTCTCAATTATTCTCCACTACTTTGTGTTACAATAAGGCAAAATACAGTGATAGAGACTTAGCATTTACCTTATACAAGTACAATTAGATATTTGCTAAAAGAAATCAGTTTGTTTTTATACATGTAATTGAATGGAAATGGTGGGGGAGGTGGAATTTTTGGTACTGGAAGGATCCTTCAAAATCTTCCAGGACTCAAAACGTTTAATTCATTGTAACTAGTGATGCAAGTAACAGTTGTCATGTTTCTATATATTCTGCCTTTTGGCTGGTACCTTTCTGTATGCCATTTTATATGAATGACACCTACAGTCTTCCAAGACTGAAGAACGTTGTCTTGTCGCCTATGCTGTTTTTGCCTAAATAACTTTAGCAACTGAATCAGGTGGTGATACTTGTCACAGGTAATTCATTTGTTTTTCCTATAGCACGAAGAAAATTAGATCAAGTTGAGAATGGAAGCTATGATAAAGAAGTTAGCAGCATGGGAAGTCGTTCTAGTTCATCAGGTAAAAAACTAATGATTTGAGTTATTTAGTAATTATAAAAATAAATAGCATTTTTGGTTTAAAAAATACTCATATGCTTTGTTTTATTTTGAAGTTTAAGAAACAGAAGTTAGGCTGGGTGCCAGTGGCTCCTGCCTATAATCCTAGCTACACAGGAGGCAGAGATTAAATCTCAGTTGGAAGGCAGCCTGGGCAAATAGTTTGCGAGGCCCTATCTCAAAAATACCCAACACAAAAAGGGCTGGAGTAGTAACTCAAGGGGTAGAGTACCTGGTTATCTAGCGTGAAGCCCTGAGATCAAACCCCAGTACTGCAAAAAAAAAAAAAAAAAAAAAAAGTTATATAGAATTAAATAATGTAAAAAATGTTTCTGTTAAATATTTAAGTTCTGATCCTTATCCAAGGTTTTTTTGTTTTGGGCTTCTATGTATGTCTTCCTACCTCCTTTTTTCTTACCTGTTTTTTCATTCTGTGTAAAAACTTTTAATTTCTAAAATTTAGATTTGTATCCATCTATTTAGAGAGATTTAGTGTAGTGTGAAGCCTGTTTTACATTTATATTTTAACACCTGAGAAGTAATGAAAGGCCATATCTGTATAGTATCAGATTTTATATTTGCATATACAATCTTCCTTTGGTATCTATGGGGCTTTGACTCAGGACCCTTCCTTGGATACCAGAACCCTCAGATGCTTAGGTCTCTTACATAAAATGGTGTAGTATTTGCACATTGCCTACACAATCATCCTTGTACTTTAAATCATCTCCAGGTTACTTACAATAAAATGCAAATGTGGTATAAAAAGTTGTTACACTGTTTTGTCTATGGGATAGTAAAATCCTGTGTGTGTTCAGTATAGACACAGTTTTCTGCAATCTGAGCTTTGTTGAATCCATGGATGTGGAACTGATAGATATGGAGGGGCCAGCTGTTTTTATCTGTGTACACAACCGCCCATGCTATGTTGCCTCCTCTAAGAATTGCATGTTATGGAGCAAAACATTGTCTGTACAGTGATAGAAAAACTGCAGGAGAAAGAGCATGAAATTACTGTTAAGTCTTTAGATTCCAGCTCTGCCGTTTATTGTATGATATTGAATAAGATGTAGTTTTTTGTCTTAAATCTATAAACTAGGGTTGAACAAACATATCTGTGGGGCTGGAAGTGTAGCTCAAGTGGTGGAGCACCTGCCTAGCAAGCATGAAACCTTAGGTTCAATTCCCAGTACCACCAAAACAAATGATGACAAAAATCTATGTAGGGTGAAGAGGATCAGAAGTTCTTCTCACCAATGTTGGTAAAAATAAGAGCTGACACTTACATAGTGCTTACAGTATACACTGTTGTGAGTGCTTCACATGTATTAACTCATTTAAAGGAGAATGAAATTCTGTGAGGTAAATTATATTACCAATCCCATTTTAAGCTGAAGTAACCAAGGCACTAAGAGTTAAATAATTTGTCTAAAGGCATGCAGCTAGTAAATTGAGGAGTAGGATTTGAACCTAGGCAGACTGGCTCCAGGGCTTAACTCACTACATTCTGTCTTTTCTCCTCATATCCCCCACTTTTGTCTCCCTCCTACCCCTTTGCTTTTTTTTTGGGGGGTGGTACTGAAGTTCGAACTCAGGGCCTTATACTTGCTAGATAAGCACTCTACTACTAGAGCCACATCCCTACCCCTTTTTGCTTTAGTAATTTTTCCTATAAAGTTTCTTGCTCATGCCTAGAGTGGCCTAGATCTCAATCCTCCCCTATTAACATTTCCCTCATAGCTGGGATGACAGGCATACACTGCCACATCATGCTTTATTGGTTAAGACGGGTTCTCAAGAACTTTTTGCCCAGGCTATCCTCAAACCTGAGTCCTCTGAATCTCCACCTCCCAAGTGGTTAAGATGACAGGTGTGAGCCACCACATCTGACTTTTCTTTTTAATTGTTTATGTTTTGTCTCATTTTTGACTTGGTAATTCTGACTTTTCCTCAAGATCTTTATTTTTCTGTTGCCACTTCCTCATCCTGTCAAAGTAAATATTTGAAAGTGTTACTGAAATTAATTATGTGAGATAAGGGTTGACCCTGACAACATACAATGTGTAAACTGATCTTTTTGTCTTTAGGATCCCTTAATGCTCGAAGCAGTACTGAAGATCGATCTCCAGAAAATACTGGGTCATCAGTAGCTGTGGATAACTTTCCAGAAGTGGACAAAGCCATGTTGATTGAGAGGATAGTTAGGTTGCAAAAAGCGCATGCCAGAAAGAATGAAAAGATAGAATTTATGGAAGACCACATCAAACAGTTGGTGGAAGAAATTAGGAAAAAAACAAAGTACGTATTGTTATGGTAGTATAATCAATGTTTAAAACATGACTATATGGTTTTAGACACCAGTGGTTCATGTCTGTAATCTAGCTACTCAGGAGGTAGGGATCAAGGGTTGATCACTATTGGGGAACAACCCAGGCAACAAGACCCTATCACACAACATACTCAACACAAAAAAGGGCTGATGGAGTGGCTCAAGTGTTAGAGTGCCTGCCTAGCAAGCATGAGGCCCTGAGTTCAAATTCCATAACACCAAAAATAAAAAAGTATATACCATATTCATTTAAATAAACGTTGTTGTTTTTTTATTCCAGATCTTTTCCTAAGCCTTGTAATTTTTCAAAAAAAAAATTTTAGATTGACTTACTTTGCATTTTTAAAAGAAAAAGCAAAATACAAAATTAAGTTTAATAATAGGATAATAGAAGATAGTAACAGAAATCAGAGCAATAAAGTAATTGCTAAATATTTTAATAAAAGAAATAGAAAAGCAATTTTATATCTATTTAAATATTGTGATAGAACAAAAATGGTATACTTTAATAAACCATGTAATAAGGAAAACTTTTCTAACATTGGTGGATTAACCTGTAGGTGTTTGTTATGCTTAACATTTTTGTGCTTGTCATTAGTTGATTGTTGTAAGTTCCATTGTTGTTATTTTGCAAGTATATAATGATGGTGTCGTTTTGTTTTGCAGAATAATTCAGAGTTACATTTTACGAGAAGAATCAGGCACACTTTCTTCAGAAGCATCTGATTTTAACAAAGTCCACTTGAGTAGACGTGGTGGTATCATGGCATCTTTATACACATCGCATCCTGCTGATAGTGGGTTAACACTGGAACTGTCTTTGGAAATCAACCGAAAATTACAGGCTGTTTTGGAGGATACATTACTAAAAAATATTACTTTGAAGGTATTTATGTTTCCCATTCACTTGCAAAATGGTGCCTCTTTCATAATCTCATCTAGCACTTAGACTTTCTGTGATGCAAGAAGATTGCCATCTTACACAGATAAAATTTTAGTGTTTTTTTTCTCTTTGAAAAGTACAGTTTTTTAACTAAATCAGTTTAGTTATTGGATAGACACATCCAGCTGGATTTGTTTACTTCACATTGGATGGCTTTTGGTGTACTTGGTAATTTATTACTGAAACAGTTTTTAATATTATGCCATTTCATGTATTTTTGTGGCTTTATTTTTTGCAGCTATTATCTTTCCCATCTCTTCCATTTTTGCTGTTTATAGGCCTTGATAGATAGTAATGAATTTAAAGAATAATCATTTCATGCACTAAAATAGCTTCAGTACAAAGATTGCATGTAACTTTGAAATGAACATGTATTTAGCATCACTCAGTTTCAAAATTTAGGCAATATAGATCAACCTGTATCTTTTTGTTTTACTTAGTATTTCTGTTTTCTCTTTTGTCCTCCAAATTATTAAAGGAAAATCTACAAACACTTGGAACAGAAATAGAACGTCTTATTAACACCGGAATGAATTAGAACAGAGGACGAAGAAAACCTAATGCAAAGCTCTTGTCAGCAGCAGCCAAGAGCAAACAGCAGCAGGTGCTGCTGACCGTTGTTGCTGGACGTGTTTTCCTGCTTTATGTCAGCCAGTCAAAAATTTGTTTTACTCATCTGTATAAACTACCCTTTTATAAATGGGTGCATTGCTGTGTATGCTGTAAAAGTGTAAGCTTTGATGAAACTTGTTTTTGTATGATACAGTTTAGACACCCGCCACTGAATCTAAACACTTTGATTTGCTCTTAGTCATATGAAGTGCTAAGTATTACCACAAGAGCTTTTAAAAACCCCTTCTCCACAGTTCTTCCCTTTAAAATCTAATGTCAAAAATGATTCACGTTTTTAAAATTGTGCATGAAAAGACAGATGACAATCACTCAGCAGGTCATTATTCCACAAGACCAAGAAACTAAAGAAATAATTTTTAAATTTTCTGTTTTAACCTGGTGCTGGTGCACACCTGTAGTCCCAGCTATTTGGGAGATTGAGACAGGAAGACTGCTTGAGCCCAAAAGTTCCAGTCCAGGCTGGGTAACAGCAAGACCATGTCTCCAAAAAAAAACATTTTGACACTCCAAAAGAATATTTGGTTGTGTTTTAGGGCTGCATTTGAATACTTAAATCTTTCAGTTTTGAGTTTAATGAAAACTAAAATTTAATAGAAAGCCAGCTGTTGGTGACTAACATTGATCAGACGTTGTATGTCTGTGTAACATTTCCTCATCTTTCTTAGGCATATTTTTTCTTCGGATTTGGATTGAGTTCATAGTTGAATTTTTTAAATCTATAGTTGCTTAAAATGTGATTTTAAACATGTTCACTTAGAAAAATGTGAAATGGAGCCAGTTATTAGAACAGAGAAGTGAATACTCTAACAATGTCCGAGATATTTATGAAGAGCCAGTTTCCCGAGAGAAACCATCAGTAGCACTGTCAGTCATCTCGTTGAGCGCCATTCTTCACACATTGTGGGAGAGCCACAGTCAGTTCTTCCAAATGTGGTGTTAAAATATCATGTCTCTATAGCCAAAGGAATTCTAGAGCCATTTTTTTAATCTCACTGGAGTTTTATAATATTTATTTAAGGTGTACACTTAGAAGTTGTCACTGTATCATTGGACTTTTTTTTCTTCTTATAATTTCTCATACATTATAATTTCATACTGCTTTGTAGTCATATCATTTGTATAATAAGATACCTTGGCTTATCTGCAGCAAGGTTCATTTTGTTTTGGATTTTGGCATCCTTTGTTTTCCCCACTAAGGAAATGAGCTTTGGAGTGATAGATTAAAAGCCTTCAAAGAATTGGCTCTAACAGTTGAGCTCATGATGGCAATGTCCTTTTAATGTGTTTTAACATTTTTTTAATCAACTTAGTGTTGTTTGGAAAGATAATTTACTAAATATTAGATGAATCAATGTAGTCTTATTTTTCTGAATATTGTTATATGTTGTCATCCAAACAAGTATCTCTTAACTTCAAAGTGAAAATTGTCATTCAGAGATGTTTTATTTTAAAATGATTGTAAAAAGTATTAGTCTTACCTTAATGTGTCTTTTTTCTTTTTATCAATAATAATTTATCAAAATATGAGGTAAGTGCAATAAAATCTAATTATTTCCCATTTGTTCCCAGACATATTAGTAATACTCAAAGGTCTACTTAAAGTAGCAACATAACTAAATTTCTCTGGTTTATCATGTGATACATATTCATGAACTACAGTGTTTGGGTTTTTTCCCTGAGGCATGAAATGCATGATGAGACCAAATAGTAATCACATCCATAGTGTCCTGTGCCTATGCATTTTCTAAATATGTATACATTTATTACAGACAAAAAATGGAGCATTCCAGTATAAATATTTTTGTCATCACCTACTTGGAGAAGTTTAATGATGAGACAATTTTAGGAAAAAATTATGAAAAGTCCTATTTTGACTGTATTGTTACCTTTTTCCCCCATAAACTTAAACTGTGAAAGATTTTGAAGGAAATGTTTATTTTTTTGTTCTTTAGTATCTGTTGCATCCTTTTGTGTGTGGCTCAGGACTGAGCAACATAGTGTAAAAAGTGTTGTGCATATATCAGATACCTATTTCTCTGCTGATTCACAATCAGCTCCTGATAAAAGGTTTTGAGAACCTTCTACCCATTACTGTACTAAGTATATGGAGAGAAAAAAGGGGTGTCTAGAAATGATAAACCTGAGACTTGAGGAAAATTTTGTTTTATATGTTTATTGTTGATTATACACATCAAAGGCTATTTTGGTTAACAGTTTTTATCTTAGAGCAAGAAATTATGTAGGGTATGTGTGTACACACATCATAGGTTTTAATTTGAAAGTTAATATTGCTGTGATTTGCTTTTTCCCATACCATGTCAAACTGCAGTCTGTTAGAAGTTTCAGGGGTTGAAAATGGTGGGTTTGGACAAATGAGTTTGAACTTCAGTGGGTTTGGGGTTTTGGGTTTTGTTTTCTATCTTCATAACCATTTAAAGTAATTCAGTTAGGTTAACACATTATTTATTCATTTAATAAACACATTTATTCTCTTAAACTTACCACTGCCAGTCACCCTATGGGTTTTTGTGATAATTTTGGTGAACACACTAGACAGAGTACTTCCAATTCTCGCAGAGCTTGTATGTCTAATGAAAATGGCTGGGAGGCAGGAAGAGCAGGGCTCTGTAGCTCATTCCAGCCCTTTATTACTGGGCTGAGAAAGAGAGTTAATCTACCTGGGCAAGTAGGTGGCCCAGAAGTCTCAGTCTGGCATCAAGCTCTGGAAACTGAATCCTTGCTCTCAGGTACACTGAAAGAAAATTGCTGTTTTCATGTTCGTTCTGCATATTTCCTGACTTTGCCACTGTTTTTTTTTTTTTTTAAGAAAAAAATCCAAAGACCATAAAATGACAGTAGATTTCTATCATGTAGTAAGTTATTGACGCCCTCATGACACTCATAGGATGAATCTAATCATATACATTTTTCCAAATTTTGTTTTGGGTATATTATTTTCCGATTTTTTTTACATACAAATTTAGGCCGTGATTTACCAGTAGAAGAAAAAAAGTCAGAAATATCGTAAATGTTAATGTGCTACACTGGTGAAAGTAGATTTTGAATCATATTCAGGCTTCATGACTGTGGTTTCTAGTAGCCTATTTTTCAATAACCTTTAAAAAAAATTCTTTTTGATGCTAAGATTGTTGATTTTTAGCACCAGTTGGTGGCGCCAGAAACCTCAAATTTTTCAAGGCTGAACAAGTATCCAAACATAAACTTTCAAGAAACTAAATGAAAAATACAATTGCATATTAAAATTACTCTTCTTCTGGAATGGATGTTTTAGATGTGTATGACTGTCCATTTTGACTGTCATGAAACTTATCTTCCAGAGTATGTGCATTGTGCATTGTATAGATACTCTTTAATCTGAGTACCCTGTTCACTTTGTAAATAATTTCTGTATAAAATGATGCTTTTCAAGAAGATTGTGTATATATTATACTTATTAAATAGGTAATGCCTGTTTACCAAGTTGTATTTTAATGGCATCTGTAATTATTTGTTTGCATGCACTACTTGCTAACGGACTAAGTCTCTAGCTTGTTGGCAAGACTGATGCAAATTGCTTGAATTTCTTTTTTAAACTAGACTATTTTTGCTTTCCATGTTTAGCTTTATCCTACCGGTATGGTTGATCCCATGATTGAAAATCAATGAATAGTAGCAAGCAGAGTAAGTTGAATGCCAGATTGCATTTTTACATTTTTGTTTATTGATAGCAAAACTTGGCATTTTGCAGAAGACTCTTACAGCCATGTGAAATTTCTTACTGAACTTCATAACCTACTAATGTATTGTGATTTTCCACAAAACCATGGAACTTGAACAATTTGGCTTTAATAGTAAAGAACTAATGTGCAAAATGGCATTAATTTCACCAAGTTAATGTATGTGATGATATTCACATCACAGGTGTTATTTTTTTTTATTTCTCTAACAATTCTAATGCGTTTGAAATTATGCCACAGTCCTTAATAGAGTTCATTCTTGGAAAGAGTCCCCTGAAATCAGGTAGTCTGTAGAATACAGGTAAAATGAAGAGAGAAGAAGCTGCTCTGACATCCCTAATAGTCTCCCTTTGGACTGTGCATTTGTTTGCAAGAGAAAGAGGTGTCTGGGGAGGGAAGATACTGGTCTGTGGTTCTTCGTTTTAAGTTCATGTAGCAAAATATGACGAGCTCCAGTTCATGCTACAAATAACACCTCCAGGGATAATTTTGAACAAAGGTTTTTAGCAGCACCTTTTTTATTAGCTGAGTCTCGTTGCAGTGGGGGCGGGGGGGAGCGGTGGTGTGGGCAGTGTAACCTGAAGTAAAGATGTGAAGGCTATCAGAAACTTACATCTGAGTTGGTTTTTCTTAAAGTCCGTTTTTTGTTGTTATTCAGTGACTGGAGTTTGAACTCAGAGCTTCCATGCTTGTAGCAGGAGCTTCCACTGCTTTAAAACCATACCTCAGTACTTTTGCTTGTATTTTTAGATAGGGTCTCACTATTGCCAGGCAGCCTGAACAGAGATCTTCTTAATCTCAGATGCCCACTTGTTTGAATGACAGGCAACTCCACTGTGCCCAGCTATTGGTTGAGATGATGTCTCAGGAACTCCCTGCCACACTGATCTCAAACTATGATCCTCCTGACTCTCAGCCTCCCAAGTAGCTGGATTAACAGATGTGAGACACTGGGCACCCAGCTTGTAAGTCACCTTATGATGCAGAATGTGTAATCTGCTTTCATGGAAGCAGGTCAGGAGGGTCCTCTGTGGCTGACCCAAAGCTCATGAAGTCTTTTATGTACTGAGAACACTGCCAGTTTGTAAGTGTTTTGCCCCTGTAACATGCGGGTACTCTTATTAATTGCTAATTCACATTTAATTGATGATTCATACTATTTTGGGGGGGGGAACCTTAAAGGTGTGGATGGAACATGTATTTCAGGAACATTCTATTTTTTAGGGAATCCAGGTTTTTTTTCTCACTGCCCCAAGGCCTTGCATTTTGCCAAACTTTTGTGCCCATGTAGCTAATTGTACTTCTGAAAAAGATTGAAGGAAAATCCTCTGCTGTCCAATCGCAGTACAAGACTGTTCTATAGAAGTTGGAATTCCATTGAACAATAAACTTAGCTTGTCCAGTGTCAGCTTCTGGTAAATGATTGGGAAGTAATGTTAACACGGGCTCTTTGTACCAATTTCATTGTCGTTTTTGTTGGTCTTAATGACTATAAAAGCTCAAGGGCAGGAAGTAGGCTGAATGTATGTTTTCAGCCACCTTCACTTTTGCTTGTCAAGAATCATAAAATGA